TATAAAAAAAAGCCTAAAAGCATTATCTATGCAGTAGTTACCCCAGTGTACACATTCTCTCATTTTTTTTAAATACATACATCACGTTTTGAGGTGTTGCCGAACTTCCGTATTTATGGGAATCTCTCCTAACAGCGAAGAAGTTTGGCACACCCAAGATTTTCGATTTTTTCAAATACTGAAAATTTTTTCGTGACAAATGATTTTTATAAACACAAATTATTGTGGTCTATTAGAGTGAGAAATATAAAACACTAAAAATTAAATTTTAAATTTCATTTAGAACTCCTTTTACAGTGAGAGGTGGGTATACCAATAAAATCAATTTTCTTAGAACAGAAACATTAGTCCCGAAATATAGTACATTGATGATAAACTCATGTGGTGAATCTTTTTGACATTCTTGAATAACAATTATATATTTATGTATTCAGGAGTTAGCGAAATTCTGCGTTTACAAACAAGTATTTTACGAATGAGAAAGTTTGGCACTCACACCACATATAGACCAAAAATATTTCTAATATTTGACAAAATTCATAAACGCAAAATAAGTAATTAGAAGACATAATACTGAGCCAAAACAATTGTTTTGTACACATTATTTGAGATTCGCTTTAAACTAGTACACAAGCATACGAATAACGTCCACTTAGGAAAATATGTAAAATTTGATCTTTATTTATTCATTTTTTTACTTCCCGAGCGTAAGCAAAGGAAGTATTGTAATCGAGTCCGTTGGCTGACTCTCTACTTTTACGTTTTCTCGACCTTTCATGACCCCTAGAGGACGAAAAAATAGGTCTCCCATTTCCGCCTGTCTGTCCGTCTGTCTGTCCGTCTGTCCGTCTGCCGTCTCCGATTTTTATTAGACAAATAATCTCCGAAAGTACTGGACCGATGTTGTGAAATTTTGTATTTATATTAGGAATATCATGTAGATGGTAAAAGGCTAACCAAAATTTGTCTAATCATCCCCACCAATAATGTGATGACGTCACTTCAAAACTGTACATAGTAAATAGGTTTTAAATTGTACAAAACAACATAGTGCTACACATGTAGTTTATGACTCCGACTTGAAACTACATAAATAACGAAGGTGCCAAATTTCCTGAATTGTAAGAAAAACATTTTTATAAATATGACTCAAAAAAATTAATGAATGCGTGAATTTATTTTATTGATTTAATCAGGAATTACAGAACCGAATGCTTTGAAATCTTGGAGATGTTTTAAAGTTATTATAAGCATGGCAAATTTTTTATCAAAATGTATTTGCTCATCCCCCCTAAAAAAATTGATGACGTCACCCCAAATTTGGTGAATACATTTTATCTAAAATGTACAAAATATAATGAGTCTGTACTTGTGATTTATCATTCCGTTCATATTTTTTGGATTTGCATATACAGGGTGACTCAAAAAAATTAATGAATGCGTGAATTTATTTTATTGATTTAATCAGAAATTACAGAACCGAATGCTTTGAAATCTTGGACATGTTTTAAAGTTATCCTAAGCATGGTAAATTTTTGATCAATTGTTTATCAACCCCAAAAAATTGATTACGTCATGTCAAAATTTTGCCAAATAAATCCTTTCGAAAATATGCAAAATATGATCAGACTATACTTGTAATTTATGGTTGGATTCATATTTTTTAAATTCGCTTATACAGGGTGACTCAAAAAAATTTATGAATTAGTCAATTTATTTTTGATCAAATTAAGAACGAGCCGCGACTTTCAGACTGAAAGCGATTTTATTAAAATGGCCCGTCACAGAACTCTAATGAGAAGAAACTATGACAGACATAGAGACACGGTTCTAAGAGCGAGGGAAGTACTGTCTAAACTCTTTAGACCAATTTTTTGAATTTATGACCCTGATCGTAATCACACATCTTATGGAAATAAAACGTGTATTTATATTAGTTCACTCCAATAAAATTAGGAAGATATTGTTCTAGTAGTTATCCACATTATTCCATTCATTTAGTCTTTTTTTGAAAAAAAAAAATGTTATTTATTATCTACAAGAGAAAAATGATCATTCACTAGTGGACTATTTTTCACGAGTACATAAACATTCTTTATCATCGAGTGTAATATTTTATTTTATTTTCTACCAGATTTTAACTAAAACTTTAAAACTGTTCGAATGTGCTGTACGTAATATTTTTAATACGCTGCGTCGCGCATCGGCGAATGCAAACGTGTTGGCTAATACATGTGTTGTCTTGGTTTGACTTTGGTTTCAATTTGTAATCTTAACAAATAACAAAATAAATTGTAGATAAAAGACTCCTTTATCTACCGGTAAACAAGACTTGTTTATCTACTAAACATAAGGCCAAACGACCTACTTTTAATGGCTGGTACAAAATAAAAGATTTTTTTAAATTTATTAGGAGTTTCCAGAGTTCCGTATTTGCAAATTTTTTTCTCATCAATAAGGAAGTTTGGCACGCATAAGGTTTTCAAGCCCATGAGACTTCTGCTAATTGACGAAATGTTAAAAAAATAACTTAATGTAATTATTTAGAATAAATGCATAATAAAAAACCAAAAGAAATTTTACACACCATTTGAGGTTCCAAAAATATACTCGTAAAATTTATTTATATCAACTTTAATAGAAATTACATACTTATTGACAAAAACATCTAAAAGCTATTTATAACAGTATACTTCATTAAAATTAAAAAAAAAAGTCAAAGTTTAATCATACACAAATTCAAGATTTGTAAACCACAAATACAAGAGTATATCATTTCATACAATTCTGGTAATGTTGACTATGCAGCATAATGAGCAGACGTCATCAAATTGTTGGTGGGGATGGTTAACCAAATTTTGGTTCGCGTTTTACCATTTACATGATATTCGTAATATACAAACAAAATTTGACAACAATCGATCCAGTAGTTTAGGAGATTATCTGTCTAATCAAAATCGATACAGACGGACAGACAGAAACGGTAGACTATTTTTTTTGTACTCTGGGGGGTCATGAAACGTAAAGAAAACATGAAACTGGTAAGCCGCCCGATGGATTCCTTCACTTACGTTCGGAAAGTAAAAAAGCCTAGTAATCATCCACTTCATTCAATTTTAATTTTTCATTATTAGGGAGTTGCCAATGTTGCCTCTTTATAGAAATTTTTTTTACCAATCAAGAAATTTGGCACACACTAAATTATTCAGTTGCATTAAACTTCTACTAACTAACGAAATCTTGCAAACATGATGCTAAATGTATTTATAATAAATACAAAAAAAAAAAACAATTTTACACAATATGTATTTGAGATGAGGTTACAAAAATATACGGCTCCAGACTATTTATATTAACTTTATTAGAAAAATAAAAAAAAGTCTTAAAGCACAACCTATACATCAGTGACTCTAATCATATTCCTTTTAATTTTTTGAAAATACATTATGTTTTGATATTTTCAGAAGGTTCCCGAACTTGCGCATTTACGCGAACATCTCTTGACAGGAGGGAAGTTTGGCACACAGGAAGATTTCGCTTTTTTCTAATGCTGCGATTCCATCTAAATAAAATAATAATTTTGTTTCAAAGTAGACAAAAAATTAAAAAAAAAATACAAAATGTGTTATAAATAAATGTTTTTACTATAAAAACTACATAAATAACGAAGGTGCCAAATTTCCTGAATTGTAAGAAAAACATTTTTATAAATATGGAAGTTTAACAACACATTTAATGAGTACAATTTACAAAAAATAATGAACAGAAAATGTGTTTGTTATAGATAGTTTCCAACCAAACTTCTACATTTACACAAATTTTAAACTGTTTTTTCATCTAATTTTTTCAAATAGTTTCCACACATTTATTTGTCAGTCCACCAACTGAGAAAACTTAACTAACATTGAAAAACTTCACTGTCTGTTTCTCACAGAGAGGGTTAAAAGCATCTCTCAACTTTTTATTTCTGGTTCAAAGTTTTTGATAAAATCAACTTTGGTTGAGATATTCCCATGGTGAATTGTCGATTGAATCTGAAGGACAGTAAATTTGTTTTAACCGAAAATGCTGTCTTTACAGCCCATTTTTCTCTTCAAGGGTTTAGAAGTACTAACACAGTTTCAGATGTTGACAGCACTCCCAGTATAACCTTAGCAAGTAAACATTAAAACATTTGTTTAACAACATCGCGTTTATAAAACTTGCACTGAACTGGTGAGAAAACCAAATCTTTCTTGATAATATCTCAATATCCACTGTCAATTTAGAAAACTCACTTATATTTATTATTGTAGATAAAAATCTATTTATCGTGTTGTTATGATTTCGAGTAAGTTCCATTCCACACTGTTCACACAAAAATAAAAATTTGACTGACCTCTACAAACTACAATGGCTGTAAACACTTGCAATGATGCATAGTTTTCTACAATTTAGTCAAAACAGTGTTTAACGAAGCTAGCAAAATTACGTGCTGCTATCACTGAGCAAGTGGCCAAACTGTCATTTCAGGTGAGATGTAGCTAAGATATAAACCAAGACGGCATGAATTGCGCTGTTGTCACATGAGCACCCTATGCGAAACTGCCTGCTAGATGAATATATATATATATATAGATATATTTACTGTACAAGTCGAGATCATTTAGTGATATTTTTTGTACAAGTAGAGATCCATTCTGGCAAGACGAGATCCAATTTGGATCTCGACTTGTTTCATGTGTATATCTTCACCAAACAATTTTTATAGGTGGGGGAAGGACGTCACTGCATTATTTGTCGGATCTCGGATTTCACATTTTTATCAATTTTTATACGAGAGTAGTTCAGGTGGGCACACCAACGAGGGCGCTGCAATGCTCAGGCTGTATATAACATTCTATCAATAAGTCGAGATCCAACAGATCTTGCAACATCGCAACAGTTTTTATTATAAGTTTTAACAAAACGACGGCGATTATTGAATTACAACAGAATTAAAATAGTAAAATGACAAAAAATAGGAATATTACAATTTTATTTATTTTTGTAAGTATTATAAACAAAAACTTTAATTTGTACCCAAGTCTTGTTCATAAATGAATCTAAATTGTCTTGTTGTAATTTTAAGCATTCCGCTTTTTTCGGCGAAATTTTGTTTTTAATATGATTTTTAAAATAATTTAACATTATGGACTTTTGCTTGTCGTTCCATGTTCCACGACATTTCTCTTTTTTGGGTTTTTCTTTAGATATCTTTTTCTTTTTGAGTGGAGAATCATCAGACATAGTTTGAGCTTTGTGCTTGTTGGTTTGCGTAACGTTAACACTAGTCACAGACATAGTTGGCATGTCTAGTCTAATTCTTTCATCTTCTTCCTTTGGTTCATCATGTGCGCTTTTTTCCTCCAAATCATGGTCCTCTGATTCTAAAAAAATAAACAAGTCAAAAAACTGGTTATTATTTGTTATTTTGTTTATGTTATTATTTGTATGTTTTAAACTTAAAAAAAATTAAAATAATAGCGGGAAGTTACCACTTCCAGGGTCTTCAAGAGATTTTCCATTCCACGATTCCAATTCGACGTTGATTTCATCAAGAGTTTTACCCTGATTCTGGCTGCCGACTCCCCTTTCCATCATTAGAAGTAACTTGGCTATTTTTGCAGTTTGAAAAACGTCCTGCGGCATCCTTAAAAAAAGAAAGATATATAGGTTCTCGAAATATTGTTATTTTTACATATCCACAAGCTATATACTAAATATCCTACCTATAAAATTGTTCGTGGGTTTTTTTGGTATGGCCCATAAAGGTGGCCACTTGCTCCATTTCAGTGTCATTAAGGTTTAAAATCTGTAGGACAGTTGCAATTTGTTTTCTAAGGCGAGAAGAGGTTAGAGTACCAGGATTTTTGGCCCCACATTTGACTGCATATCTTCTTAATACGGCTGATCCATCCACCCATTTAGTTGAGCTTCCTGTTAACGCGAATAAAAATGGATTCTCATGCGGTACGAACGTAGTTTTTCTTCTGACTGATAGAAGTGTTTCTATGTATTTTTGTACATTTTTTGAAAAAAGTATCGGAACTGACCTACTTCCTTTTCCCACTGTGGTAATGCGTTTAAAATGCTTCGATAATTCTCTTTCACATTCATTTAGGGAACTAAGGCACTCCTCTTGGTTGGTACTTGTTGATATTCGATTATAAGATTCTAATTGTGTATATTGTACATCTCCGATTCTCTTCCTATTTAAAATTATTGTCAGAGCCAAAGCCGCTTCCGTAAGTTTTTTGAATGACGTCAAGTTTTCTGAATTCGTTTCTAGTTCTTTCACACATGTTTCCGCAATTTCTTGCGTATAATTTCTGAATAAAATAATATCCTGGGTTACTGGTAATTTCTGCGGATTTATTGATTGCTTTTCATTAAGGTCCTTTAGTGCCAGACTGCTCATTTCAAATTTCCAGTTAGCATCGACCAACTCCCGAAATCCCTTAACATTTTTGAGTGCTATGTCATAATCGGTAATCCCCAAAATAGGATGTTTTTTTAACATAAGAGTTTTAGCTGAAGAGCATACAGCTAATAATATTGTTTTCATATGAAGAGCAAGAGAAGGCGCTTTAAAGGATCGCTTTGCTTCATTGTAACCCGAAATTATGCGGCTGGCGGAAACTACTTTATCAAAGTGTTCAGGTTTTAACACTTCTAGCATGGAATTAATTTTATAAATATCTTGAAGTGGAATGAGAAGTCTTCCCAATTCCCTCACTTTGTTTGATACCGCATTTTTGATATGTGGTCTTTTATGTTTGCGCAGGTAGTCTTCTGCATATTGACAGATTATTGGGTCACTTTTTCCGTTTAAAGATATTCTGTCAGCACGCATTTTGCTAAACACTTCGCATTTCAATCTTGATTTTTTTAGAAATTCTTGACGAGATTCAGTAAAAGCAATCATTGTCTGACCCTCGCTTGCAAAATTGTGTTTTTGATTCATCTCTTTATTGTAACAGCAAGTAAGGGCGTGCCTCCGTAGAGATTTTTTTTTGTATAATCCTTTACAATAAATGCATGGAAGGTAATCTGTTGGGAGAATTTCATCATTTTTACTTTGTATTGCAGACGGTCTTTGAACCGGCCTCGTTATATTCTCTCCTAGTACTGTAAAATTCCCTTGCTTTCTTATGAGATCAATCATAATTTTTCTTTTGCGTTCACCTTTTGGCTGTTCAAGGATTTTTCGTACACTTTCTTCTTCTGCATGTTTTCTAAAAAGATGTCTTGAAAAATTAGTGACGTCTTTATCACAGTAAGAGCAGCGATCCTTTTTGTCCCATACTCTTCCCTTACGTAGACTGTGTTCCACAGGATTTTTATGAATTGGTCTTCGAGTGGAACCCTGAAAGAATGGTATTTTAACATCATAGAGTAAGTTCCAAGAACTTTTTCCTACTCGTTGCTATGGACGACGTCTGGCAAAAGCTATTTCACAACGTCGTCAATACCAACGTACGGAAAGAAAGACAGATTGGAGAAATGTCATTAATTTGACTTTTGTTGTGGAAACTTGTTTGCATTTTTTCTTCAGATATTAGGGATAACGAGTAGAAAAAATTATGTGAGACACACGGCCACAAAATGTTTTGCGAGTGCTTGTGTTGTTCCGCCTGGACTAGCGTCTCTCGGCTCCACATTATCACTCGCACTCGCAAACATGCATTTTCTGGTCTTGTGTCACAAATAACTATTGCTAGACGTCGTCCATAGCAACGAGTAGGAAAATAGTATATTATTAGCCAAGGTTGCAAAGCCAAGCATTCTAGACCGAGCGCAAATTAGAAGCCGAGACTCGCAGTGTCGAGGGCTCTGAAGGGCGAGGTCTAGAAGTGGCTTTGCAACCGTGGTTAATATATTATTTTTTTCACTAGTAGAAACCATAAGACAATAAATTGAAAAAATAAACGTTCAATTTTTTGACGCAACATGATTTTATTTTGATTTCTAATCAAACTTGATCTAAATCTTCAGCACAAAGAAAACCGTTTACACTTGTCGCTGAGTTAATCATTTTATCTTCCACCGTCTACCAACTACCATGCGTATACTCAAGTAATGTTAGTATCACACATTTATTCATTTTTTAAGAAATAATCACATCAAGTATTGCGTACATAACCTCAATCTTCTTTTTGAACCCGTGGTCGCAAAAGTTGAAATTGCTACCTCTAAATGAGTGGACATGCTTCATAGCTGCTAGTGAAAACAATTTTTTTTTCACTAGCAGCCATGATCCATGCAAATGTCGACTCATTTAGAGGTAGCAAATTCAACTTTTGCGACCACCGGTTCAAAAAGAAAAATTGAGGTTATGTACGCAATGTTTGATGTGATTATTTCTTAAAAAATGAACAAATGTGTGCTACAAACATTACTTGAGTATACGCATGGTAGTTGGTAGACGGTAGAAGATAAAATGATTAACTCAGCGACAAGTATAAACGGTTTTCTTTGTGTTGACGATTTAGATTAAGTTTGATTAGAAATCAAAACAAAATCATGTTGCGTCAAAAAATTAAACGTTTATTTTTTCAGTTTATTGTCTTATGGTTTCTACTAGTGAAAAAAATAGTATATTTGTTATTAACCACGGTTGCAAAGCCACTTCTAGACCTCGCGCTTCAGAGCCCTCGACGCTGCGCGTCTCGGGTTCTAATTTGCGCTCGGTCTAGAATGCTTGGCGTTGCAACCTTGGCTAATAATAAATATACTATATTCTCAGGCTAAAGTGATACGCGCTATAATGTAAAAACCTCGTATTTCTGATACATAGGCTACGTACTTATATGAATGTATTCAATAAAAATACGCATACCGATAAATCACAGTCTGATGTAGGTAATGGTTTTGGACTCGTTGGAAGTGGATTTTTCGCGTCAAGAGAACTTTCAATACACTTGACAGGATTTGATGACTGACGTTCCTTAGAAGCGGTCTGAAAATATATAGGTGATTTTCGGGGGATAGACTCGCTTATCTCGGAATAATTATCTTCTGAAGTGACATCATTCTCTTGATTGGGCTTCCAAGAAACCTAAAAGTAATGATATTATCATTGGCAATATTTTATTTTAAATGTAATCAATTGAAATTTCTAGAAGTTTTCTATACAGTAGCGTTATCATTTTTCAGCAAGGATGAGAAAATTTTGAATTTCCAATATAAATAGTTACCATCACTGAACAAAAAAACTAGAGCACAGTTGATAACTAGATCATTTTCAAAATTACAGAATTTTAAACATATAAACTGAATAATTTATCCATCCATCTACTTTAAACACATAAGTTGGGTTTTTGTTAAAAAGTATTCCCATCATTTTATGAGATATGGTTGACACCGGATGACATTACGAAAAAAATGATTTTGAAATGGGTTCGGAAAACACATCGATTAATATTTACTAGCAATTAAAGAATTTCGCAGGTTTCGTTTTTTAAATTGCTGCCCCAGTTTCAAGAAAATTTTGATAGAAATCTTGTTCAATTTTGATGATGCGGCACTGATTATAATCTATTTGCATCATCCATAGTTAAATACCGATTGTGTTCTTTGTGTTGTTAGCTTTTTTAACTACAAAAATTTGAGGCGTATATCTTCGCTTAATGCGTTAATAATTATTTTTGACGTCACATCTGTCAAACTTGTAACAATAAAAAAAATCGAAATAAAAACGTTTTTCAATATTTGGCGTGTCCAAAATGTGTCTATTATGCCTTGTCTATTATGCAGACGTGTACCCTTTATTGAAAAACGTGTTTATTATTGTTATAAGTTTGACAAATATGACGTAAAAAATTAATTGCCCGATTCAACATACAACGCCAACATACGTCTCATTATGTGCATATCAGTGGCGCCGAATTAGGTCTGGATTTTGGGATTTTTATCCTTGTATTAGAATGAATAAAAATTACTGGAAATGCCCTCAACTTATTTCAGAGATGTTGTGCTTTAATTTTCCGAACGTATTTCAAAATCACCCTGTATATCTGAATTTCATTTTTAAAATGTAATTATGATTGTCGTTTTGAGACACAATTGACAATTGTAAAATTTCCAGTTTCCAATTTTCTTTGTCCACTGATGGTACGTACCTACTTAAACAACAAATCTGATATTCGATATTTAACTACTTCACTTACTGATGAATCTGCAAATAGGGAACTCTCCGACAAATGCGAATTTTCGTCATCACTATTATGATCTTCCTTTTCGGCGGAATTCTAAAACACATTATTTTGTATTTGTTTTCGTTAAGTACTGTGTAGGTCTTGAGTGAAAAATGGGCATTAAAAATGCAGGAATTAGCAGTGAAATTGCCCATTTTTCTACATTTTTTTATGCACCAGTTGGCTATTTTTGAAATAAAATGATAATTTTTACTATAAAACTTACTCTGATTTACAATATTTTACATACATGACTGTTAGAACAACATACATACCAGAAGTTGATCGTTACATGTATGCACCGCTTCTGTAGTAGTTAGAGGCGTTAATTGGTTAACAGGGTCTTCATGATTTTGAATATCATTTAAAACGCTATTAACACTATTCTCAGATTCGGTTTGAACATTTCCCTAAAAATACGTCAAATCTATGTACAGGGTTCTAAAGATTCATGGAAATTAATTTAGGTACTGTTAAAATATCAGGCATATTTTTTTTTAGCTGCACAACTTATAGAACCGTTAAGGGGAATATGTATTTATCCAATACTTATATTTGTACATTTTCGCTAAAGACAAATAGTTCTTGTAAAAATTTGTATGAAATAGGACGCACGCCTGTCGATGATAGAAAGCGAAAAAATCGCTCTGAAAGTATTCAGTCAGACTCGAGTTTCAATAATGTTGACATTTTACAACTGCATTAGGAAAATTACTTTTTACTACATACCTGAAGATTGTGGTCTAACGTTGAGAGTTGTGGGCTAGTTTCAAGTGGTCTTAATTCTTCAAGCACACGTTCTTCAAAATTTTGATTATCATTTTCCATATGGTTGTCCTAAAAATTCGTTAAAATTTTATAATTGAGTTCTGTCCAATTTTCGGATTAGGATGAACTAACCCAATAATTTTAAATTTAATGAACGTTTTTTGATGGTAACTAGTTTTTTAAACACCAAAAGACGACTGCCCGTGGTGCCATGTTTTAAATGAAGTACAATATTTCTATTCAATCTTCTTTATAACATCTTAAATAAGAAAAAAAAATCTGCGGCAGTGAAAGTCCTTTTCTCAAAAAGTACAATTTTTATTAAAAACAATTAATGAAATTTAAAGCTGTTTGTATCCAAAACCGAAAAGTTTCTAAAAAATTCCCTTCTGAACAGCGGTCTATTTAAAAATAATTTTATCTGACTTACAGGTGGGTACTCTAAATTAACTCGTATGATTTTTGACGAATAATATACTAATAATTTTAACTTTTATCTACGTCGAACAGTGGACTTTATAATTTTTTTATATATAAGATATAAAACAAATGCAATAAGGGTCGGTATTACCAATGTTAGTTAAATTTAACGGATGATTAACTACTTAGATATATTTGTTACAACCATACCAACAATTGTTTTTAACGAATGATTAAAGTTAACTGAAATTGTGAAATCCATCTTAATTGTATTAAATCGATAATTCAAATATACATACCTTTTGATTACAGTATGAGTTATTCAATCTTTGAGCCAATGGTATTTTTATTTTCTTTGCTGCTTGCCACTTTTTAAAATGTGACCACGGGTCTTCTGCATATTGGTCTTCTAAATAATCATAATTATATTCGTCCGAGTGTTCGTCGGATTCATCTAGTTTCACTGTTAAAATGCGACGAGATTAACATTAACATTGTAATAATACCATTCTTATTTTACTTTACCTTCGTTTAATGGTACATTAGATTTTCCACTTCTGGCCAAATATACTAAGTTTTTTCCACGACTTATCATGATGTCGAAAAATTTTGCTTACATCACCACTGACTATCCACTCAAAACACCAAAACTCTGAAAAACTACGTAAATGCACGTGCAACTGGTCTCTTTGCGCAGACGGGCCAGACGTAACTCTGGCAACGTTACCGGATCTCATGTTTTGCGTTTTACATCAATGTATACATTTCTGGATCTCGACTGGTTGTGTTTTTACAAATGATCTCGTTTTGCACAAATTTTGTCAAGAAAATTAAATGTTAAAAATGTTTTCCCCTCTGTGGGGGTGTGAGTTAGACAAGGTATTGAGGCATTTTTTGTAAAATATATACTTTAAAAAGTATTTTTATTATAGTGGATCTCAGGTTGTCCAAAGTTTATTCGGATCTCTACTTGATACAAATACATATATATATATATATATATATATATATATATATAACTTATAAATGTAAAATCGTGAAAAATTGTTGAAGTGGTGATATAAGATTTTTAGTAACTTCCGATAAAACGAGTAGCATGTTATAACAGTCAATGTATTGCATCGTACAACCCATTTCCCATTGTATGTTTCTACCTAGTGTAAGAAGACAACACAATCATAAGACAACACATTTTTGACTTACCACATGCATCTGGGTGTTCCATTCAGTAGTAGTAAATCACCTCAAAAAAGGTGTGACCGAGAAATAGCGACGAAAAATGGCAGCTGTTGATGATATTAAATATACATTACTCTAATTTTTAACAATGTTTCTCCTATTTACAACCTTAAAATGGCCTTGAAAAATTAAAAATAATTTCAAGTTAAGTATATCTATTTAAATATGAATTATGCACCTGCATTTATTATTATTATTATTATTTAATTAAATTGCCCAACGGAGAAACTTCCATTTACAGGGCAGATAAGAAGTAATGACTATTAATAAGTAAGAAAATTAGTAAAAGAATTCAATGTAACTAAACGAGCAAGAACTGTTCACGAATCTTACTAAAGGAATTTAATCTAAAAATATCTCCAGCGTGTTCAATATTTTCGTAATTTGTAATCATTGGATAGATAGGAGAGTTTGATAGAATGTTCGTTTTGAAGTTTGATATAAAGAAAATATTATGATGCCGTTTATTAAATGCTGGAACTGCAAAGTTTATATTATTTAGTAGGTCTGGACTATCGATTAGGTAGTGAGTTCATTTAAATAAGAATATTACAGAAAAATACGATCGCCTGCAAAACAGAAACGGGATGTTTATACGTTTAAGAAGTAGATCTTCTGGGTAACCTCGAGGTGGATAAACATCGTCCATCAAGAATAATGCAGATTTAGCAAAACGACGTTGTACTTTCTCAACTGATCTTGTGTGTGGGTATTATAATTAGGTGACCACACGACACTCGCGCATTCCAACTTTGGACGAACAAATGTCTTGTACCTATAATAAGATAAAAACACTAACATCAGAGAAATGTTTTGCATTTCTTGTGACACAATCCAAACACTTGAAGGCAGAGAAGACAGTTGTATTTACATGTTCACGAACGTTTAACAGACAAAAGTCACTCCCAGATCCTTATGTGAGTTACGTCTCTCTAATTCAGTACGCTTAACGGTGTAATTAAATAGATATTATTTGTTTCTTTGTAAATGACATCGAATAGCGTTTCTTAAAATTTAGCGGTAAATTATTAAGAGTAACCATTCATTGGTTTTTAAGATATTATTTTGCAGTCTAACACAGTCCTCAATGCTATCAATTTTCAAAAACAACTTTGGGTCGTCTGCAAACAATAGGTAATTGACATTCAAATCACACACAATATCATTGACGAACAATAAAAAAGCAAAGGGCCCAAAACAGATCCTTGAGGAACACCTTAAGACTGTTCAAAATTGTGAGATCTATATCCATGATATTGTACATATTGATATCTATCCTTCAAGTATAATTTAAAAATATTCGTCCGACCATTTTAAAATCCATACAACTTCATTTTAGATAACAATATTTCGTAATCGATTCGGTCAAACGCCTTCGAAAAATCCGTGTAGACCAAGTCCACCTGACCAGACTTGTCAATATTCTCATAAAGATGTTGTGTCAATGAAACTAAGTTTGTAACAGTAGACCTACCAGCCATAAATCCGTGTTGGTGGATGGATATCATACTAGCTATGTAATTATATATTCTCTTATGGAGTATTAACTCAAAGACCTTACAGAACTTGTTAATGATAGCAATGGGTCTGTAGTTTTCAACTTCAGATTTATTCCCTTGCTTAAATATGGGGCAAACACGTGACGTCTTCCAGCTGTCAGGAAAAACACCAGAACATGAAAATTTATGTTAATGGTCTTAGAAAAATGTGCTTACAATCAGATATTACAAAAGCAAGAATTAACTGTGAGCCAGATACCATGGTAGTTTTTTATGTTATTTAGAGCCAATAATACTTCAGCCTATGTAATACTGGATAACGATAACACATTCAATGAGTCAAGATTCATATCAGGGTAGTCGCTGCAAAGGCGACCAGAGAAAGAACTCGAGAAATACTTCGCAAAACCGTTAGCTATCTTCTGAGGGCTATCTAAACTAGAGGACCCATAACTTATAACACTTGGTAAACCACCAGACCTGGAGATTTTGGATTCGTTTTTATATTATCCTTAATTACTTGTGGGTAATTGGAATAGGCATCTCGTATCTCTCTTTTCCATTCAGACCGTGGTTGCTTAAATTTATTGCCGCATTCTTCATCACCAGTAGCTTTATACCTTTTCCACAATTTATATTTATGTTTAAGACGCAAAATGATATTTTTTTTGTACCATTCAGGAAAAGCTCCCATAGAGTTATTTTTATAGGGAATATGTTGTGCAAAAATTATCATTAGTTGGTCGTAGAAGACATTGACCATATCATTGTCATAAAGTCCTACAAAATTGGCATTTTTGACGTTAAACTCGTTTAGGTTTATGGTGCAGGATTTTAAAGTTTTTGCTCTTTCAAAAGTAATTCCAATTTCTAACGCAGAGTGATAGTTGTCCTCCAATAAGATTACTTCACTAGCTTTGCAAACTGAAGGAAATTTATTACTAAACAGAAAGTCGAGAAGTCTTCCCATTTAATTTGTAATATAATTAAATTGTTTTAATTCAAAATAGTTAATCAAATTATTAATAATATCAAACTTTGCGGAGTGTCTATTACCTTCTTCACAATTAAGAAATTCCGAGATATTAAAGTCACCAACAGATAAAATCAGACCCATATATGCAATTCAATGACATGAGTATATCAGAGAAAACAGCAAAACCATCACAAAGTACTGTTTGGTGGCATACACACAGTGAGTATATATATAATTCGATGATCAAAAAATACCTTAACAAGAAGTAAATCAATATGAGGAATATCACCGAGATTATCAGTAGTTAAATCTAGTTATGCCCGTTAATATTTTTGATCTTAGTGCTAGTAACACACCACCACCTCTTTTCTCAGTTGAACGATCACTGTGGAAGATACTGAAATTAGATAAATCAAAAAATTCACCATTCATTATGTTGTCATAAGCTATGTTTCAGACAAGGCTAATATATCATTAAAGATAGACTGAGATGCTAGCAAGATTTGACCGGCTTTGGTACGAAGTCCACGTACATTCTGATAATACATCGTAATAATAGAGCATTTTCTAACAAAAGGTAAATTATTAGTACTAAACCAATTGCGAATTTAGAATAATGTTTTTGAAGTTGTTTACATGGGTTTTATTACGAAACATTTGTTAATTTCCCAAATCGTATGATTTGAGTCTACATTGGAATTAGTTTGCTTTAATGGACTGCAGTGAACACAGTTAAGCATCTCTGATTGATAGTCTTGCAGATTATGTTTTTCAGGACATTTAGGACATGTGGGGATTTTTTCGTTGCACTTGTCGGCAACAATTGTAACAATGACGCAAATCTATTCCATTCCAAATTTTGCAATATTTATACCCAATCAGCACTTTTTCCGCTTTCAACAATTTATTATAAGAGTCTCAGTCAGTTTGAACAACAGCTTGATATAATTTATTATTTGTATTACGCATAGCTCTAAAACTGATTACTTTGTGGTTCTGATTACTATTGAATAATAATTGATTCTGATTTACAAGACATCTCGAAAACATTTCAGAATTAATCTCCTTGGAATTCCTGATACTCTGGGACAAAGACTAGGCAATTGTTCAGCATTATAACCTTTATAAAGTTCACTAATTTCCAAATCAATGATTTTCTTTGTGTCCTCAAATTAGATTTCGTGTTGGATACTTTTTGGTCAGTGGTCAAGATCGATAGCTTCTTTCAATGTGTCGAACTTTTCAGATTTTTGGCATTTAGAAGTATTTAATTTCAAAAACTACATGCTTCCGCCCAGCGCAAGTAGACGTTCGACAACATTGGTATGCCCACGCGCCCGAGCTAGAAAAAGAGGCGTAAAACCGCCCGTTGTTTTGCGATTAATTTCGGCCCCCGATGCAACTAAAATTTCTACAATATTCTCGTGTCCGTGTATACAAGTTATGTGAAGAGATGTAACACCCATATTCCCAGTCTGATTTATGTTTGCTCCTAGCACAAGTAGACGTTGTACGATCTTGATATGTCCAGAACCACAAGCTACATGAAGAGGCGTAAGACCGTTCGTTGTTACGCGATTAATTTCGGCACCTGATGCAACCAGAAATTCTACCATATTCTCGTGTCCTTTTTGACAAGCTATGTGAAGAACTGTGCCACCTCCAACGGAGGGCTGATTTATGTTAACACCTAACGCAAGTAGACGTTCTACGACCTTGGTATGTCCAGAGAGACAAGCTAAAAAAAGAGGTGTAAAACCGTCCGCTTTTCCGTGATTAATTTCGGCTCCCGATGCAACTAAAAGCTCTACGATATTCTCGTGTCCTTTATGACAAGCTATGTGAAGAGGTGTGGTACCTGTATTCTCAGGCTGATTTATGTTTGCACCTAGCGCAAGTAGAAGTTCTACGATCTTGATATGTCCAAAATTACAAGCTTTAAAAAGAGGCGTAAAACCGTTCATTGTTCCGCGATTAATTTCGGCCCCCGATGCAACTAAAAGTTCTACAATATCCTGGCGTCCGTTTTCACAAGCTGTGTGAAGAACTGTACCACCTCCAGCATCCTCATTTATGTTAGCACCTAGCGCAAGTAGACGTTCTATGACCTTGATATGTCCACAGAGACAAGCTACAGCAAGAGGCGTAAAACCGTTCGCTGCTCTGCGATTAATTTCGGCACCCGATGCAACTAAAAGTTCTACAATATTTTTATGTCCCACTAGACAAGCTATGTGAAGAGGTGTGGCACCTCCATTCTTAGGCTGATTTATGTTTGCACCCAGCGCAAGTAGACGTTCTACAACTTTGATATGTCCAAACTGACAAACTGCAAAAAGAGGCGTAGCACCGTCCATGACAGCATGATTAATTTTAGCTCCAGCTAGAACTAAAAATTCTACAATATTGCAGTGACCTTCTAGGCTTGCAATATGAAGAGGCGTAAACCCATAAATAGCAGAACAATCAGTGCTGGCACCTAGTTTCACTAAAAACTTAACCACTTTCTCACTTTGTCTAGAAGAAGCTAGATAAAGTAATGTCATGCCCATTAAATTTCTAGCATTTAAGATCTTTTTATCAAGTTTCAATAGATCTGCATAAGGTCTACCTGCATAAGTTGAAACTTCTGAATTTAGATTATCTATTACATCATCATATCCAAATACAGCTGTATAATATAATATGTTAATTAAATGCTCAATCGACAGATCCATTAAATTTTTGTTCTGTTGCTTCAAAATCTTAATTTCAAAGACAAGGCAGTCACTTTTTTGGGCATACATTAACGGTGTCATTTTGAAAAATGTATCTTGTTGAGATAAATCGCAGATACTTAGTAAATAATTTAAAATCTTCAAATTTTCCATGTTTTCAGCTTTAGCATTAGGAAAACCCAAATCATTGACTACATAAGCGTCAGCAGTTTTTGTAACTTTCAGTCGAGGATGTCTCTGACCCCACGAAGAAGCTACGTGTAAAGCACTCCTTCCACCGCCATCTATAGACGTGCGGATACTATTTCCATACTTTTCCAACAAGTTCATGTTCTTGTATAAGACTGCCACATGAACTGGCGATTCCCTTGCTAGTAACAAATCGAAAAAAAATCTTACATTTACATATTTTGGTTCAAAAATTACATCTACAAAAATAGAAGAAAGGTGTTGATTTTGAGAGAAATATAGCGCTGCGAAATATTCCGCAAAACAGTTATGAATAAAATGTACCGGTTTACATGTTATGTTTATTACTAAACCAACCAAAACGTATTCTTCTTTAAACTCCTCAATGTTACTTTCAAAATCGATATTAAGTTTCTTTAGAAAATCTACAGAGAATAATGTTTTTAGGGCTAAGTCTTGGTGGTGTTTGAGAATTGAAGCCTCTAGTATTTTGACGACTGATTCAGAAAAGGAGTTTTTAAAATACCCAACCAACATTTTCTCAAAATAGACCTTCATATTTTCTTGCACAAAATAATGATATAAATCAGTCAAAACAAATATATCACTAAGAAGTGTAAAATATTTGGTTATATCTTTTCGAAGCAAATTTGTAAGCATAAAGATTTGTAACGGTATGCCTAAGATTTCTTTATGTTCAACTAGTGCAAAGGAAGACCGAACTCTGCTTATAATTTCTTCAATATCTTCCGTTATGTCAATATTTTCAAGACGTTTTTTAATGTAAGTGGATTGTTCTTGTTCGGTAAATTGAGACAAGTTTAAAGAAAGCACAGTAAATTTAGTTTCTAATAAGTGTTTCAGTTGAAATCGACTTGTTATCCACTGAGGGTGATCTTTTTTAGAAAGCTCAACAATTAAATTTGTAATTGTTTCTAGAGATTCAGTAGGAATTTCGTCCAAAGCATCCCAAACGTAAGATACTTGGTTCTGTTTAACAAACACTTGGAAAAATTCCTTTGCTCGTTTATCCATCGATTTGTATTTCTCATGAAAAATAAAATTTTGTAAAGTAATATCTAAATTGTCATTGTCATTATCGTTTGTAATATATTTCGAAAAGAGAGAAATATCTGTGGGGTTCATAATTATGGTCCAAATTTTTGAAGGAGACGTATTTTTTAAGCTTTTCATTAATTCAGACTTTCCCATCCCCGGGTTACTAATTATCAAATTTATGTTGTTTGCAAGTTTTCTACACCACATTTCTTTTTCTGAGAAAAGAAAATTATTCATTTTATATTCTTCTAAACTGTTTACATTACCCTTACTTTGAATCCATTCAAAACTGTCTTCGTCTATAAATCTCAAATGGTGATGATTTTTCGCATCTTTATTTTTGTCGCAAATAGCTTCAAATTGAGTTTTGTTACACTTGTTTGTAATAATAAAAACGCTGACTTTGGAAATACTACCTTCTATTATTTTGCTGGAATGAGTGCTTGGCTCCCTTTCGTTTAGGTAGTCTTCGATGTCATGAATATTGCAGTTGTTTAGTTTATGTTTTAATAAATCAATTTTTCGGACGCAATCTATTACCACTGAAGTATTTTCATTAATTTTTTGGAAGTACTTTACATTTATAATATTTCGCCATACGTTCCTTTCGATATATGGTTTCGGAAGATTTTCTAGAAGACCGCCAATAGCATACGGACCATCTAACATTTCCACCAAATGGCCTGTTCTTATAGTATAAATAAAGTCAAGACTGAATGCATTTTGTAAACTGGCCTGTTCTTTTCCTTGAACACAAACATGAAACTTTTCAAGAACCTGATCTCTATGTGGTGTTTTTAAGTCAGATAAATTTCGAAAAACTTGTTCAGGTTTTATTTTTTCATAACTAATATTTTCTTCATTAATATCATTAACAAGAACAATAAATCTAGCCTTTGGACATAACTCAATGGCTTTATGAACGACTGCATCCGCCATTACAATTATTGGACATTGATCATTTAACCACAGCAATGTGCTCAATAAGTTTGGATCTAAATTATCAAGAGTTTGAATATAAAACGAGCTAAGGTGATACATTTCTCGGATTTCATTTAAGTGTTTCATTTCCGTAATATAACTTTTAGCATCCCCCCACAAATTTTTTATCTTATCGTAAGCATTATGTTCGAGCAACGTAACGTTGAAATTAACAATAGCCTCTCGTAGAATTTTCATGTTCTCGTTTACATTACTGCCAAAAGACAAAGGTTTAATTCGAGAAGATAAAAGAGTAACAGCAATGGCGCGTTGTACCCAACTCTTACACAATTTACGTTTCTGCCCTTCCTGTTGGCTCCATTCTTCCACGATTTTCAAGTACGCATCGCACTCGGTTTGATTCGCAAGAAATAATGTTTTTAACTTCTGGGCTATTTTTGTTTCAAGACATTTAGAGTTATCTTGATTGACCATTAAATAAAATTTATCAAAAAAGTGTTTGTACATCAAAATTTCTGGAGAGTAATCGTATGCACACTCATCTTCAACAATATGAAATTTATAACAATGACTTGATTTATCAGAAATCTTAAAAAAAATATCTTTTGGTTCTAAATGAGATATTTCAATCTGAAAATTTTCACCATCAAGAGAAAATCGAGTATGCTTCTTGTAATCTAACTTAAGATTGGTATATAATATAAAATTATCTACGGTGCAATTTATATTTTGAACAGAATTGAAATACTTTTTTATGCTAAAATCTCCTTTCTCTTGCTTGAGTTGTTTTAGGGCCAACGTACCCCGACGGTTATGTTTAAGTTGTAAAGCAGAGACATTGTTACCTGTTACTGATGGTATTTTTATAACTATATCATCAAAATCACCAAAATTTTCATCATTAGAGGAGATATAAAAGTTTTCTATAGTGTCATCCACAACACAGTTGAGTCCGATGTTGGCGATGTTTAACTTTTCATAGACAGTGCCTTCATTCGTTGTACCTGATCTTTTTTTAAAAGTCTGAAAAAAATATCAGTAATAAGTTTATGTACCTAAAAAAAAATATTTTCTAAGAATGAGTCGTGCTTAATTTTTATGTGTATGAAGATACAGCTAGAAGCACGGAAAGGTTTCTATTCATAAGATACAATGGTTTTATTGAATACATCACTTCCATCTATTTATTAGTTCCTATTTAAAAAATTAGAAGTGCATGGGAGGTCGATAGACAACTGATTTGAAATTTCTTTCCAATCTGGACATGACTCTCACAGAATATGATTAAATAAGGAGACATCGACTACCGTATTCGTATTTTTAAACTACTAATAAAGTAACGTTAGTTTTGTGATCCTGGAAAAATCAATTGGACGCAGTATTTTAGCGGAATATAGGCTTTTTAGCTGCTAGATTAAAAAGCCAAATGTTCTCATCTAATTTTGAATTTTACTACGTTGCGCAATAAAAGACCAAAAGAATGGTGTGAATATCAATTAACACACAAGGAGGAAATGTTTAAGAGACTTTCAAATAAACATCTAACTATTCAAAACTAAGTTCAGATTTACTTATAATACGTCTACACCTAAGTACTACGACAGCATTAATAAAAACACATGGTTAATTACTCGAATTTATAGTTTTTGGTTTTATATATTGTACAACGTGTTATTGAAAGGTACGTACAAAATAAAATCGACAATTGGTCTCGAAGTATGAGTGCTAAAAGTTAAAAAAAGTTCAGATAAAAGCGTTCTCCTTTTAGAGATAAAAATTATTAAAATTTATGTCAAAATTTGTTATACGCCTTTGATAAAAATATTATCTCTCGTTTCAAGAGCAACGTTTAGTCTTGACAAAAGTTTTATTGTTACAGTTGCTAGGATTTACTAAAATAAATTAATTTTATCTATTTATCCTTCAGTAGCGTTTAAAAAAGTTGGATAAGGGTTAATTTCCCCCTTATAATTTTGATAACACAAAATAAGTTTTTCAGACTTCTTAGACTTCGCGAAGAACTGTCAATTTTGTTGTACGTACCTTTCAATAACACCCTGTATATAGGTAAACATAATATATGCAACAAAAATTTTCTAATGATCAGCAAATGCGTCTTAGTGTGTAATACATTCCGAATTAAGCACAAGGTTTTATCGAAACAGATTGTCTTGTGCTGAACTGTTCCTGCGTACAAGGTGACTTGCGCCAAGTTTCCTTTGCTTAAAAATGTCGTGCGCAAAAATGGATGCGTCGAGATAATTGTCTCAAGTGGACCACGCCTAATTGTCCATTTCCATAAAATAATAAAGTTTCGTGGCAAAATATGCCCCACCTCAGAGACTAATTAGATAGTGACAATTCTATAGTAACCCTGGATTCTAATAGACTTTTAAAACCTAGCTTTTGTAATTCTTAAACATGTGTTACACAAAATTGTCAAAAGAACAACAAATTAAATAAATACGAGTAAAATATTAAAAATACATTCACTCACCTCCATAATTTCAGCGGTACTCTATAAGATTCACACCAAAGGGAAGATTTTGTAAGATCGTTTCATCATACGTTTGATTTGGGCTAGGACAAAACAAGTTATAATTAAGTACTACCTATATTTTTTGGTACGAACAGTGATAAGATTGATAAGTAGATACAATTTATGTTCATTCGATTTTTTTCTTGTTATAAGAAGGTAATTTCCGCCAGTGGTTATGTCATACATATGTACCTACAATGTGTTAACTTATAATCACCGTCGTAAATTGTAACGTTACAAAAATTAATTAAAAATACCATCAACAAGAGACAAAAACTTAAGGCGTCGTAAATTATCTATTTTGAAGCATTAAATAAACAGATAACTCTTATCATTTTAGCTATCGGCGACATTTCTGTCAAAGGTAAACTTAAAGTTTACATTTTCCGCTAAGTACTTTAAAAACAAAATGTATTTTTATCCTATATGAAAAATCATTATGTTGTACTTAGTAGATATTTTTAAGAGATGATATTTTACATAGAGGAAATTTTTATTTTCGCAAATTTTCTGATAGTCGACTTTTGCTTACGATAAATTTAAAATATCTGCAAGATTTTAAAGCATTCGGTATAAGCAATTCTAACAAGTCTTAGTGGAATTACAAGTCATTATATTATACACATTTTAGGTAGCATTTATTTGACAAAATTTTGAGATTACATCTTCAATTTTTGGGGAGAGGATACACGAATAAATTTTGTTTAATGATTTACCATCACTAGGATAATCTTAAAACGTTTGGCAAATTTCAGAGCATTCGGTTTTGCAGTTTCAAAGTTAAATTACAAAATGCTGTTACACAAGTTTGCTTTTTTCCCAAAAATCTGGATGTCTAAGGTGAAAACTCAACACGAATTCATACATTACAAGTGCAAGAGTATCTTATTTTATAAAAGTAAAAGAATTATTGTAAATTTTTGAGATGCCATCATCTCAATGGTGTTAAGGATCATTAGCCCAATTTTGATGAGAGTTTTACCATCTACATGATATTCCTAATGTACATACAAAATTTGATAACAATCGGTCCAGTAGTTTCGGAGATTATCTTTTTAATAAAAAATTCGGACAGACGGCAGACAGACGGAAACGGGAGATCCCTTTCTTCGTACTCTAGAGGTCATGAAACGTCGAGAAAACATAAAAGTAAGGAGTCGGCCTCATGAAGTATTAGGTTTTGCCGGAGAATGTTTAACCAGTATATCTGGCAACACCAACAGCACTCAATCGGCAGATTACACAGTTTTAATTTTCAAAGTTGTAGTATTGTATTTCTTATATAAATATCAATAAGTATTTCAGTGTTGTTGATGAGGTGTTTTATTGTGAAAAAAACCTTGAACAGTCAAAAAAGTACTTTTTCTGCCTAGTCAAAAGGTGTTGTTTGATAACTGGCGCTTTTCATTATTTACAACAAAATTACCTACTTTATTGTCTAAAAACAATAAAAAGCAGGAACCTTTTGACGTTTGGAGAAAAATCATATTTATTAATTGCGTTTGGTGAGTAAATAAAAAAATCATAAAAGACTTAAATATAAAATGCATGAAAATATTCTAAGTACATACATATATATAAAAAAAAAAAATTGGCGGAACTAAGAGCTTGTGTTGTTTTTGTTCTTTAAATTAAGACCTACAACACTGCTAAAGTAATCTTATTGTTCGTTTAAAATAACAGTGACTATCTACATTAAGGCAAGGAAAAAATGAAAGGAAAGAAGGAAGTAATCAATCTAGAACTAAAATTTGCATACAATTTTTAAAGAATAACCTGTAATAATATTGTTACGTTGGAGAGGTATTCAAAATGGGCGTGGATAAAACTCAACAATTTATTTCTTAGTAACTCAAATTTACTCAACCAATTACACAGCGATTATGCACAGAATAATTCCGACTCGACTGGAATGGATTGGACTAGACTCAACTTCTCCCGTTGTCTGGACGTCACTTGTTGGTTGAGACTCCCTCGTTCCCGAAGGTGGTCTCTATTTAAACCCATACATAAATTTCTAGATGTTTTGCGATCGAGCCCTTTCTGGAATACCCATCGCCCCTCCCCCTTCCAGGCTTTTCTTTAGCGAACGCCGTTCAGCCGCGTCACCGACGATGAGTCACCGATCATGCATACTAGGAAGCTCCCGACAGTCCACAGGCGTCGTACATACCCGGGTGGTGTATGAGTTTATCTCGTAACAATATACACAGTTACATACTTACTATTTACTTAGGCTTAGATTTTTGATGACATGTTTTCTGTAATTTTGTGTAATTAGGTAGTTGATCTTGAATAGCAAACAAAAAGCGTTTTGTTTCGGCATACAAACGTATTTTTTCAGACAAATCGATGACATTTTATTGTTGTTTTGATCTTGGTTAAAATTATTGAAAAATTTTCCATATCATATAGTTGCATTTGTTTTAATTTATTATTGTTTTTTGGTGTGTGATTCAAGTCTGTTCTTGGTAGAGGCAGAACATTGTGAAGTGGACCCTATTAATGGATTAGGCTCGGAAGGTAAAAAAAGGATATAAAACACATTAACGAAAAATTTCTTATTAATAGAGTTAGACATTATGGCACAGTTCAATGGGAGAACATATAGTTCGGCTAAAGATATAGTGCGGATGGTGCGGTTGTAGCTGTGTTATTTTTTCTATTTATTTAATGTTATGAGGCTGTAAAATGCATATGAAATCACAACCTTTAGCCAAACTTTACATACAATGAGCAATTATGCTTCAACATATGTAAGTTAGAAGTGTATAATTTATGACTAGATACACATGTAACTTCTGTTCCAAAGGATTGTGTGGGTGATCGGTTAACACAAATATACTACAAGTGTAACATGGATCTCTAGAATGTCTTTAACTGATGGTTCCCTAACGTAGTTTGTTCTTTTCTTCCAGCAAGATTAAGCAACGTTACCTGAGAAAAAATCAGACCAAATCATTTTCTAATCTCAAGATGTAAAACTGCAACTAGGTAATTTCAATACAATTAATAACGATCTTAAAAGATCTTCTTTATACACGCTCCTGTTCGAAAAGAAAAAACGTGATGTATTACTTGCAGTAAAACTGACTTGATATGGTTTTGTTTGTCTGACAAGAAGTTACTTAAGTATATTTAGATTTTAACATATTCTTTCTATTTCAGCTGTAGCTGCAACTGGTACTTAACGACATGAAGCACACAAAACTGTTTAACTGCTATATATAAAATGCACCAATCAGAGAGAATCCAGTTAAGATTTACTTAAAGAAAACAACTAAGACATGATCAATCTATCAAAGAATGTTAATGTGACGTAGTTTTCCTCTAAATAGTTAGTTACGTCTGCCTAGTGACAAATGATGATTTAATCAGTGATTTCCATCGACCTTGTTTCTTAAATTCTCATCAAGTGGACTCGCTGACAAACATAAAGGATGCAATTGATAGAGCAGTAACTTTCTACTTGCTCCAGAAATCTTCCTCTATCAAGTACGTGCTTTCTCAGGCCTAAAAAGTAAATCAAACTCGAGAACATGTTATTTCATTATTGCTAAAGTGACACATGTAGCATCTTAGATGAAAATGTCCCAATTACATAACTGCAGCACTGTAGAATTTTCTTGAACCCTATATTTTGTACGTCCTTTTTATTATAAAACAGCCAAAATCGTTCTGAAAACTTACTGTTTAGGGTAAATTTTCTAATAACATTAAACACTTTAATAATGTTCTTCTCTGAATGGTGCATTCTTTTAACAAAAGATATTATAAATTTCATAAGTACATATAAATAGCGTTCTTCTTAACATGCCAAAAAAAGCTAGCTTTCATAGATTTCCGGGTCAACACCTCATCATCTTGATTAAACAGTTTTATCTTCGGTGATTTCTTGATGTGGATTTTTCGGTTACAGTTTCCTAAAGATGAAATAATTACTTAGTAAACAAAGTGGTATTTCATGGTAACAAAATGAATTTTTTTGACAAAATAAAACAAAAACTGAGAAAATGATGTAATAACCCAAACATCCCGCCTTAAACTGACATGTGAAAAAAATTTGAAAAGCCCGCGAAACTTTCAAAAATTCAAACATCTGGCCTTGGCTGTGATCGTCTAACATAATGGAACCCTAGATTGTGATTGGTTTTTTTGTGTGCGTTCAGATGCAAGTAGTGTACCCCAAGGTTGGAAAAGTACCACTAAATAAAACACAAAATATACAGGCTGACTGCGAAATACATGCAAAAAAAAATGGGGAATAGCTCACAATATGATTATGTCACTGGTAAAAATTCACAGTCCCAAGTGGTAGCAGTGTCTAGAAAAAATTATTTGAAATTAAATGTAAATTGTTATACGCGCCGCTAGTAATGTTTCGTGACCTACATAATGACTGCAATGAATGGGCAGGGGACTCGGAGTAAGAACCAAAAAAGTAACTTTATCAGGCACTTTTTTAATCGCAACGTGAAAAACACGAAAAGGGCCAGTCATTATCGAGCGGTCGTTGAAATCGGTGTATGGTCCAGTTTTCCAATGCAGAGTGTGTCGATATGGTAATTTGTGTGCGCGAACATTTGCATCAGTGGTACAACATCTCCGAGATCATGGTACCTTCAACCTCAAATTCGCGATTGTGGTCGTGATGGAACAGAAAGAAGAAATTGGATTTTCGCAGCTTGTAGTGCATCCTACATTAAAAGTACACGGTCACAACCATACCATGTTGACAAAGTGCACGGTTTGGAGCCCGCTGATTGTCCACGTTGTGTAACTCACTTTTTTGTCCGATGGAACTCCACATAGTCGTCAACAAGTACGATTTCAAGAGACGGTTATTGAGAAACATGTATTGATTGGATGAAACAATTCGTTTGTGGAAATCAACAGTGTCCAGAAATTATCGAAGAGCTTCAACAAGTGAAAGTGGCAGCCGCTACTCCGGTGTTTTTTTACCTATCAACAAACCTCTTGCGACGCTCTGACGCTTGTATTGCTAGTCAAGGACAACATTTTCAACATTTCTTGTAAAAAGGTAGTAGCATTCTAAGTTGCTCTTATTTCTGTTCCAATAAACAATGTAAAATCGTTGTGACAAGGACCAAACATCCGTCAGAATCAAAATTACCAAAAAACTTTCACACTGACCTTTAACGATGAATGAGAAATGAATGAACGAATGATAAGCAGTAAAAAGTCGGTTTTACTTTTAATTGAAATTGAAAGTGTTTAGGTCGTTTTTATTCGAACGTTTTTCCAACTCTGTTTACAAGGTGGCTCAGTGCCTTCGTATCCGAAGGTGGTTCATGGGGGTTTTGCCCCATTCGATTTTTAATTTATTTTTTCTATATTTCGGCTCTGCTAGGGTGGGGGATGCCGTGGTTAAAATATTTGCATATATTTCGCAGTCACCCTGTATGGAGGACATAAAACGTTTATTCCTCCATTAACAAAAAAAAAGAAAAAAAGCTCCCCTGACTTCTACTCAAGATTTGCATCTTTTGTGCAGATGGCGCGACTGCCAGCTCGCCAAGGAACCGTGCACTCCGCTTCCGTCACGTGTTCCTGTGTTATTTACCCCAATTCTATTGAAGTGTTCACTTTCTATGACTCTAACATTAAACTACAACCGAACAAGTGTTAAAGTTTCAAAAAGAGCAAGGAAACAACATTTAATTTCGCCATACACTCTCGTAAAATTTTAAACAGCAAAGATTTTTAATACAAAAAAACAATTTGGTGTGAAGTAAAACGTGTGCAGAAAAATTACGTGATGTTAGAAACTGCAAAGCATGAAAATTTACGTTTAATTTAAATTATGCAGCAAAAAAAAATTACTGAGGCTAAAATTGTGAGGTATGACGTTAAATTTTGCCACACTTTATCAACAATTCAAACAAAGAATTTACATGATGTTAAATTATCCCGTGATCCAGGTGACTGGTCACTTAAAACAATTATATCGTGGACTGCCCAGGGTAAACATTTAATCCCCCGTCCCTCAGTTCACGATATTATGAATTCTACCGCACTTTCCACGGTCCTTTTCCCAGAATGGGACAAGTTAGGTTAATTTAACTGCCGTAAATGAGCTATTAGCAATCTTGTGTGAGGAATTAAGAAGTATTATAATGTAACACTTAAGTATAAGCATCCAGAAACTTTATTTATAACTTGATAAACAAAGGATGAGTCCTGACTAACTGAATTTCGTGAAATCCCCTAGTAAGTGTTTTATTAAACAATCTCATGACTGTCAAATTGTGTTAGAACCAGTAATGATTAAGCTCCTAACATGAACTGTGAATTTACAAACAATAAATCAAATGTACACCACGTGTTAGCGTCGGTTGACCATTCGCATAGTTCCGCTTGGAAAAACAGCAATAATTAGCTACACTTGTTGGGAAAACCATGACGTCGATTTTTTTCGTTAAACAAAGACTTCCCTCTTTTTTCTAACTACTAAACCAATTAAACTTAATCCAGCTACCTTACCGCGTGCTTCACTACCAACCCTCTCACTGGATACTACCCAGAAATTCCCTAGGAGAGCTAGAGCTTATTTGAAATCAGAAATACACACCAATAAAAGAGCGCAGATACTAGTATTTGAAATACTATTCAATGCGCATGAGCACTACTTTCACAGAATCAGCGGCGTCGAGAACGAACTTCCTTTACTCTTTGTACCTATTTTGTACTTTCGGGTGCTAACACGTGCAACGTGCAAAGCCCAATAATAACACTAGTGGTGAGCCACTGACTAGTGCATACTCTTCGCCCATCTTCGCGTATTCATCCATCCCATTCGATGTACTTCTGATTTTAAATAAGCTCTACCAACTACCAGAAAAGAACTAAACTTTGCACATGGTTGCCCATGTTTAACGATTTTCTTGATTCATTTTTTTTCAAATTCAAATTATTCAAATGCGATTTCGCTGCGTTGTAAACTATTACTGTTTTGACAGGTATTTATACAAAGAATTTATAAACAACCCATATAAATAATTAAAACATTACACACATATACTTACTATGTGTTGAGAAATGGTTATACTGCTTCGACAATCGTAGCACAGGTTTTTCACAGTAAGTATCTCCCACCGTAGAAAAAACAGACACAGAGAATGCACCTGTAACATGCAACATTTCAGTAACTTCCATATAGCTTAAAAATATAGTATCTTATTAATTATGTAAAATTCTCTTAACTAGAAATTTGTATATTAGAAAAAAATTATATATATATGCTAGAGCATTTCAGTGAAAATGAATCAACCTAATACATAGTTCAAGTGTTTTCTTCCGAGAAAAATCTTAAACACAAGTTGTGACAACCAAATCATTCTACCAAAATTGAAATATGAGCAAAAAAATTGGGAAACGGTAAAAAGTTCGAAAGGTGGTCTAGATCTGTGACACAGTGAGTACGAACTACGTTGGGTTTCTAAATGAGGACTGCGTTCAAATTCTAAGTGGTGAACCCCAAGAGAAGAAAAGTGACCTTGAACATAAATCCTTTATTAGTCATTAAATTATTAAAGGGCTACCAGAAATGTGGATCTTCTTTTGAGGAGTGAAAAGGTAGGAAATAGGTCTGAGTAGACACATGTTAACATGATACAGAATTCAAGCCACAAGGGTGTGTCAAAAATAAAGTATCGAAATTCAGACTGTGGAATGATTGTACACAAATAATAACATAAAATAAGCATAAAACACACCTTCCTGATTCACTGTTTTTAATCTTTGTGAGAAGTTAACGAATGTAAATAATAATTTAGGAAAACCTAAAATATCTACGCCTGAATAAGTAAATTTCTGCTGCTGTTTTACGTCAAAAAGGACTCTAAATTCGCCTACATAAATGTACCGAAACTCAGGTCTTAATTTCAATAAAACACAGAAAAGACCTTACTTTCACTTGTGGGTAATGATGTCACTTAATGAACTAAAAACATTAAATATTGCAAAACCAATAAGCAACTACTGTAATGTATACCATACCAGTACAATGGTTTTAAATAGACAGTATAGTCTTTTAAACAGTTATGGGAAAAAATATTTCGGTCACATTACAGGGATTGCTTGCACAAAACTGATGAAAAAACAGGCGAAAATAAAATAACCAAAAACGTATAAAATGAAACCAAAAACAAAAAGAAAATAAGCGAAAGAGCAAATGAAAGATGCAGATAACATTTAAAAGGATGTGAAAGGAAAAACAGAAGAAAATAATTTATTTTAGAAGACAATCAAAATATAATCCAGAAATTGTAAAATAATGAATAGGTGATCTCGTGTTGAGCAACATAGTAAAACAAAAAATATGGTGCTTATTACAACAGTTCCTTTCCAATTTTATAGTTTAGTTTGGTGTGAGAACATAACAAATAGATAAGACAACATATTCAGATCACTTACCCAATATATTTGCGTATTCCGTTGAATATCAGATACTCGTTTCAAAAATTGATACCCGAACAATGATAGAAAATGGCAGCAAGTGATGATATTACGTGTACTCAAATTACAACAATGTTTTCATTATTTACAACCTTCAAACAACGTAGTAACAAATTTGACGAGATGCACCTGTATTCAGTCTAGAATCGTTGTTAAAACTCTAAAGAAGTCATGGATAAATATGATATTTCTTATTACGTAAAGACAAATTTAACCAAATGTTGCCAAATTTCGTAATACTAACAAGTATAGTTTTAAGTTCGAATGATGCATATTCAAATAAAATAAAATAATAGTATAAAATAAAAATCCGTAGAAAAATAGTACTACTTTTTGTATTATAAATATTTCAACCATCAAGTCACATTTTGTTGACTTATTTTTGGTTTCAAAGCACTACACATTTACTTTTACCAGCAAATGCCTTAAATCTTGGTAGGCTTGATTTACTCCGTCCCCTCAAAATCTCAACAATTTTCTCATTACCTTTTTCCAAAGCTATTGAAAGTGGTGAAGGGCCAAAATATGTCGCTAAATTAATATCGGCACCTGATGCAACTAAAAGTTCGACAATATGTTCGTGTCCTGTTTCACAAGCTACGTAAAGAGGGGTGGCACCTGTATTTCTAGTCTGGTTTATGTTTGCGCCTAGGACAAGTAGACGTTCTACAACTTTTCTGTGTCCAAATTCGCAAGCAATAAACAGAGGAGTAATACCGAACACTGTTCCATGATTAATTTCTGCACCCGAAGCAACTAAAAGTTCTACAATTTCATCGTGTCCGAGTTCGCAAGCTACGTGAAGAGGTACGACGCCAATATCTCTCGGCTGGTTTGGGTCTGCACCTAATACAAGTAGACGTTCTGCGACCTTGGTTTGTCCAAACTGACAAGCTACAAAGAGAGGCGTGCTACCATCCATCGTATCCCGATTAATTTCGGCACCAGATGCAACTAAAAGTTCTGTAATGTCTTCGTACCCGAATTCGCAAGCTATGTGAAGAGCTGTTGCTCCAATGTCATTAGGTTGGTTTGGATTTGCGCCTAACATAAGTAAACGTTCTACAATCTTGGTATGTCCAAATCCAGAAGCCATAGCAAGAGGGCTATTACCATTCAGTCCCCGGCGATTAATTTCGGCACCAAATGCAACTAAAAGTTCTATAATTTCTTCGAATCCGAATTCGCAAGCTACGTGAAGGGGTGTTGCGCCAACATTATTAGGCTGGTTTGGATTTGCACCTAGCGTAATTAAACGTTCTACTACCTTGATATGTCCAAACTGAGAAGCAGTAAAAAGAGGCGTTGTGCCGTCCACTCTCCGGCAATTAATTTCGGTGCCCGATGTAACTAACAGGTCTATAATTTCTTCGTATCCGAATTCGCAAACTCCGTGAAGAGGTGTATCACCAGTATTTGTAGCTTGATTTGAGTCTGCGCCTAGCGCAAGTAAACGTTTTACAATCTTGATATATCCAAACTGACAAGCTGTAAGAAGAGGAGTAATACCGTCTACCGTACCACGATTAATTTCGGCACCCGATGCAGCTAAATGTTCTATGACTTCTTTGTGTCCGAATTCGCAGGCTACGTGAAGAGGTGTTGCCCCGACATCTCTTGACTGGTTTGGGTCTGCTCCTAACGCAATTAGACGTTGCACTATCTTGATATGCCCAAACTGACAAGCGGTAAAAAGAGGAGTAACACCAACTACTTTCGTGTGATTAATTTCTGCACCTGAAGCAACTAGACGTTCTACAATTTCCTCTTGTCCTTTTTCGCAAGCTATGTGAAGAGGTGTTGCGCCCGTATCTCTAGGCTGATTTGAGTCTGCCCCTAGAGCAAGTAGACGTGCAACAATTTTGATATGTGCGTACTGACAAGCTGTAAATAGAGGCGTAATCCCGTCTACTCTAGTGCTATTAATTTCGGCACCTGATGCAAGCAAAAGTTCTGTAATGTCTTCGTATCCGAATTCACAAGCTAGGTGGAGAGGTGTTACGCCAGTTTCTCTAGACTGGTTTATGTTTGCGCCTAGCTCAAGCAGACGTTTTACAAGCTTGAATTGTCCAAATTCACAGGCTGTAGACAGAGGCGTAAAACCATCCGTTCTACCGCAATTAATTTCGGCACCCGATGCAACTAAAAGTTGTGTTAAATCTTCGTCTCCTAATTCAGAAGTGATGTGAAGAGGTGTTGCTCCATTATCTCTAGGTTTATTTGGATCTGCGCCTAGTGCAAGTAGACGTTCTACAACCTTGATATGTCCAAACTGACAAGCTATAAACAGAGACGTAACACCGTTCACTTTACCGCGATTAATTTCGGCACCAGCTCCAACTAAAAATTCTACAATTTTGTGATAACCTATTTGACTTGCAACGTATAGAGGTGTAGCCCCCAAAGTGTCAGAAGAATCTACATTGGCACCCTGTTCCACTAAAAATTTAACAATTTTCTCACATTCTCCACCAGAGGCTTGATGAAGGAGGGTCACATTCATAGCATTTCTAGCATCCAAAATCTTTTGATCAAGTCTCAATATATTTGAGTCTTGTCCATCAGTAGAGGCTGATATTTCTAAATTTAGATGATCTATCACATCATCATATCCACATACAGCTGTATAATATAATATGTTAACTATATTTTCGACAGGAAGGTGCAATAAATTTCTGTTTAGTTGTTTTAAAATCTTTAATTCTATGACCAGACAGTTACTTCTTTGAGCATACAACAACGGTGTCATTTTGAACAACGTATCGTATTGAGATAAATCACAGGTAGTTAATAAATAATTTAAGATCTTTAAATTTTCAGCCTTTTCAACCCCAATATGAGGAATTCCTGAATCGTCTACGATGTAAGCGTCAGCAGTTGTTGCAACATCCAGTTGAGGATGTCTCTGTCCCCAAGAAGAAGCTACATGTAGGACACTTCTGTCACCGGCATCTGTACCTGTGCGAATTTGATGTCCATATTTCTCCAATAAATTTATGTTCTTGTATAATACTGCCACATGAGCTGGCGATTCTTTTGCCAACAGCAAATCGAAAAAAAATCGCACATTTACAAATCTTGGTTCAAAAATCACATCTACAAAAATAGAAGAAAGCCGCTGATTTTGAGAGAAATAAAGCGCTGCGAAATATTCCGCAAAAGAGTTATGAATAAAACAAGCCGGCTTTGACGTTATCTTTGTTAATAAACCAACCGAAACGTATTCTTCTTTAGAGTCCTCAAAGTTATTTTCAAAATCGATGTTAAGTTTCTTAAGGATGTCTACAGAGAATAATGTTCTTAGGGCTAAGTCTTGGTGGTATTTGAGAATTGCAGCTTCTAGTATTTTTACTGCTGATACAGAAGAGAACTTTTTAAAATCCTCACCCATTGTTTTCTCAAAATAGACCTCCATCTTCTCTCCCACAAAGTAATGATATAAATCAGTCAAAACAAATATATCACTAAGAAGTGTAAAATATTTGTTTATATTTTTTCGAAGCAAGTTTGTAAGCATAAAGATTTGTAAAGGTATGCCTAAGATTTCTTTATGTTCAACTAATGCAAATGAAGATCGAACTGTGCTTATAATTTCTTCAATATCTTCGATTGTGTCGACGTTCTCAAGGCGTTTTTTAATGTAAATAATTTGTTCCTGTTCGCTGAATTGACATAAATTTAAAGAAAGCACGTTAAATTTAACTTCTAATAAATGTTTCAGCTGAAACCGACTTGTTATCCACTGGACTTTACCTTGTTCAGAAAGCTGGACTATTAAATTTGTAATCGTTTCTAAATATTCAACTGGGACTTCGTCGAGGGCATCCCAAACGTAGTACACCTGGTCCTGTTTAACAAAAACTGGTAAAAACTCTTTCGCTCGCTCATCACTGGATTTGTATTTCTCAGTTAAAAGAAAATCTTGCAAAGTGTCTAAGTTGTTAGCGAGATTATTTCCATGAACGTATTTCGAAAACAGACACATATCTGTCGGGTTCATAAAGATGGTCCAGATTTCTGAAGGAGATGTGTTTTTTAAACTTTTCATTGATTCGGTTTTTCCCATTCCTGGATTACTAACAATCAAATTTATATTGTTCTCAAGTTTTCCAGACCATAACTCCTTTTCTGTCAAAATAAAATTAGTCATTTTGTGCTCTTCCAAACTGCTTATATTTCCTTTACTTTGAATCCATTCAAAACTGTCGACATCTATAAATCTCAAGTGGTGGTAGTTCTTTGTATCTTTATTTTTGTCGCAAATCGCATCAAAATGCATTTTTTGACACCTGTTGGGAGTAATGAAAACACTGATTTTGAAAGTACTACTTTCTGTTCTTTCATTCGACTGTTCGTTTAGGTAGTCTTCGACATTAAGAATATTGCAGTTCTTTAATTTCGGCTTTAATGAATCGATTTCTTGCACGCAATCTATTACAATTAAAGTGTCTTCATCATTATTTTCAAAATATTTGACATTTATAATATTTCGCCATAAATACCGGTCGATGTATGGTTCCGGAAGATCGTCTTGTAGTCCTCCTACAACATATGGTCCATGCAACATTTCCACCAAATCGCTTGTCCTTATAGCGTGAAGAAAATCAAAACTAAATACATTTTTTAAACAGACCGCTCCCTTTCCTTGAATAGAAAAATTAAACTTTTCGAGAATTGTATCTCTGCATGGTGCCTTTAAGTCCGATAAATCTCGAAAAACTGAACAATCGTAACCAGTAATTTCTTCACTAATGTCGTCTACAAGAACAATAAACTTGGCTTCTGGACATAACTTAATCATTTTCTGAACGACTGCATCTTCCGTTACAATTATTGGACATTTACCGTTCAACCACAGCAATGTATTTAATAGTTTTAGATCTAAATTGTCGAGACTTTTGATATAAGACTGGCTAAGATGATACATTTCTCGTGTTTTATTTAATTCTTTAGTATCTTTAATCTGACTCATAGCATCGCCCCATAAGTCTTTAATTTTATGGTAAGTATTATTTTCAAACACCGTAACAGTGAAAGCAGAAATTGCCTCTCGTAGAATTTGCATATTCTCATTGACACTACTCCCAAAAGACAACGGTTTAATTCGAGATGATAAAAGCGTAAGTGCAATGGCACGTTGCACCCAACTTTTACACAGTTTAAGTTTTTCGCCTTGTTGTTGACTCCACCTCGATATCATTTTCATATATGCATCACATTCGGTTTGATTAGCAAGAAATAGTTTTTTAAATTTCTCGGCTATTTTTGCTTCAAGAGTTCTAGAATTATCTTGATTAACAAACAAATAAAATTTTTGAAAAAAATTCTTATACATCAAAATTTCTGGAGAGTAATCGTACGTATAGTCGACTTCAACAACATGACATTTATAACAATGACTTAATTTATCAGAAAACTGAAAAATTACGTCTTTTGGTTCAAATTTTGATAATCCTACCTGGAAATCTTCGCCATCAAGCCAAAATCGAGTATTTTCTTTAACGTTAAGCTTAAGATTAGTATATAAAATATAACTGTCTACGTGACAGTTTATACTTTGAGCAGAAATGAAATATTTTTTTATGCTGAAATCTCCATGTTCTTGTTTGAGCTTCGCTATGGGTAAGTTACCTCGATCGTTGTGTTTAAGTTGTAAAGCAGAGACATTGCTACCTGTTACTGATTTTACTTTTATAACTACATCATCAAATGCACCAAAATTTTCATCATTAGACGATAAATGAAAATCTTCTATTTGGTCGTTAGTGGCCCAATTAATGCCGATGCTGGCGGTCATAAAGTTTTCATAGTCAATGCCTTTGTTGGTTGTACCGGATCTTTTTTTAAATGTCTGAAAAATTAGCAGTAGTAAGTTAACGGTTGGTGAGTTTCGACAATTTAGACAATACTGTTGTAAAGTTATGGTATCCTTAATTAAATGAAAGCATATATAAAAAAGGGATTTCAAAAATTCTTTTAAACAACACTATTTCCAGCGTATAAACCGATTGACTTTTTTAGTAATTGTGTTCTTTGAGGTCGGAAATTGTCTACACAAATTAAAACATGAAAAGCCGTATCTATATTGAAATAGAATAATCCTAACAAGATTGAAAACTGCAGATCATTTCAGTTTATTGTCTACCTGCCCCAACGCAAATTTATCAAATTACAAATACAAATTTCAAACCAACCTCAGCGACATTAACTTAGAAAGTAGATGGTACTAAATATTAACTCACCTCCATGATTCCTGAAGTCAGTAAAACTTGAACCAAAGAAAAAATGTTAAATAAGCCATCGATCATCCATGTTCTAGGTACTGAGTAAAGAAATAACTAATCGTGTTTATTAATGGCAACGAATCTAAATCACAAGGTCGCAACCGCGACAATGTCGGATGCCTATGCGTCAGAGATTGGTGGGGCAGTGGAACACAACATTTGATAACAATATCTTTATCAAAGACGGTTCGTCGAGAATACCGTACTTACTTTACGTTATATAAAGTTATGTAAGCCAACTTAAAAAAATAAAATCAAAAAATATTTTGAGGCAGGCCAAATGTTGAACTTGCCACCAAGAAACGTCCCCCACTTTGTATAAAGTTATTTCTAGCATATGGAACAACGCAACGTTGGATGTTGAACTCCACCGACGGAATCTCTATGGAATTGTGTGGTTACTTTTAGGTAGATATCTTGAACTCCGGTGGACTTAGTATCCGGAATTTTTGTTGTCGTGCCACGCGTACTTTAAAACAAATTTATGATCAACATTTTTGCAAGGACACGAATGTCAACTTGGATTGGTGCCGTGTAACGTGTAATACTAATAACAGTAGTAGATATTGTATTCCCAAATTTTCGGTAAAATGGAGTGGGCCGTTCCTGATTTATTCAATAAAGTAAATTGACTCATTCACTAATTTTTTTATCCACATGATACATTTTGATCGATTAAAAATTTAGCATTCTTAGAATAACTTCAAAAGGTCTGTAAGATTTCAAAACATTCGGTTTTGTAGTTCCTGATTTAACCAACAAAATAAATTGACTCATTCATTAATTTTTTTGAGTCGCCGTGTATAAGCAAATCTAAAAAATATTAATGTAATCATAAATCACAAGGTTTCAAAGCATCCGATTTTGTAGATTTAGAATTAAATTACAAAATGTTATTATATAATTCTGACTTTTTTTCACAAATTTAGATGTTTGGCGTAAAAAAAACTCGACACGGATTCCTAAACGACGCGTGTAGGACTATATTATTCTATTTGCTTGTATCCATATTGGCGTGTAAAGTTAGGTTAAGTAATTCAGCAATCGGCCAATTATTTGTTTTTATTTAGGTACATTATTGTGGTGATACCGGTTTCGGGTCCATCCCCTTCATCAGCCATCTCCTACACATGAACACTATTTTTGGTTAGGTTTAAGAACGTATTAGCAGCAAGGAGGTTTAATTAGTAGTAATGCTAACGGGAACTAGTTCTGCTATTTTGTGAACGTAAAATTCTTGATTTTTTTCGCTATTTTCTTTTTTCTTTCGATTTTCCGAAGTGGTTGCGGTTATTATTGGAAATAAAGTTTTTTTAAAGCTTCTAGAAGGAATAGTTGGTTTGTTTGTTGTTACCAACCTCCGATGTTATTCTCACCTGACGAATTTAAAGATGGGTTTATATGATAGTTCGATTTAGTCGTTGATATAGTTGACATCTGGGTCTTTGTTGCATTTGTGTATTTCCAGCATTTCTAGTAACGTCTATTTTCGGCCTTTCTTTTCTTCGTGTAATAATTCCACTTCATTTGGCGTTCTCCCTGCCTCATCTACATATACTGCATTGCAATCTTGGCATTTTAGTTTCTAATTTGTATACACCATTCTTCTCTTCTTTTTTCCTGTCGTCCTTTATTTTCCCTAGTGCCTGTTAGGCTCTTATAGTCAGATCTCGTTTTATCGCTGTTTTTATATTGTGTTTTTTCATGATGCGTATTAGTTTTTGTGTTATATTCCCGGCTCAGATAAACGTATTGTACATGATTTCTATAAATGATTATAGGGTCGCAGTAGGTTATGTAAACATGCCGCTTCTCAGATTTGAAATGTACTGAATGGCCAAGGACGCAGGACAAAGACCATACGCATCTGTATAACTGGTTGCCTAAATGCTTCATATCTTTTTAAAAAATAAAACTCATTCATTACAATAAAAAGACACAAATTTATTGCGGCTAAACATCACACTAAATGTTGAAAAAGTGCACTATTTTGTTCAAATCACATATTCACTCATTTCATTTCAAAAATGTGCTGTCACATCCTTTCGGCAATGTTTTTCATTGCTTATTTTCATGTTGCAACAGGACTGCTGAGGAAATTTTGTCAAAATTGTTTGCAGATTCTCAAATTATCAACAACTTTCTTAAATATTGAAGGTCTTCCACGAGAATTCTCTTTGTTGACACTGCCAGTTCGAACAAATTTGCTGATTACATCTCTAACGTGAGCCTCTAACGATGTTTCTTGAATTATTAAATAACGGTATTTGGCTAGATATTTTTACTTACAGGCGGGTAGAGAAGAATTCCACTCTTCGTTTACGAAGTTCCATTGCGGTAACAAGACATAACAATGGAAATGTCTCGTTCAACAGAATAAACTATTTTCACAGTCTTCGCTTCCTAGCACAAAAAATGTTCGTACTCAACCACCTGAAGATTGACTGTAATATTTTTTATATTATTTTATACAGTTTAAAACCCATTTACTATGTACAATTGAGGTGACGCCATCATATTGTTGGTGGGGACATTAGTGGGGATCATTAGACACAGTTTGGTTAGTTATCTACATGATATTCGTATACAGTATACATATATAAAATTTGACAGCAATCGGTCTGGTAAAAAAATCCGGACAGACGGCAGACAGACGAAAACGGGATCCCCATTTTTTGTGCTCTATGGGTCATGACCCATCAAGAAAATACGAAAAAAATTAAAATGTTTCACATATTTTCTTTTATTTTCTTTCGGCACCACCAAGAGGGAAAGGAAAGGACTAAGTACATGGAGAAATAGAGCAATCATACAATTTGATTGTTCTGCGATGAAAATGAAAATTTAACAGTATATACATATTTGTATTTATGTTGTTATTACTGGTTGCGTATCATAAAAGCGAAAAACTGAAGTTATCAGATTTATTCTATTTTTTGATTATTATTCTAGCAGTCAATGACAACGTAAAAACATTGTAAAGGGTCGGCGAAGTTTATCTTCCATTTATTCAACGATTTATTTTTTTAAAGTTAAAGTGACAAACAGGTAATAAATCGAACATTATTACGAAAAATACAGACGTGAATTCTTTAATGAAATTAGATGTTTGAACTACAGGTGGAACAGTAAACTATAAAAGCGGATCAGGTTATCTTGTTAATTTTAAACAACATTTGAACATTTTCTGTTAATGTAAGGATCAGACGAGTATTCCAAACATAACTGCTTTATTGAGACTTATGTATGCAATAGTAGCAATTGTGACATAACGACTTACAATGAGCGTTTTCTCTGTCAAATTATTTGACGACTTTACAAAATGTCAAAATAGTAGTAAATTAACTGGTTATTAAAATTTTTAATTCACGTTATATTTGGTTTAAATCCGATGCAAAATGTCGCAACTGCACGCCAAGAAAGTCCTTCAATACAAAGAACGTTTCAAGAAGGAAGCAGAAGAACTACTACTGACAGGTTTCCCCTCAACCATACTCAAACTCAATGCTTTAATAGTGACCCCCAAATTCAAAAAACGAGATTTTAGCGACATGCATGAAAATCTGACCTCGTTGTCCAAGTCAGATTTGTGTGTAGACCTCGATTTAGACAAAGGCGACTCCGTTCCTCAAGCAAAGAGACCAAAATATGACGACAGTGCTTGTCAAACCAAAGTTTCATGCCGACTACTGCAGACCAACAGGTTTTTAATAGATTTAATCGAAACAGTCAAACCTCCCATGATCAAACTCGTTGAAGACGCAAAAATAATGAAGATGTGGATCTCGTACATGATTCCAAAAATCGAAGACGGAAATAACTTTGGAGTCGAAATACAAGAGGAAACGCTAGCGTTGGTGCATGCTGTGGAAACGTGTGCCGCTCTCTTCTACGAGAGAATCTCCAGATACTTCTGCTCTAGAGCCAAGGTTATAAAAAATATTATCAAGTATCCAGACGTGGAGGACTACAAGAGAGCCGTACAAGAACTCGACGAAAAAGAATATGTCTCGTTTTGTCTAGTGATGTCCGATATTAGAAACCATTACTGTTCTTTGCATGACGTGTTTTTGAAAAATTTGGACAAGCTGAAAGCGCCGCGAACCCATCATCCTACAGAATCCTTGTACTAAACAACTAACAAAAAGACAGCTTATAATAAAGATCTTTTAGTACATAAATAACAAATTATAATTTAAAACGGTTTATGAACACTATTCAATTGCGAATCCGAACGATTGAATGGTATAATCGTTCCATACCTATGTACACTATTTACATTAGCCTCATTTTTTATTTCAAAATAGATAGAGTGTGCATTCACCGAGCACGCTTCGTCGCACCAACTGCAGTCTTGCAAGAAACATCTTCAGTACTACGAACTTTTCGGCCGAGTTTGCACGGTGAGTCGAACAGGATGAGTTTTTCTTTAATTGGGACGTAATTTTCAGAATTTCGACATTTGTTGAGTAGTTCGCTAAAGTTAATACATATGTCGAGGTACTTTAGGTGTTCTAGGAGTGTTTGACGGATCAGCTCTATGGCTATGGTCTTCAATCAAACTTCGAACGATCGTTCCTGGGCAGTCTGGAGCAATGTAAAAATTAATTAGTGAGGAAATTACTTCCAAATCGCCTCTCACATAAATAAGAATAGGTTGAATTTCAAAATCCAAATAGCAGAAAAACTTCTACAGTGGAGTTACTCATGTTCCTAAACGAATCTTGAGTTGTAAATTCTACACCATCGTTACCCCCATGTGTAAGTAAAATATCAGATGATCTAATTAAATGCGGTCATGAACTGAAAGTGGGAAAGGGGATTAAATGCTGACTTTGTGTCATGATTTATGTGTTCTGCAACTCGAATTTTGGATATTTATTCGCGGAGACGCTTCTCACAGCGGCGTGTGTACCGAACGACACTATTGTGATTTCGACCGAATTTAACATGTGTTTTCTTGTTTACATTCGCATTTAATGTGAAAACACAATAGAATATGGAAACATATTTTGTTACTTACCTAACGTCCATATGTATCTAGTTTAGAAGAAGTAAAGCAGTCCCAAAGATGTATTCTTCACAGAATCAAAATATTGGTGACTCTTGATGATATTCAACGCAAAATAATATTTTAACAATATTTTTATCGTTACCAAATTTTAAATGACTTAGTATCCGAAACTGATTCGAGTGATATGCACCGATCCTATTTAAATACGAATTAGAAAACAGACATTTTTACAATATAAATACTTAAAAGTACTCAGTCTTAACTCTTTCTCTTGTTAATTTATTTTTGGTGAGTTCAGTATTTTAAGATAATACACAGTTCCTTGTGTCATTTGGTTTTTTAACTTTTTTCATTTGTGAACTATCAGAAACACCAAAAAGTTCAGCAATTCTGGTATGTCCTTTTTTTAATGCTACAGATAGTGGCGTACGACCTATAAAAGCCGTACGATTAATGTCTGCACCTGATACAAGTAAAAGTTCTACAATCTTTTCGTGTCCTTTTTCGCAAGCTATGTAAAGAGGTGTACAGCCATTGGATCTAGATTGGTTTATATCTGCACCAAATGCAATTAAACGCTCCGCAATATTTTCATTTCCTATTTCGCAAGCTATGTAAAGAGGTGTAGCACCACAATGAGTGCCCTGGTTTATTTTTGCGCCCATAGAAATCAAACGTTCCACAATTTTAATATGTCCAAACTGAGTAGATATAAAAAGAGGTGTGGTACCATCCTCATTCCCGAGATTAATGTCTGCGCCTGATGTAACTAAAAGTTCAACAATGTTCACGTACCCTCTTTCGCAAGCAATATAAAGAGGTGTAACGCCAGTGTAGCTACACTGATTTATGTTTGCACCAAATGCAATTAAGCGCTCCGCAATATTTTCGTGTCCATTTTGACAAGCTATGTAAAGAGCTGTAGCGTCCATGACTGTAGACTGGTTTATGTTTGCACCAAACGCAATTAAGTGGTGCACAACATTTTCGTGTCCTGTTTCGCAAGCTAGGAAAAGAGGCGTAACACCACGAATTGTGGAGTGATTTACTTTTGCGCCCGCTAAAAGTAAACGTTCCACAACCTTAATATGTCCTTCCTGTGAAGATATCATAAGAGGCGTAGCACCTTTCACAGTATCGAGATTGACTTTCGCCCCTGATTTAATTAAAAGTTCCACAATGTTTTCGTATCCGAATTGGCAAGCTATGTAAAGGGGTGTAGCGCCAATTTTTCTCGACTGGTTTATGTTTGCACCGTGTGCAATTAAGCGCTTCACAATATTTTCGTTTCCTACTTCGCAAGCTATGTAAAGAGGTGTGGCACCTTTCACATTCCCCAGATTAATGTTTGCACCTAAAGTAACTAAAAGTTCTAGAATGTTTTCGTGTCCTTTTTGGCAAGCCACGTAAAGAGGTGTGATTCCGTCAGTGCTGCGAAAATTTATGTCGGCACCTAAGATCAGTAAATATTTAACAATTTTCTCATAATCTCTTTCGGATGCTAAGTAAAGCAAAGTCGTGCCCATTTTATTTTTAGCATTAAAAATGCTCTTCCGAGAATTTAATAACCGTGCACGTGGTCTACTAAAAGAAGTTGACATTTCTAAATACAGATGTTCTATTACATCAACATATTCACATACAGTTGCATAATACAATATGTTAACTATCTGATCAATTGGTAGATCGATCAAATTGTTGTTCTGTTGCTTCAAAATCTTAATTTCATTAGCAAGGCAGTTACTTTTTTGGGCATACATTAAGGGTGTCATTTTGAATAAAGCATCACATTGATACAAATCACAAATATTTAATAAATAATTTAAGATCTTCACATTTTCTTCCTTTTCAACCTCAACACTAGGACAACCAGAATCATCTACGATATAAGCGCCAAAAGTTGTTGTAACATCCAATCGAGGATGTCTTTGTCCCCACGAAGAAGCTATATGTAAAACACTCCGTCCACCGGCATCTGTACTTGTCCAAACTTCTTTTTCATAATTCTCCAATACATTGATGTTTTTGTATAATACTGCCACATGAGGTGGTGATTCTTTTGCCAACAGCAAATCGAAAAAAAAACGTACATTTACATACCTTGGCCCAAAAATCACATCTACAAAAATAGATGAAAGCCGCTGATTTTGAGAGAAATAAAGCGCTGCGAAATATTCGGCAAACGAGTTATGAATAAAACAAGCTGGTTTTGACGTTATCTTTGTTAATAAACCAACCGAAACGTATTCTTCTTTAAAGTCTTCGAAACTATTTTCAATATCGATATTAAGTGTCTTTAAGAATTCTTTGGAGAATAATGTTTTCAGGGCTAAGTTTTGGTGGTACTTGAGAATTGCAGTTTCTAGTATTTTAACTGCTGATTCAGACAAGGATTTTTTTTCAAAGTAGACCTTCATCTTTTCTTCCACAAAATAATGATATAAATCAGTCAAAACAAATATATCATTAAGGAGTTTAAAATATTTGCTTATATCTTGACGAAGCAAATTTGTAAGCATAAAGATCTGTAAAGGTATGGCTAATATTTCTTTATGTTCAACCAGTACAAATGAAGACCGAATTTTACTTATAATTTCTTCAAATTGTTCGGTTATATAAATGTTTTCTAGACGTTTTTTAATGTAAGTGGTTTGCTCTTGTTCACTGAATTGACACAAGTTTAAAGAAAGCACATTAAATTTAGTCTCTAATAAACGTTTCAGTTGAAATCGACTTGTTATCCACTGGGGGTGACCTTTCTTTGAAAGTTCAACAATTAAATTTGTAATTGTTGCTAGATATTCAGTAGGAATTTCGTCCAAAGCATCCCAAACGTAAAATACTTGATTCTGTTTAATAAACACTTGTAAAAACTCCTTTGCTACTTGGTCCATCCATTTATACTTCTCATTCAAAAGAAAATTTTGTAAAGAATCTAAATTATCAGACCGATTATTATCGTTTATAATATATTTCGAAAAGAGAGAAATATCTGTGGGTTTTATAAAGATGATCCAAATTTTTGAAGGACATGTGTTTTTCAAACTGTTCATTAACTCGGACTTTCCCATTCCCGGGTTACTAATTATCAAATTTATATTGTTCGCAAGATTTCGACACCACATCTCTTTTTCTGATAAGAGAAACTTATTCACTTTATATTCTTCTAAACTGCTTATATTGCCCTTACTTTGAATCCACTCAAAACTGTCTTCATCTATAAATCTCAAGTGGTGGAAAATTTTCTTATCTTTATTTTTGTCACAAATTGCTTCAAACTGCGTTTTGTGACATTTGTTTCTAGTGATAAAAACGTTAATTCGGGTAGTATCTCTTTCTGTCTCAGTCGAATGAACGCTTGAATCTCGTTCATTTAAGTAATTTTCTATATTATGAATACTGCAATTTTTCAACTTCTGGTTTAATGAATCAGTGTTTTGCACGTCATCAATTACAACTGAAGTATTTTCATCATTCCTTTGAAAATATTTTATATTTATAACATTTCGACATAAATTTCGTTCGATATATGGTTCGGGAAGATTTTCTAACAGACCGCCGATAGTATACGGACCCTCCAACATTTCTACCAAATGGCTTGTTCTTATAGTATGAGTAAAATCAAGACTAAATGCATTTTTTAAACTGACCTCTTCTTTTCCTTGAATTGAAACATTAAACTTTTCGAGTACCTTATCTAGGTGTGGTGGTTTTAAGTCCGACAAATTTCGAAAAACTGAACCATGACTAATATTTTCTTTATTAATATCATCTATAAGAAGAATAATCCTAACTTGTGGACATAACTTTATCAATTTGTGAGCGACTGCATCTTCCGTTACAATTATTGGACATTTACTGTTCAACCACAGCAATGTGTTTAATAACTTCAAATCTAAATTGTCTAGAGTTTCAATGTAAGGATGGCTAAGATGATACATTTCTCGTGTTTTATTTAATTCTTTAGTATCTTTAATCTGACTCATGGCATCGCCCCATAAGTATTTAATTTTATGGTAAGTATTATTTTCAAATACCGTAACAGTGAAAGCAGAAATTGCCTCTCGTAAAATTTTCATATTCTCATTTACACTACTACCAAAACACAACGGTTTAATTCGAGAAGATAAGAGGGTATGTGCAATGGCATGTTGCACCCAATTTTTACAAAGTTTATATTTCTCACCCTGCTGTTGACTCCACCTGGATATCATTTTCAAATACACATCACATTCGGTTTGATTCGCAAGAAATAATTTTGTAAACTTCTCGACTATTTTTGTTAAAAGAATTTTAGAATTATCCTGATTAACAAAGAAATAAAATTTCTCAAAAAACTGTCTGTACATTAAAATTTCTGGAGAGTAATCATATAAACAGTCATCTTCAACAACATGAAACCTATAACAATGATTTAATGTATCTGATAACTGAAAAATTTTATCTTTCGGATAAAATGGAGACAATCCAATTTGAAAATCTTCACCATCAAGACAAAATCGTGTATGTTCCTTAACGCCAAACTTAAGATTAGTACATAAAATAAAATTATCAACGTGGCAGTTTATATTTTGAGCAGAATTGAAGTATTTTTTTAAGCTAAAATCTCCGTTTTCTTGTTTGAGTTTTGCTACGTGTAAGTTACCTTCAACGTTATGTTTAAGTTGTAAAGCAGAGACATTGCTACCTGCTGCTGATGTTATTTTAATAACTATATCATCAAAATCACCAAAATTTTCATCATTAGAAGATAAGTAAAAATCCTCTACTTCATCGTCAGTAGCGCAGTTGATCCCGATGTTGGCGATGTTCAAATTTTCATAGTCGATATCTTTAGTGGTTGTACCGGATCTTCTTTTAAATGTCTGAAAAAAATATATGAGTTAACGGTTAGTGAACATTTTGGCAAACAATAACAAAGATGCAACGCCAAGGACGCAAAAGTAAGTGACATTTGAGTATAAAAAAAAGTGACAAGTGAGACTATTTAAATATGTACACATCACAGTGTAAGATCTAGAAGTGAATGTACGCCAGCTTGAATCGTGACCCGATAAGTTGCAAATAGATGATTAAAAAATTGATGAAATTATTAAAAAACTTTAATACTTTGGTTTATTGCCCACCAAACTTGTTAAATTTTTATCATTATCACTAATTCTTTCCACTACTTTGATAAAAATGTTATGGATTTTTTTTATTACTTCTATCTTTTATTAACGAATTTATAAAAAATTAATTCGCTTATTAATTTTGTTTAGACCGAAAATAGAAATTCTGGTAAACTAATCAATTGAAAAACATTCATTATCACGTTCCCAATGTACTTAAAAAAAATTGTTTATTTATTATAATTTGAAGTATGTACTTTATTTTCATTGTTGTAGTAAAATTTTTCTTCGGTCCAAACTTTAATAACGTTTTTCTCCAGTCGTCTTAAAACATGACACTTTTAATGACAATTTCCATACTAAAAGTAGACGTTTTTGTAATTAGAACAAATTCACTTTTAATCCTAGGTTTCTAAACTCTTTTAAATGCTAGGATTAAAAACAAATAATAATTAATCTCAAACTATATTTTTTCGTCAATTTTGAAAATATTAATAATGTTGTCTTTAATATTTAATAATTTTATTAACAATAATAATTAAACACATTACATAATTTCTAAATTTTAAAATTGATATTAAATGATTGATTAGAATAACTTTCAGAAAATTGGATTAGCGATTTGCCGTCACTACTATTTCATTGTCAGTTACGTCTTTGGTTATATTGACTTCACTGCACTTCGGTGTTTTTTGGGGAATCACTCCACTCATACTCGCTTCATCTAACCGAAAAAATTTTCGCGCTATATCTTCTTTGTGTTTCACTGATTCCTCTATGTAACCCTCCGCTACACTATTCGATTTCTACTCTCCCTGTCTCTTGAGAGATATAATGTCACCTCCAGTATCTACAAGGAAAGTGGCAGAAGTGCGATGTAAGCAATGCCCGCTATATTCATTGGGATTTTCCAATTTTAAAAATTTAGCTATTTTTCGTGGAATATCGCTAATTTTGTGAAACCCAACTACTTGTCGCTGACACTTTTCATTTAGGTATTTAACGAAAAATCGAACTTCATGAAAATTTTTTGGTCGAAGAGCTATATATTTCTGGTAAATATTAAAATATTTTTCCTCCATAACGGTAAATGATCTTGGTTTTTTATTTTTCGTATGAGGAATCGTTACAAGTAAACCTGATTTAACATTTTCAATATTGTCCATTCTTAATTCCACCAATTCCTGACAACAGCATGCGCAACTCACTCCGAAGATTACAACGACCTGAAGGACAACTTATACTCATTTCATTAATTTAAGCTGTAAACTTACTTTCGTAAATAAATATTTTTCATCTGGAGCATAGCTTAAAAAATCTTCTATTTGGTCATTTGTTAAAACTCTTGATTTCTTTGACTTGTAACCTTCCGCTTGTTTCTTCAAAAACGCTCTTAGTTTAGAAAATGTTTCTACATCTATTCCATTTTTTATATTTAAACTCGTCTTTGCCATCGAATATTGCGACCATAGTGTGGATGATTTCATTGTTTTTCCCAAAATGGCAAAATACACCATCAAAACGTTTTCAGAATAGGTTTCAATGTTTTTCTCCTTACACCATCTCACGAAGCGCTTATAGGTAAACTCAGAGATTTCAAGCTATTTGGTCGGAAGTAAGTCTGCAATCACTATTTGTGCCTTTTCAACCACATCTGGAGGCAAATCTTCTTCAACATTCATTGTTGGCGAAAAATGAATAAATTTTTGATACTTTTTGAAAATCAATGACACAACGTAAATAAAAAATAGGTAATCATGACTACGTGAATACCAGGCTACTGATTCCATTTTCATTACATTTTTTTTATTGAATTATTTCCTATTTTTGTGTTACATTAATAGCAGGACAAAAAATAGCATGTCTCATTCGGATTAAAAGTGGGTTTTTTCACTCCCAAAATTTTGCTCGCCAAAAAATCACCACTTTTAATCCTAATAAAACAATATATTATCTTATTCAAAAATTTGTGTAATTTTGCCTATGCTATCATTGTTTAAGTGTTAAAAATAAGACACCTAACTGCCAGAGACATCTACCATTAAATAGTTGCACGGAAGAGTTACGTAGTCAGATTACGTTCCTGTGTCTCGGTATAGTCCGGACTTTCACTTATAGATAGCACTGCAAATGTAGACCCAAAGTTGGTGCCAACGCAAATTGTAAAATTTTTGGGATTTTTAGCGAAACCTTGACTATATTACATAACAAATACTTGCTAGTTTACGGAAAAAGGCAGATTTTAACTGCTCAAAAAAGTGCTGCGTAGTTTCAAAAACAAACACCCGTTTTAAAACAAAAAAAAAATTTCATAAAAAATGAAATACTTTTTTCATTTAAAATATTCCTTTAATCATATTGCGACGTAAATTTATCAAATCACGAATCCACATCTAAAGCTACGTTCAGCAACATTAACCTAGAAAGCACAAACTAGAAAGTAGATGTAGATGTACCTACTAAATATTAACTCACCTCCATGATTCTCGAAGTCAGTAACACTTTAAGCAAAGAAACAATGTTAAAGGGGCCATCGATGATCCATTTTTTCAGTAATGAATTAATAAATAATATTGTTTGCTGTTGGCGACGTGTCTACTTCACAAAGTTGCACCTACAACAATGTGGATTGTGGTTAGAAATTGATGGGACAGTGAATCACAGCAATATTTGTGAGTCTTTTTAATCGAAGACTCACAGCGAAGACTGCGTGCCGAGAATATTGTCTGTTACCTTTTATGTAACATATAAAATGTACATTGTCAACTTTTAAAAGAAGCTAATGTTTTGAGCAGGTCAAATGTTTGACATGCAACATAAACGTACTAAGGTCACCCACTTTATGTAAATTTGTTTCTATTCTACAGCATGTAAACAACTTAACACAGGGAGTAGGGGGACTTAACGTTATTGGATGTTGGATGTGTCCAACGAAAACGAAAATTTGCGCAGAGCATAGCTTGCTTACAATTTAAGAAAACTAATTTTATAATTTGTTTTTCAGAATTTTCAAGTACCGAGAAGAGATAAAAAAATTCGTTAAACATGCTTAAGGTGAAAAACGTAACGTCTTAGCCAAGGTTAATAAGATCTGGAATGCGTATTGGGGATTTTTCAGGGCCACGAACAAAATATGTCATCCGTTCTAGCTACCCTGCTGTATCGAAAGCAAAGATATGTAAAAGACAAATGATAATAATAAAATTGAGTGGGCTTACATAGCAAAGTTAGAAAAATTGCAGAGAGAAGAACCATTGAAAGCTGCCACAAAACTTTCACAACGTCATATACACTACCAAAATGAAAAAATGAAAGTTTCGTTAGCTGCACCATTAGCTGGACAAACCTTCAGTCAAAGTGTTAGTAACTATACTTTACTATTTTGCAGGGATATTAATATAAAAGATTTTGAAGGCTGCGAGGCTACTGCCCACTTTTGTTTGGTGATAAACAATGTCTTTGCCATGTTAAATTCGAAGAATTGTGCCAAGTCAGAGTTTAGTCGCGGTTTGTCTCCTAAAAACTTTAAAGAATTTGACGAGAAGATCAAACAGTACATTGAATATTTGTCACTGCTTATGGAAATTTATTAATCCACTCAAATAGGAAAACAAAATTTTTAGTATTTATTACTCCTATTTGTCTAACTACAGTTTTGCATTTACATCAAGACTTAATCATTAATAATTACTCCTATTTAAAATATATCCTGACTTATAAATTAAGTCAGGATCATTTAGAAATTATTTTTAGCTGCATTAGACGTCGCGGTGGAAACAATAAATCTTCTTCTTTTCAATTTCAGTGTGCGTGTAGAAAATTATTAGTCCGGCACCAGATCAAAGAAACAAAAGTAGTACCAGTGAGTATAGATGTTAAATACATAGTCACTGATAGTACTCTAATTGTTTAACTGTTGACAGCACTAGTATTTTAAGTGTAGGTTGTGGAAAAAGAATTGTGTCCAAAAGTTCGTTAATCAACAATATAAAAGACAAATATTGTCAGAAGAAGAGCACGACTATTGCTCATTGAACAATAATATGCTTTCTGAGTACAAAAATCATGTGGTTGAATACATTGCGGGATGTGTGGTGAAAAAAATTGCAAAAAATATATCTTGCGATATATGTAAGTCACAATTGTTTGTCGATAGCTCACATTCAGTGTTATTGCAACATAAGAATAGAGTTGGCTTAATATTATCTACTAAAATTGTAACTTTTATTTGTAAAACAATTGAAACCACCTTTAAAAAAATGGCCATCAGTTGGTCAAAATAGAAAATATTTCGGAATATTTTGCGATTCAGTTATTTAGGAAACATATTTGTGAAAAGGTATTTTCTTACGAAATCATGAATGTGCATATTTTAAATCAAGATTTATTTGATAATTTGTATAATTAAAGTTATAGCAGATACTTACATAAACATAAGGTTACACCATGAAACGAGAAAAATAAATCAAAAACAAAAAAATTGTAGGGTATAATAAGAAGTAAATTTACGAAGCTTATTTTATTCAATAATGAATAGGTATTGTAAATTTGTATTGTATTATGTACTCGTATGTAAATAAAATTTTGAAACTTTTACAAAGTGTTCTTTTTTGTCGTCTTATTGTACAGCTGCTTCGAAGATCTATTCAGCTTACAATTTACTCGTACAATTTTTCATTTAATGTGCTATTTTCAAGGGCTGGCTAAGTATCTTGGATATTGGCCAGCAACCCAGAGGCAGGGTTTGTAAAACTGCGTGTAAAAAATATTAACTACATTAATTACATTATTAATTTTTACTGCCACTAATACAGGGTTTCTATAAATGATTATAGGGTCGCAGAGGGTCATGTAAACGTACCGCCTCTTCGATTTGAACCGTACTAAATGCCCAAGGACGCATGACAAAGATCAGACGCATCTGTATAATTGGTTGCCTAAATGCTTCATATCTTTTTAAAAAATAAAACTAATTCATTACAATAAAAAGAAACAAATTTATTGCGGGTAAACATCACAGTAGATGTTCAAAATGTTCACCACTTTGTGCAAGGCCCATTGTTCAATTTCATGTTGCAACAGAAACTCCTGACTGCAGAGGAAATTTTGTCAAAGATGTTTGCGGATTCTGCTCAAGTTGTCTCGAATCATCAACAACTTCCTTCTTAACAATCAACTGGTGAGTCTGGGAAAAACAGGAAGAAAAAAACCTTATCACATTTTGGTGGAGTTATAATGATTTTAAAATTGAACAGACTGACAAACAGACAGACAGAGAGAGAGACCGACAGACGGACAGACAGATGAACAGACAGACAGACGGACAGACAGACGGAAATGGGGGACCTATTTCCTCGTACTCTAGGGGTCATGAAAGATCGAGAAAACGTACAAGTAGAGTTGGCCGACGGACTCGATTACAATACTTCCTTTGCTTATGCTTAGGAAGTAAAAAAGTTGTTTGAAAGACCACTATAATGAACGGACGAACCGAAAATCTTTTGGACGACAAAAAAATATATTTTCCGTCAAAATAAGTTATCGCACGACAAGGGTAATATTTAACGACAGGACAATATTTTCCACGACAATAATATATTATGGTACGAATTTTATAAGAAGCATTTTGTAGCACGCACAGAGTAAGTGCGACAAAATGTCTTATAAATGAGCTGTCATACGGTATTTTTTCTACTTTGCGCCTTTTTAAACAAAACAATGAAATTTCGAAATTTAGGGAATCTTGCGGCAGTTGAAAATATTTGCACTATGTAAAAATGACGGGTATAGAAATAAGGTACATTTTCTTATTAGCCTCGTTCTAGTCACACCAATCAACGTGTAAAACATCAAAAATATCAGACGATTAAATTTTGTTTTTAGTAAAAGTACAGATATTCAAAATTATGCTGCAACTGCTTGTTCTGTTTTAGTAAGACCAAAAGCACAATGAAAGCTGTAATTTCTACCAATGTGGTTCTTGGATACTCATCAGTTAATATATTTTGAAACTACAGCAGAAACTTATAGTAGTGGTGAAATGATTCCTTTTCCTTTTAAAATATCTCTATGTTGGCCGGAACCCAAAGAAAAAGTTGTCAAAAAAAAAGAAAAAAGAAAAAGTACCCGCTGTTGCGTCTTCCAAAGCTTTGGAAGAATATTATAAGAAGAGGAAGAGAAAATAGAAAAAGAAACCATAGAAAAAGGAAAAATAAAACAAGAGCGTAAACACAGACAGCAAGAAAAAATTAATGTGCAGAAAGGGAAAAACATCACAACAGGTAATGAAAAAAAAAAAAAAAACAGACATACATAGTGACAACAATTCGCACTCTACAATAGGAAGTAAAAATAATGAAAACTTACTAGAAATTTAACGCTTATGTTATCGTACAATAATGAACATCGTTTACCCAGAAAAATCATCAGAATCAATACTGATGAAGTGATGACACGGGAGAAAATACCTACGATGTTGAACATATAGAGAAGAAATGGCTAAATTGGAAGAGGCCGGCCAAGAAAGACATTTTAGTGTATCAGTAACCAGAAATTGTACAAAAAAATGAAAAAGCCAATATTAAAAACTAAGAGAGGTTTATGTTATATTTGTGAAATTTCAGAGCTTAAATGTTAAGTTGCTAGTATTTTTTTGTGTTGTTTGTATATTTTTAATTATTTACATATTTTTATAAATTATTATTAAATATAAACATTGAACCTACATGGGTGTCGATAATAGGTAACCTTGGTGTCTGTAACTGGGACAAACACATTTTCCAAGTGTCAACTAAACTTCAACTAAAAAATAACAATAATTCTTATTATCTTTTCATTGACTATGTCTATGATTAAATTATACCTTCGTGATAAGTGCTTCGCACATAGTTAAAGCTTTGGTAATATTTTAAAAAACTTACTTGTTCACAAAAATAGACGACGTCTATAAATTGTGTCAGTATTTAACTGAGAAGCATCATTAACAACCTAAAAATATTTTATAACGTCATTAAATTAACCACTAATCGATATAATCACATTAGAGACTTGAATTTTCTATTAATAAGCAAAAATTTATCGATTTACAATTTCGAAATGCTTTAATATGAATTATATGTAGTTATTTCTGAAGCTTCGACATTACAGATATGATAGAAAAGAAAGTCTTCACCATCTAAAAAACCAACACATTTATAAACCTTCTTAGAAAAGCACAAAACTCACCTCAACCCCCATCTTATAATTCAACGAAATATTTTCGGAGTATTTAATTTTAAACTGCCTCTGAGTGTTCACCAAAAACATGAGATACATCTTTTTATTGCTTTCGCTCCAGTCGCACCAGTCTAGATTTATCAACTCATCCAATATATTATCCGACTAGAAAAAATCTTTTTTTCACTAGCAATCATTAAGCATGCAAATGTCGACTCATTTAGAGGTAGCAAATTCAACTTTTGCGACCACCGGTTCAAAAAGAAAAATTGAGGTTATGTACGCAATGTTTGATGTGATTATTTCTTAAAAAATGAACAAATGTGTGCTACAAACATTACTTGAGTATACGCATGGTAGTTGGTAGACGGTAGAAGATAAAATGATTAACTCAGCGACAAGTATAAACGGTTTTCTTCGTGTTGAAGATTTAGATTAAGTTTGATTAGAAATCAAAACACAATCATGTTGCGTCAAAAAATTGAACGTTTATTTTTTCAATTTATTGTCTTATGGTTTCTACTAGTGAAAAAAATAGTATATTAACCACGGTTGCAAAGCCACTTCTAGACCTCGCGCTTCAGAGCCCTCGACGCTGCGCGTCTCGGGTTCTAATTTGCGCTCGGTCTAGAATGCTTGGCTCTGCAACCTTGGCTAATAATATACTATTAATTATTATTTGAAATCGGAAAATGAGAAATACGTACGACATCTTCGATCGCCTGACCACTTTCCGCGAGACCGAAAAGAATAATAAACGCCGTTATTACCAACGAGAATATGCGAAGATACTGATCTGTTAAGACATCTTGAAACTGAAAAAAAATTACAACAAGAAGACTCGCGCGAAACACATACCCAAAAATAATAAATAGCGATATTCGCCATCAAAAACGTGCCCACAATTTGAAAGGGCAAAACGTAAATTTGGACACCTCGTAGAATTTTTCTCAAAATTCTGAAACGTGTCGATAAAACTAAATAGTTCAATGGGTATTGTTTGCTTACTGAGTAATTTTGATGTGATATCGGAGACAAAACTTCAAATTGTCTGCGATTTCTCGATCATCGCCAGTCATGTTTTTCAGAAAAAACAAACAATTGTAAATGTGGAACTTCACATGCATCCAGCAATAAACGATTCGCAATGAAGGCTGAACTATGGAGATGTACGTCAAAGGTACGAAGCCAGCTTTCGAAAACCAGATGACAAAATTTTGCCACTTCGGAAAATATACTTCTGCTACGTCGTTTTCAAAGAAAACTTGTTTGTCTTGTTCTGTGGGCATAACATAAAAGAAGGCTGTAATCAGCCCGAGAAAAAAAGTCACCGCTAAATACACAGTGACTATCAACAAAGTTTGATTGTATTGTTTTTGCCACTGTTGGTTGACTGGGACTTTCCAAGAACGCATATATTTTGTAGAGGAGATTATCAGTGGTGATAAAAAGTACAAAGACAAAATGCAGAGAATCAACTACAACAAATTATCATATATAACAAAAAGAAAATTATAAATTATTAAGGCACTTACATAAACTACAATGAAAAATGTCGGTCCAAACTGGACGAAATAATTAACGCTAGCTCTGCGAACGAACGACAAAGCTTGAAGAATCAAGAAAAAAATAAAATAAACCGTTAAAAAAATTAAACAATTTTTTACTAGTTTGACCTCTAAAAAGTCGATGACGAAGATCTGCCATATTTTTAAACACTTTTGTCTGCAGAAAAATAATAATTAAGTGTACTTTACGGACAATTCAAAATACCTTCCATGGTGGCGTGGAGTCATCCAAAACCAGGACAAACGTGCAAAGTTTTACAAAGACCGTAACCGTAAATATGTCGTGATGCTGCCTACGAATATTTAATAAAAACACTGAAAATAAGCGGAAGTCTATAGAGAAGTTTGTTTCTTTACACACAAACTCGTTGAAAGCTCGTTTGTACTCACATAAATCACTGTGGCCATCGAAACAGTAGGGCAATCAATAGTCGTCAATGGCAAAATATGTATAGGCTGTAAAGTTATCCGTAAAAAATATTTTTTCAGAGATCTTGCGACATCGAGACCTGTGAAATATAAATGAAATTATCTGTGAAAGTTTACTTAACTCAGTGTTTTTTGCAACTCAATTGGGAGTCATAAACTACAGGTGTAGGACTATGTTATTTTATACAATTTAAAACCCATTTACTATGTAAAAAGTGACGTCATCGCATTAGTGGTGGGGATGATTAGACAAATTTTGGTTAGCGCTTTACCATCTACATGATATTCCTAATATAAATACAAAATTTGACAACAATCGGCTCAGTACTCTCGGAGAATATCTGTCTAATAAAAATCCGGGACGGCAGACAGATAGACATACAAACGGAAACGAGACACCTATTTCTTCGTACTCTATGGGTCATGAAAGGTCGAGAAAACGTAAAAGTAGAGAGTCGGCGGACGGACTCTTCCTTTGTTTACGGCCAGGAAGTAAAAAGGACTTTGAAAAATATGATTAACATCATAGTGGACTCGACGATGGTAGCGCATAATTTAATATTTTCTTTTTTATAATTTCTTACAACTTGAATTTGAACACTTATTCTCGAATTATTGTTTTGTCTGATCCACAATGTAATTTTTGTGAACTCATTTTGATTTTAATCATTAACTTGAATCGATTCATAATTTTACCCTACATACATTTCATGTTGTTTAACGATCTTGTGACAGTGTTGGGTAACCGAGATTTGTTTGCTTTGTAATTGCATTAGTTCATTTAATCATCATCAGAATAATGCGCTTACGACCTATATAAAAGCAATGAATCAACAATAACTAAATGTACAAATTGAGTCCATCAGTCAATTGCAACACTGTGTGTAGCCAAAATGGATCACCACCTTGATCAGAGCCACCGAACCAGTTACTTTAATTAGAATTTTTTCATTGTGAATTAAAATAACATTTGATTTCATTTTTCAAACCTGGAGAGGTTTCAGCTGGGAAATAAGTTGTGTTTAGCTTATCTCACAAGATTTTCTGTTTCCAAGATGGAGGAATAAGCAATTTGCCTTCCATGTTTTGCATTTTTTTTTAAGAGCTCTTTCCCGACCAGTCACCATTTTGCATTTGAACGCACTCCGCCATTACAAAACAGACACACCTGGTCGCCTAAAAAAGAACTTCTTTAAGCGATTATTGCAGGTATAGTCGTTTCAAGTCCTCAGTTACATCTATTAAATGTCATTTTTTCATACTGAAATGTGAGAATTCCTTTTTTGGACTCAGACGTCGAAAACTTACTTTAGCGTCCTTGGCCTTGTGTTTTTGTCCAACATTTTTTTAAATAAAAAAATCCAAAAGCTCCTTTAATTGAGCTGCAGCTTTAGTATCTAAATAAAGTAAAAAAAAAGTAGCACTTTGCTTTTTATCAAACCTCCAGGAATTTTTATCCAACAATGAAAACAGATTTACTAACCTCAAAATCATTTATATAACCAAAGAGAACTCTTTCAGCCTCACCTGATTTGCATGTCTCTTCAGCAGCTTCAAGTCGGTAGAAAAATTTCTTCTTTATAACCTTGATACACACAAATAAATATTTTACATATGGTAAGACACTTAAGATTAACATGTAATTGTAGCGATTTCAATACAGGAATATGATAGAAAGGAGGAAGAATAAGCAATACAGAAGATGCTGGAAAAAGAAAATTCAAAGATGAAAGTGAAAATAAGGACGGAAAACAAATGTTGGAACTAGTAGAAGAGAGAAGATATGTGATCTTGAATAGAAATAAAACTGAAAGTGTTGATGAAGGGGGTTTAACGTTTGTAGGACTGACAGGACAATCGGTAAGATTACCTATGCAACAGTGAATGAAAATATATGGGACGAATTATCGCAGCTCAAAGTAGGAAAAAAGATAGACTCCGAGCATATGCCACTGGAGGTTGAAATAGAAGAATATGACAGAAAACAGGAAAATATGTAATGAGAGGACCAGTGGCGCATTGGAAGAGAAGTTAAGAACGCACACTTTCGTTGAATCAAAATGGGATAAATTGGAACAACTATTAAAAAAGATGCAGAAATGAAGGTTGAAATTAGTGTAACAAAAAGTGGAAGGAGAAAAAATGACGAGTGGAATGAGGAATTTTACGTTTTAAAGAGACAAACAAGAAATAAAGCATTAAGAAGATGGAAAAACCAAAAGTAAACGTGAGAAGAGTTCCTAAAAGTCACAGAAACATAAAGAAGTAAATTCAAAATGTGTCGAAAGGAGTGATGAACTAAAAGAAGAGAAAAAAAGAGAAAAAAATACTGACAGGAGATGGAAGGGAATAGCGTGAACGAAAAAGAAGGATAGTTTAGGATCTACTATGGTGGTATGGTTGGAAATTAACACTTATCCTTCATACACTATGGTATATTATATTGTTAATGTAGGAATAATACTTAAAATATTTCCATTCATTCCATTTAAAGCTCACGAGGTACAAATAAAACTTTATTGTAAATTAAGATTTCAACATAATTCTTTATATTTTAGTAGTAGCAGGCACTTAATATTTCAACGACTGAAATACACGAAACTCTTTAAATTAATTTGTCTTAAATTATGGCACCAATTACATTTTACTTACTATAAAATGCACCAAGCAGTTAGAGTCCAGTTATGATTTATGGAAAGAAAACAGGAAACACGACGATTTCACCTACAGGCTACGTCAGGCTAGTTAGCCTTCCACTTGCTCCAGAAATTCTTTTGCACAAAGTGCATACTTTCTCAAGACCAATTACAGTCTATGATAATGTTGTATTAAAGAAATACATTTTTTAATATCTCATTGATGGTGACATATGTATGTGGCATTTTGTAGACTGAAATATACCAGTTATACCACACTAGAATCTTTCTGAACGCTGAACTGTCCAAATTTTGTCGCTCACTTTTGTCACAAAGTAGGTAAAATCGCCTTGAAGCTATTATGGTTTATTTCAAATTTTATCATGAACTGAAAGGTTTTAATACTGTTTTTCACTGAATGGTACATTTTTTTACAAAAAATACCGACACATAACTGACGTTTTCCTCAACTTGAGAAAGAAATAGAAATAGATAGAGATTAAAACACCTCCCCATCTTGATTCAGTAGCATTATCTTCTTTGATTTTTTGATGCGGATTTTTTCGGTTGTAGCTTCTTAAAGATGGGATGATTGTGACCTCAATATACAAGTGTACAAATAGTGTCTTGTGGTAACTAGTAAGCGGAATGGTACTTCATGGTACGAAAATATATATGTATATTTTTTTAACAAAATGAAACAAGAACCATGGGAAAAGGACATTCGCAACATAGCCACTGGAAAAAAATACCCATAATTATTTTGAACAATGTTAAAAACGTGGTCAGTGAAAAATATATTATGAGAAAATAGCTCTCTATGTTACTAGTACATAATGCATAGATTTATTGGACGCGTCCAATAAAAAGCATCATGTACGTGTGACATACATAGCTTTATGTTTGACTCAACAAAAGATTTTTTTTTTGTAACTTTTTCATCTCCATTTAAAAATTTTTGATAAATTTTAGTAGGCATTGTTGTTGTCACAGGCAAATAAATTGTTTGACAAGTGATTGTTTTTTTTAAATCGCCAATTAGCTGTATAAATTTGTTCAATTTTGAATAAGAAATGAGTTCAATAGAACTATTGAAAGTTCTTGACGAGATTCAGAATATTGCTTTAAAAGCAACAGAAGAACTGCTGCCGAAGAAATCTAAAATTTTGTATGAAACTGCGTACAAGACATGCCGGCTCTGGTGTACAAAGAACAAGATTATTAAAACCACCGAAGATTGCCTGTTGGCATATTTTCGTAGTGAACTTGTGTCCTTCAGAAGTTCTTCCCTGAGAGTATAGATATTAGTCCATTTTCTGGTCTCATTCTTTATCTCAAAAGAAAAGAAGAAGGTCATAAGCCAAAAAAATCCTCCACTCTGACTAAAGAACATGCGGACGCCTTCAGCATATACCAGTCACTGCTTTCGTCGTACTTCTGCTAGCATTCTAGCACATGCTGGAACCAGTATGGAAGGTATTAAGAGACATGGTGGATGGCGGTCATCGGCAGGGGCTGAAGGCTACATCGACCAGTCAGAAAGTTCAAAAATTAATGTTGCTTCAACTATATTAGGTACAACGGAAGAATCATTAGGGGATTCAGTTATTAATTCTAGAAACAAAGAAATAACAGAAAATGCATCATCGACTGGATTCAACATCATCAACAACACAAATTGTGTTATTAATATTAACCATTATTGTAATAAAAATAATTAAGAAACGTTGTAATGTTAGATATTGATATTGTCCATTATTTTTGTTTGAATAAATCGTTTTGAGTTGGAGTCCAAATTACTTTACAGTCCAAAAAAGTGGTAGATTATGGACTGTTGAAAGTGTCATAAATGACATCGTTATGATTGAGTCAAACAAAATATATTGATGTACTGCCACTTTTCTGTCAGCTGTATAAATAAAGACTTTACAGGTAATCTATACTTACTCAATCCTTAAAATGGTTATGTCTAATAAACATACACCTTCTTAAGACCTCTTTATATGTAGTTTTGAATACGTTAAACCAGAGAAGCACTTGCAATGGTCATCTTGTTTTGTTCTACAGTTCGAGAAACGCAACACAAATTTTTCTTGGGGTTAATCCATCCAATCCATAATAAACAAACAAATAAATAAATAATAATAGACATAGATCCGTCTGCAACAAAACAAGATCTGTTACTTAGGTAACAATTATCTAAATATTGAAACCACAGTAAGCAACTATTGTATCTATTGAATCATTTTGTGTACCAATATTTTCAAAACTAAGTATTCTATCTCTAAGTTTAAAGATAAAAAAAACCCTAGTTATTTGTCGCTAAAATGTATGTCTGCATTTACATCGACGCAAATGTGATCGATTTTATAACAAAGTAACGTGGTGCGAGCTTGAAAGCACAAATAAATGAGCGAATTAAGAAAATCCAAACGCTAGATGTGACAGGTGACAATGTATCTGGAAACTTCATTGGCCATAAAAAAAGAATGAAAAAGTAACCAGAAGAAAGCTGGTTAATAGATTATATACCAATTAAGTTATCCCGCTCAACCATAAAGACTTTAGAAAAAATGTCTTTGTGCGTATTCATACAATAAGTTTCGCATGTTATACTTAAACAAAAGTTTTCCTTAAACCATTTAATTACGATTGTCTTCAAAATTATACAAATTTTGAATATGGGCACATAACGACGGTGCGTTATATTTTTCCTAGGACCGTTAGTGTTTTCATAAATTTAAAATCGTGAAATATTGATTAAGTGGTCAAGATATTATGGCGCTGAAATAAATAAATCCAAAAAAACAAAAATATGTTGCTTATGAATGACAGTCATTTTACGTTTAGTTTAGTGTGATTGTGTGAGAATACATCACAAGCGAGAGAACTCATATTCTTATCACTTACCTAATATGTTTGGGTATCCAGATTAACAGTTGAAAGTCGTCTCAAAAGTTTACTTCCAATTACCGTAATAATGATAAAAACTGGCAATAAGTGATGATGTTTAATTAATAATTAGCCTCTGTTTCCACAATGTTTCTACTGTTTACAACATTGAATTGATATATAAACTTACAAATAATTTAAATTATAGGTATGTGCCAGTCTAATACACTATGGATTCGACAATAAAAAAAATTCATCTGAACAATAATGATGCATCTCCATTTAACGGTATAAAAATATAAATAATCAATTTTTATATAAAGAAAAATTTAATAATGTAGAAAACCAAATGTTATCTCGTCTACATAAAATAAATAGTCTTACATAAGAATGGAAATAAAATAATTATATTAAGTAACAAAACATAGCAGAAATATGCCTTTTTGTATTTTACTTCAAACAGCAAGTGACATCTTGTTAAGTTATTCTTGGTCAGTTCGGTTTTTAAAGTACTGCACTTTTACCCGCAGATTAACTAGACTTCATGTTACTTGAATTACTCCACCCCTTCAAATTTCAGCAATTTTGCTTTTTTTCTAAAGCAACTGAGAGTGGTGAACGGTCAAAAGATGTCACTAAATTAATATCGGCACCCGATGCAACTAAAATTTCTATAATTTCATCGTGTCCGAATTCGCAAGCTATGTGAAGAGGTGTTGCGCCTGTATTTCTACGCTGGTTTATGTTTGCACCTAACGCAAGCAGACGTTCTACAACTTTGATTTGTCCACAATGAGAAGCTGTATGAAGAGGCGTAACACCGTCCAACCTCGCGCGATTAATTTCTGCACCCGACGTTACTAAAAGTTCGATAATTTCTTCGTGTCCAAATTCGGACGCTACGTGAAGAGGTGTTGCGCCAATATCTCTCTGTTGATTTGGGTCCGCGCCTAGCGTAAGAAGACGTCCTGCGATCTTGGTTTGTCCAAACTCACAAGCTGTAAAAAGAGGCGTAATTCCGTCGATTCTGCCACGATTAATCTCGGCACCTGACGCTACTAAATATTCAACAATTTCTTCGTGTCCGTTGTCACAAGCTATGTGAAGAGGTGTTGCGCCATTATCTCTACACTGGTTTACGTTTGCACCTAACGCAAGCAGACGTTTTGCAATCTGGATCTGTCCACAATGAGAAGCTGTATGAAGAGGCGTAACACCGTCCAACCTCGCGCGGTTAATTTCTGCACCCGATGCTACTAAAAGTTCTATAATCTCTTCGTGTCCGAATTCGGACGCTACGTGAAGAGGTGTTGCGCCAATATCTCTCTGTTGGTTTGGGTCCGCGCCTAGCACAAGAAGACGTCCTGCAATCTTGGTTTTTCCAAACTCACAGGCTGTAAAAAGAGGCGTAATACCGTCTGTTCTGCCACGATTAATCTCGGCACCTGACGCTACTAAACATTCAATAATCTCTTCGTGTCCGCATTCACAAGCTATGTGAAGAGGTGTTGCGCCATTAATTCTACACTGGTCTACGTTTGCACCTAACGCAAGCAGACGTTTTACAATCTTGATTTGACCACAATGAGAAGCTGTATAAAGAGGCGTAACACCGTCCAACCTCGCGAAATTAATTTCTGCGCCCGATGTTACTAAAAGTTCTACAATTTCGTCGTGTCCGAATTCACAAGCTACGTGAAGAGGTGTTGCGTTAGTATCTCTAAGCTGATTTGGGTTTGCGCCTAACACAAGAAGGCCTTTTGCTATTCTAGTTTGTCCATACTGGCATGCTGTAAAAAGAGGCGTAATACCGTCCGTTCTGTGGCTATCGACTTCGGCACCCGATGTTAGTAAAAGTTCTATAATCGTTTCATGTCCTAATTCACAAGCGACGTGAAGAGGTACTGCGCCATTGTCTCTAGGGTGGTTTAGATCTGCGCCTAACGCAAGTAAACGTTCCACAACGTTAATTTGTCCGAACTGTGAGGCTGTAAAAAGAGGCGTAATACCGTCCAATCTGCCGTGTTCAATATCGGCACCTGACGCAACTAAAAGCTCTGTAATTTCTGTGTGTCCGAATTCGCATGCTACGTGAAGAGGTGTTGCACCATTATCTCTAGGCTGATTTGGATTTGCGCCTAGCCCAAGTAGACATTCTACAACCTTGATATGTCCATACTGCGAAGCTATAAAAAGAGCTGTAACACCGTTCATTTTCTCGCGATTAATTTCGGCACCCTCTGTAACTAAAAATTCTACAATTTTGTAGTAACCCCCTTGACTTGCAAAGTAAAGAGCTGTAGCTCCCTCAGTATCAGAGGCTTCTATACTAGTACCTTGTTTCACTAAAAATTTGATAACTTTCTCAAATTGTCTAGCAGATGCTAGGTGAAGGAATGTCTTGTTCACGATATTTCTGGCATCTAAAACCTTTTTCTCAAGTTTTAATAGTTTTGCATCTTGTCTATCACTTAAAGTTGATACCTCTAAATTTAGGTGGTCTATTACATCATCATATCCGCAAACAGCTGTATAATATAATAAATTTATTATATGCTCGACAGGTAGATCCAATAAATTTTTATTCAGTTGTTTTAAGATCTTATATTCTATGACAAGACTGTTGCTTTTTCGGGCGTACAACAGCGGCGTCATTTTTAATAACAAATCGCATTGAGCTAAATCACAGATATTTAGTAAATAATTTAATATCTTTAAATTTTCCGTCTTTTCACCCTCCACATTAGGAACATCTGAATCATTTACGATGTAGGCGTCTGCAGTTGTTGTAACATCCAATCGAGGATGTCTCTGTCCCCAAGAAGAAGCTACATGTAAGACACTTCGACCACCGGCATCTGTACCTGTGCGAATTTGATGTTCATACCTCTCCAATAAATTTATGTTCTTGTATAATACTGCCACATGAGGTGGTGATTCTTTTGCCAAGAGCAAATCGAAAAAAAAACGTACATTTAGATACCTTGGTTCAAAAATCACATCTACAAAAATAGATGAAAGCCGCTGATTTTGAGAGAAATAAAGCGCTGCGAAATATTCCGCAAAAGAGTTATGAATGAAATGTGCCGGCTTAGATATTATTTTTGTTAATAAACCTACCGAAATGTATTCTTCTTTAGATTCCTCGAAATTATGCTCAAGATCGATATTCAGTTTCTTTAAGAATTCTATAGAAAATAATGTTCTTAGGGCTAAGTTTTGATGGTATTTGAGAATTGCATCTTCTAGTATTTTTAATGCTGATTCATACAAGGGATTTTTAAAATCCCCTCCCACGGTTTTCTCAAAGTAGACCTTCATCTTTTCTTCCACAAAATAGTGATATAAATCAGTCAAAACAAATATATTACAAAGAAGTTTGAAATATTTGTTTATATCTTGTCGAAGCAAATTTGTGAGCATAAAGATTTGTAAAGGTATACCCAAGATTTCTGTGTGTTCAACCAGTGCAAATGAAGACCGAACTGTGCTTATAATTTGGTCAATCTCTTCGGTTGTATCAACGTTTTCAAGACGTTTTTTAATGTAAGTAATTTGCTCTGGTTCACTGAATTGACATAAATTTAAAGAAAGCACGTTAAATTTATTCTCTAATAATTGTTTCAGTTGAAATCGACTTGTTATCCACTGGACGTGGTTTGCTTTGGAAAGCTCAACAATTAAACTTGTAATCGTTTCAACAGATTCAGCGGGAATTTCGTCCAGGGCATCCCAAATGTAATACACTTGGTTCTGTTTAATAAATACTTGCAAAAAATGTTTCGCTCCTTCATCCATGCATCTGTATTTCTCATTTAAAAGAAAATTTTGCAAAGTTTCTAAGTTGGCAGATTGATTATTACTAGTAAGATATTTGGAAAAAAGATACATATCTGTGGGGTTCATCATGATGGTCCAAATTTCTGGAGGAGAAGTGTTTTTTAAACTTTTCATTAATTCAGACTTTCCCATTCCGGGATTACTCACTATCAAATTTATATTGGTCTCAAGTTTTGTACACAACATCTCTTTTTCTGTCAAAAGGAAGTCAGTTATTTTATATTCTTCCAAACTGCTTGCATTACCCTTACTTTGAATCCATTCAAAATTGTCGGCATCTATAAATCTCAAGTGATGGTAGTTTTTAAAGTCTTTATTTTTGTCGCAAATCGCTTCAAACTGCATTTTTTGGCACGTGTTTGTAGTAATGAAAACGCTAATCGCGAAAGTTCCACTTTCTGCTATTTCATTCCGTTCAATGTGTATACTGCTTTCGTTTAAATAGTTTAAATAGTCGACAATATGAACACTGCAGTTCTTTAATTTTCGCTTCAATGAATCAAATTTTTGCACGCAGTCTACGACAATTAAAGTGTTTTCATCATTCTTTTCAAAATATTTGAAATTTATAACATTTCTCCATAGATACCTGTCGATGTATGGCGTCGGAAGATTTTCTTGTAGCCCTCCTACAGCGTATGGTTCGTTCAACATTTCCACCAAATAGCTTGTTCTTACAGCATCAATAAAATCTTTACGAAATGCATTTTTTAAACTAACTTCTTCTTTTCCCTGAATAGACAAATTAAACGTTTCAAGAACACTATCTCTGGATGATGCCTTTAAGTCCGATAAATTTCGAAAAACTGAACAGTCGTAATTAGTAAATTTTTCATTAACATCGTCTCCGAGAACAATAAACTTAGCCTCTGGACACAACGTAATCACTTTATGAATGACTGCATCCTCCGTTACTATTATTGGACATGTACCGTTCAACCACAATAATGTGCTTAATAAATTAAAATCTACGTCGTCAAGAGTTTTAATATAATATGGGCTTAGGTGATACATTTCTCTCGTTTTATTCAATTGTTTGGTATCTTTAACCTGAGTCATAGCATCGCCCCACAAGTCTTTAATTTTATGGTAAGTACTATTTTCAAACACCGTAACCGTGAAAGCAGAAATTACTTCTCGTAGAATTTTCATATTCTTATTTACACTACTACCAAAGGACAACGGTTTAATTCGAGAAGATAAAAGCGTAAGTGCAATGGCACGTTGTATCCAACTTTTACACAGTTTATGTTTTTGACCTTGTTGTTGACTCCACCTGGATATCATTTTCAAAAATGCATCACATTCGGTTTGATTTGCGAGATATAATTTTTTAAACTTCTCGACAATTTTTGTTTCAAGAGTTTTAAGATTATCTTGATTAACAAACAAATAAAATTTCTCAAAAAAATTTTTGTACATTAAAATTTCTGGGGAGTAATCGTATGTACAGTCATTTTCAACAACATGAAACTTATAACAATGATTTAATTCATCAGATATCTGAAGAATTTTATCTTTTGGTTGAAATGGAGACAACCCAATTAGAAAATCTTCACCGTCAAGCCAAAATCGTGTACTTTCCTTAACGCTAAACTTAAGATTAGTATATAAAATAAAATTATCTACATGGCACTTTATACTTTGAACAGAAGTGAAATATTTTTTTACGCTAAAATCTCCGCTTTCTTGTTTGAGTTGTTTTATGGATAATGTACCTCGATCGTTATGTTTAAGTTGTAAAGCAGAGACATTGCTACCTGTTGCTGATGTAGTTTTTATAACAATATCATCAAATGCACCAAAATTTTCATCATTAGAGGATAAATAAAAATCTTCGATTTGGTTGTCAAGGGCCCAATTGATTCCGATGTTGGCGATGTTGAAATTTTCATAATCGGTACCTTTGTTGGTTGTACCTGATCGTTTTTCAAATGTCTGAAAAAATAGCAGTAGCAGATTTTAGAGAATTTCACTGTCGTTGGGTTGCAAGATAAATACGTAAACCTAAAAACGTTTGACAGTCCTTTGCCTTTGAGTAACTAAAGAGTAGTTCACTTTGTTAATTAGACGAGCTTATTTAAAATCAGAAATTGTGTCCACTTTCAAAAATCAGTGCAGAGGATAAACAAATACCTGTACAAATAAATCAATCGTTTTACGGCTTATATGTAGTTTTTCTTTACTCATTCAAAGTAGGTATATCTATGAGTTATATATGAATTGTTTCTTTATAACAATAAACACTGAATTAACGCGGCTTAACTTGAAACATAAACCAATCGCTAACTGACACTGATCTAATATAATAAAGGCTATAATAATAGTTAATAACACAGCTTTTTCTCGTTTCATAAGAAAAATGCTAACTTAACTTTAATCATTCTGAAGTTGGCTTTGGATTACGTTGACCTTGAAATATTTTTGTCGTTGGTATGTCCGTTTCAAGTTTCAAGTATGAAACTTTTGTTATCGTAAAATTAAAAATACAAACCAAAATCTGAAGTTAACTTCAACGACATTAACTTAAAAATTAGATGTTACGAACTATTCACTCACCTCCATGGTTCGGATGGGACTCAGTAAGACTTAAAGTGAAGAAAGAATATTAAAGGAGCCATCGATGATGTACTTTTCAAGTAATGAAGACAGAAATAACAGCATTTTTCTTATCAGCGACGTATTATCTACATCGCAAGGTCACAACTGAAACAGTGCGGCTGTGCCGCTGTGGATCAGAGGTTAGACATTATTATTCAGGCAGTGAAACACAGCTGTAACGGAGCAGCACACTAAAAATAAAATGTTAAACAGACTGCGCGTTGAGAGTCGCAGAATTCCTTCCTTCGAGTAGAAGATGTTTGAAAAAGTGTCTGATATCGCGGTTTCGACGGTCATGAATGGCCCTTTCCTTTCAGCTTAGTCTTACTCTACTGCGCATGAGATACAAAAATAATTCTATAAGAATATCAAAACAGTAGCAGTAAAATTTACTCGAGTTTTTATGTTGTAAACATTTTTGTTTTTATTCCATACTTACCTGTACCTAATTCTACCTCTATGCCTTCTTACCTTCCTTTGTTTGAACACATCTGAATATAATGTAATAAGTCATATTAAAAAATATACTCCCACTACTTTTTATGTGCACAAAATAGTGAATTTTTGACCGAGAAACATTCTAACATCACCCACCGTAAACAAAATTACTTTCGTTTATAAACACTGCTTATTACACTCCGATATTCAAATTGATATACGTGTCCCTGATTGATTGATACCGTCACCACAAAATTTTCTAACAGAAATAGAAAATTAGCTAGGTGAGGGAAAGTCTTGTTCACGACATTTCTAGCACCTAACACCTTTTTATTGAGTTTAGCGAAGTTGAAATGTCTAAGTTGTACTGCCAGATTTCACAGTCTTAGCGGGTGCTAATAGATAAAAAACAGTTTGAATTCATCAGCGTACACTGGTTTTTGACAAGTTATTAAAATTTGCGTAGATAACATCTGCTTGGTTATTTTGGTCTATTGACTTCGAAATGTACTCAGTAGTTTTTTTTTGCAAGGCTATGCTGGAAGGGCGAGATTAAACTTTTAAATGAAAAATACAAACGTTTATAAATGACCGATTCAAAAATTTTGGAAAAGTTGCACATCAGACAAATTGATCTGTATTCTTCAATCATGGTCATCTTTTTTTAAATACTGGAGTAACTGTGGCTTCTCTCCAGGTATCGGAAAAACATGAAGTCTTGATAAAGGTTGAATATAAAATGAAGAGATTTAACCAAAATCGACCTACGATCTTTTATGAGAAAGCTGCGCGAATTTTTGGGCCCGTTCAAGGCTTCCAGTATTTCGTCTTCTGTTATATTCTCACATTTTTCTGTGATGTCAATCAAATCATTATGGTTTACGATATAAGAATGAGAAGGGTCAGATCTGACCTAGACGCTTTTAACGAAAGAGGGAAAAGCATTAACAATTTCAGGTAGTGTTGAAAAGTCTTGATCTTAGTGTTTTTTGCAGGTTTAATAATTTCTAATTTCCCGAATTAAGTCGAGTATTTCGGAGACCACCTTTTATGTAATGTGTAAATTTGTAAATTCATTTTCATTCGTCCCAAAGCTTGAATTAATGCATAATTTAAGCTCATATAAATTATTTCTTCTTTGAAATTCTTGATAGTGTGTAGCTTAATTAAATGTTGCTTGCTACATTTATTGTGATTCTAATACTCGTCTAATTATTGTAATAATTTCAAGAACCATACGATTTGATATTCTAATTAAAACAAAAGCACAAGATCACGGAATACACGGTTTCTAGTTAAAGTTAACAGTTTTCTTTCATGTGATTTATGGATGGTTTAATTGTAAACTTCATGCGGAGAACCGCATCCGCGTGAAACGTGCAGCTTGGTTTAAATAGCTGGCTAGTTTGCGAAAACCGGGTAAGGGATATCATATGCGGTAGGTTTTTTGCCTATGAATGTAGTGTGCGTGTGTGTTATATCTGTCAAGAGAGTTAAATCAAAATTAATTTCAGTTCAGTTTAAAGAATTCTATGGTCCCTTCAAGATTCGACTTATGGAAGTTCGATTGTATATACTTACCTTACGATGGTTTAACATCAGCTTGATAATTATCACAGTTTATTAATTTACAGACGAAATTATTAGGTAAAAAAAAAATCGGTTGTCTGTAAAGTCGGTTTACTGACGATAGTTGAACGTGACAACGTCTTAAGAAAATACTGATGGAATGGTAGCATTTTTCAAAAGAAAATTTTAATTTCATTTGTTTAATAGATTTGTATGTATATAGAGAAGGAGGTAATTAGAAATCACAATGAAATTGATCAAGTTAGATTTATTTATACGCATAAATACAATTATGTCAATTTTTTTAGTTTAATGTGTCTTGAAAACATTGACACTACATTCACTTTTCACTGCACTTGATACTCGACCAAAACATGTCAATGTACTATAATATAGCAGCTGTCCACGCAGACGCATCGCTCACTCAAGTAGGAGAGAGACGGATGGCGAACGCTGCCGAACGCGAAGGCCGATTGTGCCTCTTTGTCGCTCGTTCCGCGTTCTCGCTTGCACTTCAAGCCTTACATGGAACGTGACAGAGCGAGGTAACGCCGCATGAGTCATGCTTTTTCGTGCGTGCAGCCGGCTCCATCGATTTATAAGACGTTGTCACGTCAAAAATATAACTACTCACCTCATTGAGGACTTGAGAACATTTTGTGTTGTTTGCATTTTATAAATAGTAAATATCAGAGCTCTTCACATACACATATAAAACGTCAGTGAATATAGTGAAAAAATTATATTTACAACTCTTTAAAAATCCTATACTAAGTACGTACAATTTTAAGATTTGTTCAGTTTTTGGCTACAACTGTGGATGTTTGATCAATTCATTTTAAATGTCGGAATAACACACTAGTCGTCTTTCATAAAATCTCAACTGATAAGTCGAACTTTCTACTGCCTCTAGAAATCGTCTTGTGCAATGGATGATTATAGTCCATACAGTAAATAAGTATATGCAGTAGATAATATAAGGTATTATTTGTAGCAGTAGATATAGCCTGAGGGTTGTTTATAAAAATGGGTACAACCTTAAGTAATTCATTGATGACAAACTGACACATAAAGCTTTCAAAATTGACCTAAACTTTGAACAACTACAATCTTATGGAAAATTCTTATTACTACTTTCTAGTATGTTTCCTAATTTTTGAAAATAAAGATTGTAATTCTGTTTTCCTTTGAATAGAGCATTTAACAAAACGGTCGTTATGAAATAAATTTTGTAAACCCACACATGTTTTTTCAGACAGAAGTTGAAGGCCATCAATTCTTGAAGTAATCATCACGGTTGGTTCGACATCTAGGTGAAGCAGTCTTCTCACAACAATTAATTCGTGGTTGATATTTATTTGACAGTTACTTAATACTAAACGGTACAGAGAATCCATCTGTAACAAGAAAACCATCAATTACCTACCTATAATTTTCAAAGGTGTTAACATTTTAATACAGTGAAAATCTCTAAATAGATGAAGACATTGTTATGTCCCGGTTCGAATTAAATTTAGCAACAAAAAAGGAACCTCTTTGTAATGTAGACGAATTGCACTCTTTCTTAGGTAGTGCGGATCGTTTGTTTCGCCACTCGATAGTCAGATTCATTCAGTCAGTGGTAGTGAAGACTCAAATAAAATATCAGATGGTTTAATTAAATGCCACTGTAAATTGGAAGTGGGAACAGGGATTAAATGCTGATTTTGTGTCATGATGTGTTCTACGACTGGAATTTTGCGATATTTATTCTCGGATACGCTTCTCACAGCGACGTGTGTACCGAACGACATCATTGTGGCTTCGACCATATTTAACAGGTGTTTTATTTATGTAATGGGGAATGCGATTCACGATGTATTAGTCTTAATGGATTAACCCTGATTTATTTAATTTGACACCCTGTAAATATTTTGATGTGAAAAATGCTTGACATAAATGTGGCGTAATTAAAGGTTGTAGCTTTGTTGCCACTTTGATGATTATTGAGTTAAAATTCCGATTTATTCAACTGTCAATATTTAAAATTTGTTTACGTATCACTAGAATAACTTTAATGTTTTCATCCACTCACTTTAGACAAGATGTGAAGTGGAAAACTTTGTTAAATTTGCTGTATTACTGTAGCATAAATTTATAATCTTGCATTTGAAGAGAACGAGGAGATCTTTGTACCAAAAAAATTCAGTCATTTAAAACTTAATAAGATTGTTCCTTTCATATTTTGTGTTGACAATTCGGGATCATTTTTTCACGTTTGCGGTTCACCACTTCGCATTAGAACGCATTCCGCCATTTTAAAACACAACATAAGGTCCCATTTTGTTGACGATCACAGTTTATGGCCACTTTTTCAAATTTTTCGCGGTTTTTCAAAAGTTTGTGTGTAAGTCTCTAATGTGAAAACACAGCAGCTTAAGGTAACATATTTTATTACTTACCTAACGTGCGTGTGTATGCAGTTTAGAAGAAGGAAAACCATCCCAAAAATGATTATTCATACAATGAAAATATTGGTGACGGTTGATGATATTTAAAGCAAAATAACATTTTAACAATATTTTTATTGCTTACAAAGTTTAAATGACTAACTACCCGAAACTGATTCGAGTGATATGCACCGATCTTATTCAAGTACGAATTAGAAAACAGATATTTTGGCAACATAAATACTTAAAAGTACTCAGTCTTAATTCTACCTCTTGATCATTTATTTTTGGTTAGTTCAGTGTTTTAAGATATTACACAGTTACTTGTGTTATTTGATTTTTGAACCGTTTTCATTTGTGAACTATTAGAAACACCAAAAAGTTCGGCAATTCTGGTATGCCCGTTTTTTAATGCTACAGACAGTGGCGTACGAACTATAAAAGCCCTATGATTAATGTCTGCACCTGATACAAGTAAAAGTTCTACAATCTTTTCGTGTCCTTTTTCGCAAGCTATGTAAAGAGGTGTACAGCCGTTGGATCTAGATTGGTTTATATCTGCACCAAATGCAATTAAACGCTCCGCAATATTTTCATTTCCTACTTCGCACGCTATGTAGAGAGGTGTAGCACCGCAACGAGTGCCCTGGTTTATTTTTGCGCCCATATAAAGTAAACGTTCTACAATTTTAATATGTCCAAACTGAGTAGATATAAAAAGAGGCGTGACTCCATCCTCATTCCCGAGATTAATGTCTGCACCTGATGTAACTAGAAGTTCTAGAATGTTCATGTGCCCTCTTTCGCAAGCAATATAAAGAGGTGTAACGCCAGTGTAGCTACCCTGGTTTATGTTTGCACCAAAAGCAATTAAGCGCTCCACAATATGTTCGTGTCCATTTTGACAAGCTATGTAAAGAGGTGTAGCGTCTATGATTGTGGACTGGTTTATGTTTGCACCAAATGCAATTAAGTGCTGCACAACAATTTCGTGTCCTCTTTCACAAGCTAGGTAAAGAGCCGTAACATCACGAATTGTGGACTGATTTACTTTTGCGCCTGCTGAAAGTAAACGTTCCACAACCTTAATATGTCCTTCCTGTGAAGATATCATAAGAGGAGTAACACCTTTCACAGTTGCGAGATTAACTTTCGCACCTGATTTAATTAAAAGTTCTACAATGCTTTCGTATCCGAATTCGCAAGCTATGTAAAGGGGTGTCGCGCCAATTTTTCTAGATTGGTTTATGTTTGCACCGTATGTAATTAAGCGCTTCACAATATTTTCGTTTCCATATGCGCAAGCTATGTAAAGAGGTGTGGTACCGTTCACATTCCCCAGATTAATGTTTGCACCTAAAGTAACTAAAAGTTCTAGAATGTTTTCGTGTCCTTTCTGGCAAGCCACGTAAAGAGATGTGATTCCGTCAGTGCTACGAAAATTTATGTCGGCACCTAAGATCAGTAAATACTTAACTATTTTCTCATGATCTCTTTCGGATGCTAAATAAAGCAAAGTCATGCCCATTTTATTTTTAGCATTAAAAATTTTCTTCCGAGAATTTAGTAACCGTGCACGTGCTCCACTAAAAGAAGTTGACATTTCTAAATACAGATGTTCTATTACGTCAACATATCCACACACAGTTGTATAATATAATATGTTAATTATGTGTTCGATTGGTAGACCCATTAAATTGTGGTTCTGTTGCTTCAAAATCTTAATTTCATTAGCAAGACAGTTACTTTTTTGGGCATACATTAAGGGTGTCAATTTGAATAAAGCATCACGTGGATATAAATCGCAAATATTTAATAAATAATTTAAGATCTTCACATTTTCCTGCTTTTCAACCTCAACACTAGGACAACCAGAATCATCTACGATATAAGCGCCAGCAGTTGTTGTAACATTCAATCGAGGATGTATCTGTCCCCACGAAGAAGCTACATGTAGGACACTCCGTTCAGCGGAATCTGTACTTGTCCGAATTTGTTTTTCATAATTCTTCAATATATTCACGTTCTTGTATAATACCGCCACATGAGGTGGTGATTCTTTTGCCAACAGCAAATCGAAAAAAAAACGTACATTTAGATACCTTGGTTCAAAAATCACATCTACAAAAATAGATGAAAGCCGCCGATTTTGACAGAAATAAAGCGCTGCGAAATATTCCGCAAAAGAGTTATGAATAAAACAAGCTGGTTTTGACGTTATCTTTGTTAATAAACCAACCGAAACGTATTCTTCTTTAAAGCCTTCGAAACTATTTTCAATATCGATATTAAGTGTCTTTAAGAATTCTTTGGAGAATAATGTTTTCAGGGCTAAGTTTTGGTGGTACTGGAGAATTGCAGTTTCTAATATTTTAATTGCTGATTCAGACAAGGAATTTTTTTCAAAGTAGACCTTCATCTTTTCTTTCACAAAATAATGATATAAATCAGTCAAAACAAATATATCATTAAGGAGTTTAAAATATTTGCTTATGTCTTGGCGAAGCAAATTTGTGAGCATAAAGATTTGTAAAGGTATGCCTAAGATTTCTTTATGTTCAACCAGTACAAATGAAGATCGAATTTTGCTCATAATTTCTTCAAATTTGTTGGTCATATAAATGCTCTCTAGACGTTTTTTAATGTAAGTGGTTTGCTCTTGTTCGCTGAATTGGCACAATTTAAAGGAAAGCACATTAAATTTAGTCTCTAATAAATGTTTAAGTTGAAATCGGCTTGTTATCCACTGGGGGTGACCTTTTATAGAAAGTTCAACAATTAAATTTGTAATTGTTGCTAGATATTCAGTAGGAATTTCGTCCAAAGCATCCCAAACGTAAAATACTTGATTCTGTTTAATAAACACTTGTAAAAACTCCTTTGCTAGTTCGTCCATCGATTTGTATTTCTCATTCAAAAGAAAATTTTGTAAAGAATCTAAATTGTCAAACCGATTATTATTGTTTATAATATATTTCGAGAAGAGAGAAATATCTGTGGGTTTCATAAAGATGATCCAAATTTTTGAAGGAGATGTGTTTTTCAAACTTTTCATTAACTCGGACTTTCCCATTCCAGGGTTACTAATTATCAAATTTATATTGTTCGCAAGTTTTCTACACCACATTTCTTTTTCTGATAAGAGAAAATTATTCACTGTATATTCTTCTAAAATGCTTATATTGCCCTTGCTTTGAATCCATTCAAAACTGTCTTCATCTATAAATCTCAAGTGGTGGATATTTTTCGTATCTTTATTTCTGTCACAAATTGCTTCAAACTGCGTTTTGTGACACTTGTTTGTAGTGATAAAAACGCTAATTCGGGTAGTATCTCTTTCTATCTCAGTCGAATGAACGCTTGAGTCTCTTTCGTTTAAGTAATTTTCTATATTATGAATACTGCAATTTTTCAACTTCTGGTTTAATGAATCAGTGTTTTGCACGCCATCAATTACAATTGAAGTGTTTTCATCATTCCTTTGAAAATATTTTATATTTATAACATTTCGGCATAAATTCCTTTCGATATATGGTTCGGGAAGATTTTCTAGCAGACCGCCGATTGTATACGGACCCTCCAACATCTCTACCAAATGGCTTGTTCTTATAGTATGAGAAAAATCAAGACTAAATACATTTTTTAAACTGACCTCTTTTTTTCCTTGAATAGAAACATTAAACTTTTTGAGTACCTTATCTCGGTGTGGTGCTTTTAAGTCCGATAAATTTCGAAAAACTGAACTATGACTAATATTTTCTTTATTAATATCATCTACAAGAAGAATAATACTAACTTGTGGGCATAACTTTATCAGTTTGTGGACTACTGCATCTTCCGTTACAATTATTGGACATTTACCGTTCAACCACAGCAATGTGTTTAACAACTTCAAATCTATATTGTCAAGAGTTTTAATATAAGTTTGGCTAAGATGATACATTTCTCGTGTTTTATTTAATTCTTTAGTATCTTTAATCTGACTCATAGCATCGCCCCATAAGTCTTTAATTTTATGGTAAGTATTATTTTCAAATACCGTAATAGTGAAAGTAGAAATTGCCTCTCGTAAAATTTTCATGTTCTCATCTATACCACTACCAAAAGACAACGGTTTAATTCGAGATGATAGGAGTGTAAGTGCAATAGCACGCTGCACCCAACTCTTACACAGTTTATGTTTTTCGCCCTTCTGTTGACTCCATCGCGATATCATTTTCAAAAATGCATCACATTCTGTTTGATTCGCAAGAAATACTTTTGTAAATTTCTCAGCTATTTTTGTTTCAAGAATTTTAGAATTATCTTGATTAACAAACAAATAAAATTTTTCAAAAAAGTGTTTGTACATTAAAATTTCTGGAGAGTAATCATATGTACACTCATCTTCAACAACATGAAACCTATAACAATGATTTAATGTATCTGATATTTGAAAAATTTTATCTTTCGGCTGAAATGGGGACAATCCAATTTGAAAATCTTCACCATCAAGCCAAAATCGTGTATTATCTTTAACGCCAAACTTAAGATTAGTATATAAAATAAAATTATCTACGTGGCAGTTTATACTTTGAGCAGAATTGAAGTATTTTTTTACGCTAAAATCTCCGTTTTCTTGTTTGAGTTTAGCTATATGTAAGTTACCTCGATCGTTGTGTTTAAGTTGTAAAGCAGATACATTGCTACCTGTTGCCGATGTAATTTTTACGACAATATCATCAAATGCACCAAAATTTTCATCATTAGAAGATAAATAAAAATCCTCCACTTCAACGTCAGTGGACCAGTTGATCCCGATGTTTGCGATGTTCAAATTTTCATAGTCAATGCCTTTGTTGGTTGTACCGGACCTTTTTTTAAATGTCTGAAAAAATAACAGTAGTAGGTAGGTAAGGGTTCGTGAAAATTTTCGACAATTTAAACAATCAAAAATGCAACCCCAAGTAACTGGTAAGTGACAAGTGAGTCAACAAGAGTAATTTTGACATTTCACCACGAAAAAGTGACACTTCATTCACTATAAATTTGTAATGGTCGCCTATTTTGCAACACAGACAGAATAATAGTTCTTCGCTGTCGTCCAAGCAGTGGAAATGTAAACCCAAAGATGGCGCCAACGCAAATTTTAAAATTTTTGGGACTTATTTTAACTGCTCATAAAAGTGCTACATGTTTACAAAGAAATCACCAAAAAAAAAAAACAAAAAAAAAACATTTAATAAAAAAATATTCCATATATATATTGCAACGCATCAACGTAAATTTATCAAAACACGAATCCAAATCTGAAGCTAACTTCAGCGACATTAACTTAGGAATAAGATGTACTAAATATTAACTCACCTCCATGATTGTTGTAGGTCAGTAAGACTTTAATCAAAGAAACAATGTTAAATCGATGATTCATTTTTTAAGTAACGAATAAATAATGTTGTTTGCTGTTGGCGACGTGTCTACTTTACAAGGCTGCACCTATAACAACGTCGATTGTGGTTAGAAATTGGTGGGACAGTGAATCACAACAACATTTGATAACAATATCTTAACCGAAGACCGTGTGTCGAGAATCTCGTCGGGTTCGTTACATTATGTAATATCTACAATGTACATTATTGTCAACTTTTACAAGAAGTCAATTTTTTGAGCAGGTCAAATGTTTAACATGCAACAGAAACGTTCTAAGGTCACCCACTTTGTGTAAATTTGTTTCTATAGCATATGAACAACTTAACGTTGTTGCAGTGGCGGCTCGTGAAGTTTTCTTCAGAGGAGGCTCAAATTTGAAAAGCACTACTTTTTATATCTTTCATTATCTGAATATTTTTTTATCATGCCCACGAGAAGAACACTCCTGCGTTGATAGATAAATAAACTATTGCATTGATTAGTCTTTTCAAAATTGCCCTATTTTCACCAACTTTCTGGTTATAGTTCTCAATATCCCTCTTATGAGCGGAATCTAAAGTAGTAGATGTGATTTTTCTTATAGCCTGTTTTATCCCAAACGGAAGATTTATCACTTGTGAATAATACACAATTCCAACAGTATAATTTGTTTCTTAAAACCGAAGGCGTTAACCATTTAGTTTTGTTATAATTATTTTCATGAAATGCTCTGTTTTGCTTTTTACCTGTCATTACCATTAATGGGAGTGGTGGTGCTGGTCTCCCCTTTTGTTTTATAGCGATCTTTTTATCACAATCAAAGCTACTAAATTAATTTTTTAATAGATAATTTACGTATCTGCACATGAGACTGAATTATTTTCGTTGCTCATTCTCGATAAATAATATTAATATGCCGATAATACCAACTGTTTTTAACGATCAGAAATAAAATGCAAATAAATGATACAAAAAACACCTTAGGCTTTACGTAGGTACTAAACACCACTCACCACTGAATAGGGAGCACGCGAAACCACCTCAATGTTTTTCCTATTTACACCCGATGGCGCCAATTAATAAGAAAGAGATAAAATTATCCGTGCGACTTGATCTGAAAAGAGATAAACTAGCCGGAGGCTAGCGGCCTGAAGCGGCACCCTGATCGACGTTGTAGCCAATGCAGTACTAAATGACGATGCGTCAAGGTCTACGGTCTCAATAGCAAGATGCATTCTCGGCGGAGGCTAGCTTCTACCGCTGAAGCCAAACGCGGAGCGGTCTGAATTATGATTGTAAGGGCGCAAATATAATTTTTTTTCGACATTTTGACCTGATATATGATGAAAGTAAATTAAATCAAACAAAATATCCTGAAAAGTAACAAATGTCTACAAAAATACAAATTCTTTCATCGAAAAAATTAGAGGAAGCTCAGCTCCAAAAAACAGAGGAGGCTCAGCCTCCCCTGCCTCCTCTGAGGAGCCGCCACTGCGTTGTTGGTTGTTAGACGCCTCTAACGAAATTTGCGCAAAATTGATTTGTTGATTTTAGATAGATATTGTCTACAACGTTGTGCAATTGTCTTTCAGAATTTTAAAGCACCGTGAAAAGACAAAAAAAAATCGTTAAACATGCTAATTGTGATAAACGTAGCCAAGGTTAACAATATTAATAATATTGGTATTGGGGATTTTTCAGGGCCAATGTGTCATCCAACTGTTTAGCTAAGCTACTATATGGAAATCATTCCATTAAGTTTAAGTAGGCAAACACCATTGCATACGTCGTGCGTTAGGACATTTGGCGGAATTCCACCCTTTAGGTTGGTAGTTTAGGGTTGGAATGAGGGCACTTGACCCAGTTATTTTTTGTTTGGTATTGTGGGTATAAACACGTGTTAAACAAAACTTCCCTCGCTCCTGAAGTACAATGAAACATATCCAGCATTTTAGAGTTGAGTTTTTTCTTTACACAATACTTACGTGTTGACCAATTCGCCAAAATTTCACAGCGTTCCAGATTAGAAAATCGCTAACAATTAGTCTTACACTAATTATCACTTCCCGAGCGTAACCGTAGGAAGTATTGTAATCGAGTCCGTCGACCAAGTCACTACTTTTACGTTTTCTCGACCTTTCGTGACCCCTACAATACGAAGAAATAGGTCTCCCATTTCCGTCTGTCTGTCCGTCCGTGTGTCCATCTGTCTGCCGTCCCGGATTTGTGTTAGACAGATAATCTCCGAAAGCATCAGACAAATTTTATGTGTGCTATGAATATCATGCAGAAGTTAAAACGCTAACCAAAATTTGTCTATTATCCATTCTTGATTTTTATATAGTAAAGTAGGCTTTGATATTTTTTCTTTAAGTTGGATAAACTGATTTGATGATTTAGTTTTTTGTCTGTCAGTAGTCTGATTCTGATTGACATTTGCTTTGAACTGGATTGCCACTTTTCTACTTCATTTATTAGATCAGAATTATTAGACGCAATTTTTAATCAAGCAAACAAATGTTTTAATTTTGTCAGCATAGATAATTTGTCATTGTGACAGATTCACAGATCATTGCGACATTATTTAAAAAGAAAAAACCTAAAATAGTTTTACTGCAACAAAAAATTGCAATAAAAAGATGTTTTTTGCAGTTTCGAAAAGACAGGCCCGATCTTTCTTTCGAAGAAGTAACTACGAGGGTCTCGAACATATTTTCTGTAATGTAAAAACACACTGTAAAATATTTTTTAATTTTTTTTCTCATAGGTGGGAACATCAACTGTGGCGAAAATTTTATCAACGGGGGACCAAAATTTAAAAACAGCTCTTGTTTAAGGTAGCTCGATCACCTTGATCAGAGCCACCAATCCTGTAAGCGTGGTCTCTTTGGTTTTTATTCTTAATTAAATTTGCGTCCACACCATCAAAATAACTTGAGTCTATTTTAAGTCTAGTCGTTTTAAGTCCTCAATTACGCCCATTAAGTGCCACTTTTTTCCTACTGAAATGTCAAAATTACTTTGTTGGTCTCACTTGTCACTTTATTATACTCAGACGTCGAAAACTTACTTTTGCGTCTTTGGCCTTGTGTTTTTGTCCAACATTAAAAAAAAGCATAAAGTGCCTTGAACCAACTTTCGTTGAATCAAAGTGGGATGCATTGGAACAACTAATAAAAGATGCAAAAATGAAGTTCTTAAAGAGACAAACAAACAAGAAAATAAGAAGATGGGAAAACGTAAAGATAATACTCAGTCACAGAAATATATAGAAAATCCAAAATGTATCTAAAGGAGTGATGAACTAAAAGAAAGAGAAAAAAATATTGATAGAAAATGAAAGGGGAATAGCGTGGACTAGAGACGCTAGATATACTTTGGAAAAGAGTTGTGACACGAAACGTCAAAATTAATGGTAAATTTTATTTTACTATGCTGGCTACGGATGCCTTTTTTGAGTCATGTTTTGACAGTTTGTAATTGTCATTTAGTACATAGACCTGGAAGAGAATAGTCGTCGTCTGTTGTGTACGAAACTGTAGAAATACAGAAGCAAATGGTTTCTCATTGTTTAAAGGCCCCGAAAACAAGGTATTACTTAACAAATGGAAAGAACAGATGCAATATCCATCTTGAAAAATTGGCAAAAGGGCTTACATTTGCGAGGTTGTTGTCCGAAATTGTATTTTCCATCTAATCCTTGGTCAACAGGTTCACTTCAAAAAAGAGAATTTTATATTTCAAGTGAATGCAAAATATGTGAGAACGCAATTCCAACAATTTATAATGTGGCTGAATTTACGTCAAAATGACCGGTTCTTGGCAAAAAAAAAATGTTATTGATGAAGTTCAGCAGACTATTTTCGAAAAAGACAACTTCATCAAAAAACTGCAAATGAAAAAAAGTTGCAAGAAAAAATAACGCGGGGTGCTGAAAAAGAAATTAATGTTTTGAAAGCAAAAATTTCAAGTTTAGAAGGGCAAGTAATAAATTACAAAAATAAGGACGATGCATAAAACAGAACTATAAAAGGGATTCTCAACGAAAAGCAAATTCAAAATTGAAGTGTGAAATGTAAACTACCAAAACGCTGGAACAATAAAACAATAGAAGAAGCCATTAAAACAAAAATTTGTCTGTGGAACATCAGGACATAACTATATCTTTTGAATATAAATTTTCCGTTACCTTCAAAGTGGAACTCTATGCCGTAGAATTCAGCACATACCGTTTTTACCAGGAATTTTACATGAAATTTTTACCTATTTAACAATCAAAATTCAAAATTTTAACGATTAGGAAAGAGATTATTGTTTATTTTTAGGCGAAGCAGCAATCAATCCAGGTAAAGAATACTGTCGACGTTCCTCATTACTTTTGGGAAACAACATTAACAAATTTAAATGAAGTCGCTACCTATGTTTTGTTTTTTATGTTAGGAGGTGTAAGCTTACGATGGAAGCAAATCGTATGTTATCATTTTACTGGGAATTCCACACACGGAGACACATTATCTAGAATTGCAAAAGAAATTAAAATCAAAAGTACAAAAACGCAGTTCCAAAATTCAATAGTTAACCCAAATAACAAAAGTAGGAATGTTGATTTTGCTGCTAACGCTCCACCTTTGTCTAAAAATGTTCAATCCAACCTCATGTATTCTTCGGCAATTTCATTAATTGTTTGTGGAACATTTCTTAATTATTTCGAGTTACAGAAATTCGATGACCATGCTTGTTTTTGTATTTTTTTTTCATTGTTATTTTAATTAAAAGATGTAACAAATTTTAACTTGTAAGTTTTATTTAATATAGAGGTACATGAATCTATATATTTCTACTGAGATTATTCTACATATCAGAGCAAATATTCATGATGGAAATGTGAGGACGTTGTAAAACCACTGTTTATGATAGAGTAGTAGATAGAGAACCTACTAGACATGTTTCAAATTTCTTACCACGGTGCCGTTCGTTAAATTACAAAATGTTGTTTTGACCAGAAGCAAAACCATTAGATACTGACAATCTTAGCTGGGAACAACGATAGTACCTAAGTACAGAATGGTGTTTAAACTTAACTGCAAATTGTGATATAATCTTATAAAGTGTAAATCAGTATGATTAGGTATTCTGTATTTTTCTGTTTTATCAGCGATGCCGGTTGCAAATTGTAAGAAGTACTTAACCGCATAACACATGTTCTTAAATATAAGGTACTGTCAGTCTCAGTACTGTTAACAAAATTTCAAAGAAACTATTTGGAGCACTACGCCACTGCTTGAAAATGTAACTTAACCTATAAATTTCTTTTGAAGTTTTTGCAACTAAATCACTAAATTAGATAAAGACAGCAATCACTATAGCTATTTCATAACTGACCGTCATCATTGATTAAATACATATAGATAGACCCATGCTATTGTTTGGAGCGAACAGGCCAACGGCCGGCGAACAAGAGATGGCGCACCAACAGTCGGCCGTCAAACGCCGGCGAAAAGCTTGGACACCAATCGCGCGCGTAGATAACCCAAATCACAGCAACAATACATTTAATAAAGCTACCACTCGACAGAGGGCGACGAAAACAATGTGTAAAAATCTCTTAGTAACCATTTATATAATTTGCAACGTTGCCAGATGAGCCTAGCACAACTTTGCCGTTATTTCTAGTCGATTAGATTTTATTTCGTTTAAAAGTTTCTGGTGAATAAATGAAATTATTATAATGAATAAACAATACAAACAAATTATTACTTGTTATTTTAAATACTTGTTAGTGTTGATGAAAACATAAATGGTAATTAAAGTTATTCTAAATACGGTCCGGTCCGGTAGCTCAAATTTTACAGTACGAGTGATATGTTTCAGGACGAGTAGGTAGCCGAGTCTTTAATTTCGAAACGAGTACTGCGAAAAGAGTTACCGGACGTATGTTGTTATCTATTTTATTTCATACTGTCAACATACTTTTTTATTCGATAAAATTATTATTATTTTGAGAAAAAATCCAAATCGAGTCACTTTTTCTGACATCGTTAGCAACCGCTCTTTGGTAAATGTTTTAATTTGTTTATTCGTGCAAATCAGCATCATATGTTTAAACACATAGTACTTATAACACTTTACAGGACTTATTGTTTTGTATAATCCGACTCGATGGACGAATGTTTTGTGCAATCCGTCTCGAAGGACCAATGTTTGTGCAACTCGGTTCGTCCTACCAGTATTTTTTGTAATCTGGTTGATACGACAATGTGATACCGAATTGCACTTTGATATTGCTCCAAGGACCTTTGTTTTCTTGCGTGCGAGATAATAGACAGCGTTCGGTTTCGATGTTTAATACAGGACGGTTACAGAAGTACTAAATTTACATTTGTATTTACAATAACAGGTAAAGCAAAAGAGACCCAAAAGGGTCAGTGGCCGCTTCCGGAATTGGAAAACTTGTCCTTTTTGGCCACGGAGGTAGAAGAGTGTCTCTTCTACCTCCGTGTTTTTGGCTCAATTTTATCGGACTTGTCCGTTTTTTTGATTTTACCGGAATAGTTCGATCCAGTAAAACGTCAAACTTGACATAGTATGAAGTAAAATAAATAAATTTTATGATGTAAATACAATTAAGTGTATCGATAATTCGCTACTGAAAATTTATTGAAATATAATTTGTGTTAAAAAAAGATTTTTGTGGTTTTATGGTTTATTAAATGTAATTAAAATAAATAATATCAAGAACTTGTATTATATATCAAAAACATTCATTGTAAATAAGAAAATTATGTAAATAAACCATAAAACCATACAAAATTTTCCTGCGACCTCTATTCAAAATCCCAGTTTACCAATAGGAATTAAGGCACAAAGATGTTTCACTGAATTTAATACCGATTTTTCAAGAAAAGTATGCTTATAAGCCTATAAGCGTCTAATGGATTAAAACAACAAATAATAATCACAATTTATTTGTTTTATGTGTTCATTACAATAATCCCATTTATTTACCAGAAACTTCTAAATGAAATAATATCTGGTTGACGAGAAATATCCGCAAATTTGTGTTAGGCTCATCTGGCAACGTTTTCGGTAGGTAGGTATCAATGGAACTAAAAGATTTGGTAATTTTCTTGGAAGAGTTTGTTTCTTCAATGAAAATTTATGGTTTTTAATTCTTCGGCCGCTTGAAAGTCTCGCCATGTGAAAATAGATTATTTGATAACCTGTTTCGTAATAATTGTAAATACGAACAAAAGCATATTTGCATATTCTAAACAACTGGCCATATCGATTCCAAACTTGTACAGATATGTTTTTTATTGTTTCTGTTTTCCATGAAATAAATTTTATTTGCAAAATACTTAATGTCTAACGACATATCACGCATACATACTACCCCATTTACTATATTTTCAATCTGTGCACTTTTCGCTTCATTCGTAGGAGCCAAGTAAGAAGTATCAGTGAGACCGGCGGTCTTTCAAAAGCTCGTAAATGAAAAGATTTAGTAAAGTTTCCTAGAACAGTCTGTCTCTTCATAAAAAAATTTAGACATTTTTACTATGAAATATTGGTACAATACGCTATATTCCACTGTTTGTTTTCTTTGAGATACGACTAGTTCTTGTGCCGAAGTGAAACACCAAAAAGTCTAAAGTCCGGAAATCAGAGTGAATTTTAAAACACATAAAACGACTTCTTTATTTATTTAAATATTGTCCTGTAACGTCCTGTGACGTGGAATGGAGTTTCTTAATGTACAAAAGTATGTTAGATAATAACCGAAAAATTTTCTTGATTAAAACTAAAGGAAACACAATTATTACTTGGAATAAAAATAAAGAATATCAAGAACTTGTGCTATGTATTAAAAATATTTAATTTCAAATAAGTAAATTATGTTAATAAACCATAAAACCACAAAAATCTTTTTTAACACAAATTATATTTCAATAAATTTTCAGTAGTGAATTATCGATATACTTAATTGTATTTACATCATAATAGTTATTTATTATATAAGCGGTTAAAGTGAATGTTTAATGAGCGGCCAGTTTAAGGCGAGAGCGGCGTATGCCGCGAGCGCCTTAAGACCACGAGTTACACATTCATTTTAACCGCGAGTGTAATACAAACTTTTATTCAATTTTGACAACCCCAAGTCCCAAATTGTGAAAAAATTGGTGATTCAAAGTTCACATTCGAGAAACGTCAGAATTGACAGCGACCAAATAAAAGTTTTATATGCGTAGAATTTAGGTTACAATATCAGGTGTGTGTGTGTAGTATGTGACTCTGGCGACGGTGTTTGTTTATTTTAAACAAACTAAAATTATCGAAAAATTGCAAAATCATGCAAGATTCCAACGGCAAAACTTGCTCCCAAAAAAGAGCAAATCAGAAAGTGTATCAAAAGTTCCTTAGATGGAAAGAGCAGCAAGACATTGGAGAAATTACAGAAATGGTAACCATGGTTTTAAAACAGCAAAATAAAAATTTTATTTCGCTAGCGGTTTAAAAATTTTATGGTGCTACCGGATAAACCAAAGCTTTAGTGGCCTACTGACGGCAAAATAAACGTTTGTTTACATGTCAAAATTGAATAAAATTTATTTATTTTACTTTATACTATGTCAAGTTTGACGTTTTACTGGATCGAACTATTCCGGTAAAATCAAAAAAACGGACAAGTCCGATAAAATTGAGCCAAAAAGGACAAGTGTTCCATTTCCGGAAGCGGCCACTGACCCTTTTGGGTCTCTTTTGCTTTACCTGTTATTGTAAATACAAATGTAAATTTAGTATTTCTGTAACCGTCCTGTATTAAACATCGAAACCGAACGCTGTCTATTATCTCGCACGCAATAAAACAAAAGTCATTGGAGCAATATCAAAGTACAATTCGGTATCACTTTGTCGTATCAACCAGATTACAAAAAATACTGGTAGGACGAGCCGAGTTGCACAAACATTGGTCCTTCGAGACGGATTGCACAAAACATTCGTCCATCGAGTCGAATTATACAAAACAATAAGTCCTGTAAAGTGTTATAAGTACTATGTGTTTAAACATATGATGCTGATTTGCACGAATAAACAAATTAAAACATTTACCAAAGAGCGGTTGCTAACGATGTCAGAAAAAGTGACTCGATTTGGATTTTTTCTCAAAATAATAATAATTTTATCGAATAAAAAAGTATGTTGACAGTATGAAATAAAATAGATAACAACATACGTCCGGTAACTCTTTTCGCAGTACTCGTTTCGAAATTAAAGACTCGGCTACCTACTCGTCCTGAAACATATCACTCGTACTGTAAAATTTGAGCTACCGGACCGGACCGTATTTAGAATAACTTTAATTACCATTTATGTTTTCATCAACACTAACAAGTATTTAAAATAACAAGTAATAATTTGTTTGTATTGTTTATTCATTATAATAATTCCATTTATTCACCAGAAACTTTTAAACGAAATAAAATCTAATCGACTAGAAATAACGGCAAAGTTGTGCTAGGCTCATCTGGCAACGTTGCAAATTATATAAATGGTTACTAAGAGATTTTTACACATTGTTTTCGTCGCCCTCTGTCGAGTGGTAGCTTTATTAAATGTATTGTTGCTGTGATTTGGGTTATCTACGCGCGCGATTGGTGTCCAAGCTTTTCGCCGGCGTTTGACGGCCGACTGTTGGTGCGCCATCTCTTGTTCGCCGGCCGTTGGCCTGTTCGCTCCAAACAATAGCATGGGTCTATCTATATGTATTTAATCAATGCCGTCATGTAATAAAGATAGAGACAGAAAATGTCCGTGTCACAACTCTTTTCCAAAGTATATCTAGGGTCTCTAGCGTGGACGAAAATGAAAAAGGATAATTTAGGAACCGCTGTTGTTGTATGGATGGAAATTAACACTTATATTTTATACCCTATGGTATATTGTTAATGTAGGAATAATACTTACTTAAAATATTTCAATTAATTCGATTTAAAGCCCACGAGGTACGAATAAAACTTTATTGTAAATTAAGATTTCAACATATTGTTTATATTTTAGTAGTAGCAGGTACTTAATATTTCAACGAATGAAATACATGAAACTCTTTAAACTAATTTGTCTTAAATTATGGCACCAATTACATTTTACTTACTATAAAATACACCAAACAGTTAGAATCCAGTTATGATTTATGGAAAGAAAACAGGAAACACTTCATCAACCTATTAAGAATGAGAATAATGTGGCGACGATTTCACCTACAGGCTACGTCAGCCTAGACACAAATAATTAAATCACTCAATTCGAGTAGGTATCAAGAAACAAATTGTTAGCGTTGTTTCTTAAATTTTCATCAAATGTAGTCGTTGACAAAAATAAGGATAAAGTTAATAGAGCAATAGCCTTCCACTTGCTCCAGAAATTCTTTTGTACAAAGTACATATTTTCTCAGGGCCAATTACAGCCTAAGAGAATGACATACGTACCATTCCATTAAAGTGTCCAAATTTTGTCACAAAATAGGTAAAATCGTCTTGAAGCTATTTTCGTTTACATCAAATCTTATCATGAACTGAAACGTTTTAATACTGTTTTTCTCTGAATCGTACATTTTTTTACAAAAAGTTCTTTATACAACGAATTGTATACGTCGACAATTTGAGAAAGAAATAGTAGCGATTACGGATTAAAACAACTCCCCATCTTGATTCAGTAGTATTATCTTCTTTGATTTTTTGATACGGATTTTTTCGGTTACAACTCCCTAAAGATGAGATGATTGTGGCCTCAATGTGCAAGTGTACAAATAGTTATCTGTGCTAACTAGTAAGCAGATTGGTCCTTCGTGGTACGAAAATATTCCATATATAGCCACTGGAAAAAAAATACCCACAATTATTTTGAACAAAGTGAAAAAAGTGGTCAGTGAAAAATTTATTATGAGAAAAAAATATTGAAGGACTGCCAGTTTTCTGTCAGTTATATAAAGAATTTAACAGTTATCTAAATATTGAAAAAACAGTTAGGTAAGCAAGTACCTATTGAATCTTTTTGTGTAGCAATAACAAAAAAAAAACCCTCCAGTTATTTGTTATTCGTCTTTTGGCGCTAAAACGTATGTCTGCGGGTCTGCAATTAGGTACATCTACACGAATGTGAGGTTATAACAAAGTAACATGGTGCAAACCTGGAAGCACAAATAAATGAACGAATTACAGGAATCCAAATGATAGCTGTGAAAGGTGACAATGCATCTAGAATCTACATTATTTAATTACAACTATCTCCAAAATTCAGAATTACGAAAATTTTAAATATGAAGAAATAACGACATCGATTCTATTTCTTCTAGGACGTCAGATTTCATAAGTTTTAACAATAAATTTAAAATCGTGAAAAACTGATTAACTCCAGTTAGTAAGAGAAATCATATCTTATAGTAATCACTTACCTAATATGTTTGGGTCTTCAGATTATCAGCAGAAAATCGTCTCAAAAACTTTTCTCCCAAATAATACCTAATGATAAAAACTGGCAATAAGTGATGATATTTAGTTAGCCTCTGTTTTAACAATGTTTCTACTGTTTACATCACTGAATTCGGCAAGCAAAATTTTTTAACTGAATAATAATGATGCACCTCTATTTTAAAAATTTAAAATCAATTTATTATTAGTTTTCATTCTATTAACGAAAAATTTGTAACACATTATTACGGTCATATATTTTTTTATATAAAGAAAAATGTAATATTATAGAAAACCAAATGTTATTTCGTGTACATAAAATAAATAGTTTTACATAGAACGCAAATAAAATAATTAAATTTAATTTAAAAATTAAATAACACAACATGGCAGAAATATTTTTGGCTTTTCGTATTTTACCGCAAACAGCGAGCTATTTTTGGTCAGTTCGGTTTTCAAACCACACTACATTTACTTTTACCCACAGATTAATTAGACTTCATTTTACCTGAATTAATCCATCCTTTCAAAATTTGAACAATTTTGTCATGCTTTTTTTCTAAAGCAACTGAGAGTGGTGAGCGGTCAAAACATGTCACTAAATTAATATCGGCACCTGATGCAACTAAAATTTCTACAACATTTTCGTATCCTTTTTCACAAGCTATGTAAAGAGGTGTGACACCTGTATTGTCTGCTTGATTTATATGTGCACCCAACGCAAGTAGACGTTCTACAACCTTAATATGTCCAAACTCACAAGCTACAAAAAAAGGTGTAACATCGTCCACTCTGCTGCGATTAATTTCGGCACCCGATGCAACTAAAATTTCTATAATTTCTTCGTGTCCGAATTCGCAAGCTATGTGAAGAGGTGTTGCGCCGGTATCTCTAGACTGGTTTATGTTTGCACCTAACGCAAGCAGACATTCTACAACCTTGATTTGTCCACAATAAGAAGCTGTATAAAGAGGTGTAACACCGTCCAACCTCGCGAGATTAATTTCTGCGCCCGATGTTACTAAAAGTTTTACAATCTCTTCGTGTCCGAATTCACAGGCTACGTGAAGAGATGTTGCGCCAATATCTCTTTGTTGGTTTGGGTCTGCGCCTAGCGCAAGAAGCCGTCCTGCGATCTTCGTTTGTCCAAACTGACAAGCTGTAAAAAGAGGCGTAATTCCGTCCAACCTCTCACAATTAATCGCGGCACCTGACGTTACTAAGCATTCAATAATCTCTTCGTGTCCGAATTCAGAAGCTACGTGAAGAGGTGTTGCGCCAATATCTCTCTGTTGGTTTGGGTCTGCTCCTAGCGCAAGAAGACGTCTCGCGATCTTCGTTTCTCCAAACTGAGTAGCTGTAAAAAGAGGAGTAACACCGTCCTTTCTGCCACGATTAATCTCGGCACCTGACATTACTAAATATACAATAATCTCTTCGTGTCCATATTCACAAGCTATATGAAGAGGTGTTGCGCCGATATCTGTAGACTGGTTTACGTTTGCACCTAACGCAAGCAGACGTTTTACAATCTTGATTTGTCCACAATGAGAAGCTGTATAAAGAGGCGTAACACCGTCCAACCTCGCGAGATTAATTTCTGCGCCCGATGTTACTAAAAGTTCTACAATTTCGTCGTGTCCGAATTCACAAGCTACGTGAAGAGGTGTTGCGCCAATATCTCTCTGTTGGTTTGGGTCTGCGCCTAGCCCAAGTAGACATTCTACAACCTTGATGTGTCCATACTGAGAAGCTACAAAAAGAGCTGTAACACCGTTCACTTTCTCGCGATTAATTTCTGCACCCGCTGTGACTAAAAATTCTACAATTTTGTAGTAACCCCCTTGACTTGCAAAGTAAAGAGCTGTAGCTCCCTCAGTATCAGAAGCTTCTATACTAGTACCTTGGATCACTAAAAATTTAACAACTTTCTCAAATTGTCTAGCAGATGCTAGGTGAAGGAGAGTCTTGTTCACGATATTTCTGGCATCTAAGACCTTTTTCTCAAGTTTTAATAGTTCTGCATCTTGTCTACTACTAAAATTTGATACTTCTAAATTTAGGTGGTCTATTACATCATCATATCCACAAACAGCTGTATAATATAATAAGTTTATTATATGCTCGACAGGTAGGTCCAATAATTTTTTTTTCAATTGTTTTAAAATCTTAAATTCTATGACGAGACTGTTGCTTTTTCGGGCGTACAACAACGGCGTCATTTTGAATAACATATCGCACTGAGATAAATCACAGGTGTTTAGTAAATAATTTAAGATATTTAAATCTTCCGTCTTTTCAGCCTCAACATTAGGAACACCTGAATCATCTACGATGTAAGCGTCAGCAGTTGTAGTAACATCCAGTCGAGGATGTCTCTGTCCCCAAGAAGAAGCTACATGTAAGACACTCCGATCACCGGCATCTGTACCGCTGCCAATTTGATGTTCATACTTCTCCAATAAATTTATGTTCTTGTATAATACTGCCACATGAGGTGGTGATTCTTTTGCCAACAGCAAATCGAAAAAAAAACGTACATTTACATATCTGGGTTCAAAAATAACATCTACAAAAATAGATGAAAGCCGCTGATTTTGAGAGAAATAAAGCGCTGCGAAATATTCCGCAAAAGAGTTATGAATGAAATTAGCCGGCTTAGATATTATTTTTGTTAATAAACCAACCGAAATGAATTCTTCTTTAGAATCCTCGACATTATTTTCAATATCGAAATTCAGTTTTTTTAAGAATTCTACAGAAAATAATGTTCTAAGGGCTAAGTTTTGATGGTAATTGAGAATTGCAGTTTCTAATATTTTTATCGCTGATTCATATAAGGAATTTTTAAAATCCCCACCCACGGTTTTCTCAAAGTAGAGCTTCATCTTTTCTTCCACAAAATAGTGGTATAAATCAGTCAAAATAAATATATTACAAAGAAGTTTGAAATATTTGTTTATATCTTGTCGAAGCAAATTTGTGAGCATAAAGATTTGTAAAGGTATACCCAAGATTTCTGTATGTTCAACTAGTACAAATGAGGACCGAACTGTGCTTATAATTTGGTCAACTTCTTCGGTTGTATCAACGTTTTCAAGACGTTTTTTAATGTAAGTAATTTGCTCTTGTTCACTGAATTGACATAAATTTGTGGAAAGCACATTAAATTTATTCTCTAATAAATGTTTCAGTTGAAATCGACTTGTTATCCACTGGACGTGGTTTGCTTTGGAAAGCTCAACAATCAAACTTGTAATCGTTTCAACAGATTCAGCGGGAATTTCGTCCAGGGCATCCCAAATGTAATACACTTGGTTCTGTTTAATAAATACTTGCAAAAAATGTTTCGCTCCTTCATCCATGCATCTGTATTTTTCATATAAAAGAAAATTTTGCAAAGTCTCTAAGTTGGCAGATTGATTATTACTAGTAAGATATTTGGAAAAAAGACACATATCTGTGGGGTTCATCATGATGGTCCAAATTTCTGGAGGAGAAGTGTTTTTTAAACTTTTCATTAATTCAGACTTTCCCATTCCGGGATTACTCACTATCAAATTTATATTGTTCTCAAGTTTTGTACACAACATCTCTTTTTCTGTTAAAATGAAATCAGTTATTTTATATTCTTCCAAACTGCTTACATTACACTTACTTTGAATCCATTCAAAATTGTCGGCATCTATAAATCTCAAGTGATGGTAGTTTTTCAAGTCTTTATTTTTGTCGCAAATCGCTTCAAACTGCATTTTTTGGCACGCGTTTGTAGTAATGAAAACGCTGATTCTGGAAGTACCACTTTCTGCTGTTTCGCTCCGTTCAGTGCTTGTATTGCTTTCATTTAGGTAGTCTTCGATATTATGAATTCTGCAGTTCTTTAATTTTCGCTTCAATGAATCAATTTCTTGCACGCAATCTACGACAGTTAAAGTGTTTTCATCATTCTTTTCAAAATACTTGAAAGTTACTACATTTTTCCATAAATACCTCTCGATGTATGGGTTCGGAAGATTTTCTTGCAGCCCCCCTACAGCATATGGTTCGTTCAACATTTCCACCAAATAGCTTGTTCTGATAGCATCAATATAATCAAGACTAAATGCATTTTTTAAGCTGACTTCTTCTTTTCCCTGAATAGACAAATTAAACGTTTCAAGAACACTATCTCTGGATGATGTCTTTAAGTCCGATAAATTTCGAAAAACTGAACAGTCGTAATTAGTAAATTTTTCATTAACATCGTCTCCAAGAACAATAAACTTAGCCTCTGGACACAACGTAATGACTTTGTGAATGACTGCACCCTCCGTTACAATTATTGGACATGTACCGTTCAACCACAATAATGTGCTTAATAAATTAAAATCTACATCGTCAAGAGTTTTAATATAATATGGGCTTAGGTGATACATTTCTCGCGTTTTATTTAATTGTTTGGTATCTTTAACCCGAGTCACAGCATCGCCCCATAAGTCTTTAATTTTATGATAACTATTATTTTCAAACACCGTAACCGTGAAAGCAGAAATTGCCTCTCGTAGAATTTTCATATTCTTATTTACACTACTACCAAAGGACAACGGTTTAATTCGAGAAGATAAAAGCGTAAGTGCAATGGCACGTTGCATCCAATTTTTACACAGTTTATGTTTCTCGCCTTGCTGTTGACTCCACCTGGATATCATTTTCAAAAATGCATCACATTCGGTTTGATTTGCGAGATATAATTTTTTAAACTTCTCGACAATTTTTGTTTCAAGAGTTTTAAGATTATCTTGATTAACAAACAAACAAAATTTCTCAAAAAAGTGTTTGTACATTAAAATATCTGGAGAGTAATCGTATGTATAGTCATCTTCAACAACATGAAACCTATAACAATGATTTAATTTATCAGATATCTGAAAAATTTTATCTTTCGGTTGAAATGGAGACAACCCAATTTGAAAATCTTCACCGTCAAGCCAAAATTGTGTATTTTTCGTAACGGTGAACTTAAGATTAGTATATAAAATAAAATTATCTACATGGCAGTTTATACTTTGAACAGAAGTGAAATATTTTTTTATGCTAAAATCTCCGTTTTCTTGTTTGAGTTTTTTTATGGATAATGTACCTCGATCGTTATGTTTAAGTTGTATAGCAGAAACATTGCTACCTGTTGCTGATGTAACTTTTATAACAATATCATCAAATGCACCATAGTTTTCATCATTAGAGGATAAATAAAAATCTTCGATTTGATTATCAAGGACCCAATTGAATCCGATGTTGGCGATGTTCAAATTTTCATAATCAATACCTTTGTTGGTTGTACCTGATCTTTTTTTAAATGTCTGAAAAAATAGCAGTAGCAGATTATCTATTAGTGAAAATTTTAGTGGGGTTGATATGGATGATAAATACGAAAACATAAAAAGGTTTGACAGTTTTACAGTGGATATGTAGTTTGTATTTACTCATTCAAAATATATCTAGCTACCGAGTGACTGCCTGACTGTTAATGTTTGTGATTTTTTTTTGTCAAGTTTACATCTTCACAATACGTTGAAGGGGGATGGGAGCGCTTATGTCAACATTGACAACTGACTTACTAACATTACATTACAAACATACGAAATTATTACAATGTGTTAGATATGAATTGTTTCTTTATAACAATAAACACTGAATTAAGGCGGCTTAACTTTAAAACTAGTAATGAGTTTACAAAAAGAAATGTATAAACACAGACCTATCACTAACTTGCACTGATCTAATGTAATAAAGGCTATAATAATAATTAACAACATAGCTTTTTTCTCTGTTTCACAAAAAAATGCTAATTGAACTTGGATCACACTGAAGTTAGCTTTGGATTTGGATTTGACTTATGATCTTGAAATATTTTTGTCGTTGGTTTGTCCGTTTCAGTATGGAACTTTTATTAATCACCTCTCCAACGTAAAATTAAGAAAACACAAACCCAAATCTGACATTAACATAAAAATTATATGTTACAAACTAGTCACTCACCTCCATGGTTCGATAGCACTTAGGAAGACTTAAAGCAAAGAAAGAATACTAAAGGGGCCATGGATGATGTATTTTGCAAGTAATGACGAAAGAAATAACTCAACATTTTTATTATCAGCGACGTATTATCTACATCGCAAGGTCGCAACTTGAACACTGCGGCTGTGCCGCTGTGAATCAGAGGTTAGACATTATTGAGGCTGTGGAACACAGCTGCGATCCAGCATCTAAAAATATTAAATAGACTGCGCGTTGAGAGTCGCAGAATTCCGCCAGGAAGGTAGAATGAGAGGAGAGAAGATGTTTGAAAAAATGTGTGATACCGCGCTTTGATTACCCTTTCAACTCTCTTCGTTTATAAACAAATAATGCTCCTACTACTGGGCGCCTCAAATGGAATTCCCGTAAATTAGCTTGTCAGTATTTGTTTTCGCCTTCACTTTAAATCAGGTACCTGTAATACGATCAGTGAAAATATATACTTAATAATAAAATTTTACAACTTAAATCAATGGTACGTATATTTGATTGAACATCACAGGGCCGTGTTTGCAACCAACGAGACCTGGTGTGATTTTGTTGATTAAATCAGAAACGCCTCATTCCACTTTTTCGAAAATTCGAATACAATTCTGTTTATTACATTGTATCTGTTCAAATTGAAGTGCGTGTCCTTGATTGATTGATGATGTCATCACGAAATTTAAAACAAACGCGTAGGCACGCTTCTTTGCTGTACTTTAACATTACATACCTACCTTTATTGTAACATATAATCAAACTCTATAAATTTTTCGAAAAATCTGAACTTATTATATCGTACTTCAAGGTAGACGGAATAAACAGGTCACTGTAATGTATGGACATGGTTAAATATCTTGAGAACCAATTGTACAAATCAACTGAAATTAAGTATAGGTGTACAAGAAGTTGTGCTCTAATTATTCGTCAAAAAAATTCTTTTTGCTTCATTTGTTATCGGGATGCAAGGTCAACTTGATTTTTTTTTATTGGAACTTCCATATAATTAATACATTTTTCAATTAATCTTTTTTTTTCTGAATTCATTAAATATTTAAGTAAATTAATAATTATTAATTTTACTTAATATTAAACAACAAATAAATTAACCAAAATTAAACTTCTGTTTTCTACAAAAAATGCTCAAAATGCTGTCAATTTACTTCCTATTGACATAAACGCGATTCTTCGAATAACCCCACAAAAAAGTCAATACGTGTCAAATCCGGTCACCTGGCAGGCCACTCAATAGTACCCCTTTGGCCTATTCATCTGCCAAGAAAAGTTTCGTTTAAGTACTGTCGCACTTGACGTCCAAAATGGGGTGGAGCATCGTCTTGTTGAAACCAAATATTTTGTGCTGGTAACTCCGGATTTTGGTAATTGGGAAACAATTCTGTAAGTCTAGGCACACCCGCAACGGCCGGCCTTAAGTATCGCTCAGAATTTAGATTCCCATTATTAAAAAAAGGACCTGTTACATAGTAACCAATAATTCGCACTAAACATTCAGTCGATTTTTCCTAATTACTATTTTTATAAATTTAAAAAGAGCCAATGGATCGTTGCGGTTCATCTGTGTGACTGGTTCACAAGGTACAAATAACACTATGCAACAAATTAAAAAAAATTAAAATTCACAGAATGCACAGTACGTAGTTAAAATTTCTTACCTCAAACTCAATTGAGGATTATGCTTGAAAAAATCGTATCACATCAGGTTTCAAAATGAATAGTGTTTATTGAATTTTTTGAAATCATACAAAATTAATAAAACAAAACTTCATTTTTCATTGAAAAAGGTCTGTTTTTTCGAACGATTGGCATTCCTATTGTAGCCAGATCTCACAGTATTCCTCTGAAGACACCAACAGAAGTCTGCAAGCATGGGTGGATACATAAAAGCGATATTTTTACGATTAACTGCAATCAAGTGTCCCAAAAAGTAATAAAAACAAAACACCCGTTATCTATATTTTGTGATGTGATATGGGTATAAAACATTTTTTTCTTTAGTATATGGAGTATAGGTACCCAACCTATCACATCAGGTTTCAAAATGAAAAGTGTTTATTGAATTTTTTGAAATCATACAAAATTAATAAAACAATACTTCATTTTTCATTGAAAAAGGTCTTTTTTTTCAAACGATTGGCATTCCTATTGTAGCCAGATCTCGCAGTATCCCTCTGAAGACACCAACAGAAGTCTGCAAGCATGGGTGGATACATAAAAGCGATATGTTTACGATTAAATGCAATCAAGTGTCTCAAAAAGTACGAAAAACAAAACACCCGTTATCTATGTTTTGTGATGTGATATGAGTATAAAACATTTTTTTCTTTAGTATATGGAGTATACCCAACCTCAAACACTATCTGAACTTTCTGTGAATTTTTTAGTGTTGCATAGTGTAATCATAAGAAACATTAACGAAAAAAATTCTTTGTTATAATTAGGCATTATGGCACAGTACAATGGCAGGTCATACATATATTGAGCAATTATGCTTGAACATACCTTACAACTAATAATTAGAAAGTATATAATTTATGACTTATAATCCAAATAATTTCCATAGGTATATAAAAAAATATATACTCCCTGCCCATTTTTTTCCTCGGACGTTATAAAAGTTTATTTTTTGTAAGTGGTTCTAGTTTTTTTTCATTTCAGAAAAAAGAATAACAACAAATGATTTTCTAATTTCAAAATGTAAAATAGCAACTAGGTGACTACAAAACAGTTAATGCTCTTGAAAGTTTTGCCTTTTTACATCAACGTTCGAAAAAAAAACGTAATGGGTTACTTGAACTATAACTAACTTTGTCGTAGAAAAAGTTCTTTGTACAACATATCCTTTCTGTACTAGTAGTACCTAGTATCACATATCATTTAACTTAATTTATCTTAAATTATAGTAATAAACAATAAATTTCAATTCCTAAGTTTATAAAATGCACCAAGCAAAAAGAATCCAGTTAAAATGTATTTAAAGCAAACAAAACATACAGGATCAGGATCGATATATCAAAGAATGCTAATGTGATAACATTTTCCCTTAAAGATTCAAGCAGGTCCAGTTAAAGATGATTTAATCATTCACTTCCAGTATCAAGAAACAAAACATTAACCTTGTTTCCCAAATTCTCAGTAAGTTAACATGTTGAAAAACTGAAGGGTAAAGCAGTTGCTTTTCGCTTGCTCTACAAATCCTTCTGTACAAAGTACATACTGTCTACTTGTAGTACTTAGTATTCCATCGATGGTAAAGTAGCATTCTAAATTGAGATATCCCAGTTTTACCATCACTGCATAATTTTATTATGAAACATTTTAATACTGTTTTCTTTGGATGGTACATTTTTTAACACAAAGTTCTTTATACAGCAAATTTCAAAAGTCAATACGTAAGTAAGATTTTTTTCAACTTGTAAACTTGTAAACGACAGTAAAATTTAAAGAATTGCGATTGAATCGCCTTCCCATCAGCAGACATCTTGATGCAGACAGGAGATGAAATAATTGTTGTCTTCATTTGAACATTTCAAAAACATCAAAAAGTCTAAAAAAAATATACGAATGAGTATACAGGTGGTTATTTATGTAACTAGGAAGAAAAATGGTATTTTACAAAATGAAAATGAAAAATTTTCGGGCAAGACAAAACAAGAACTGTAAAAAAACATATTCGAGATATTATTGTTGAAGACAAACACCTTCAATTGACCTGTTTTTGGCTTTTGCTCACAAAGAACAGCTCCTTTCCTTGAAATGACCGTTATATATTTGACAGCATTTAATTTAGAACTGACAAAATGCATTCTATATCTAAATTGAAAGTCAATACTACGGTTTTGTACAAAGAATAGGTCGTGTTACGTTTATCCAATTTTGATGGTATGCAAAATTATATAGTATTTTGTTTTAAGCATGGGTGTTGACATGCACAAGGGTACAAACTTTTAAACAGCTCCGGCAAAAAATTTGATGGTCACATTGTATGAAGTTCTGGCGCAAAACTGATGAATAAAGACTTACATGAGAATAAATAAGTAAAAAGAAAATATGCGGAGGGGCAAATAAAAATGCAAAATACTATTAAAAGGGACTGAGACATTTTTAAAAAATATTGAATATAATTCATAAGTTTAAAATTGTAAAAAACTGATAGAAGAGTCAAGTAAGATATCATCCTGACACGTTTACATTTTAAATGAGTGTGAGAAAACAACACAAACATGAGATAACACATTTATTTCACTTACCTAATATACTTGCGTAGTAATTTTAGTAGCAGAAAAATCGCCTCAAAAAGTTCATAGCCGAAAAATAGTGACCAAAATTCGCATCTAGTGATGATGTTTCAAATATACTTACTCTAATTTTGAACAATGTTTCTACTATTTACAACTTGCAAATTATTTTGAAGAATTTCAAATGATATGTATGTGTTTAGTGTTGGTAGGGATCAGAGAAATTAATAATTATTCATCTCTATTGACACTATTCAGTTTCAAGTCGTTGTTAAAACTCGTTATTATGGTCATTATTATTATGAATTACTCAATCCCCTCAAAATTTCAACAATTCTGTCATGCCCTTTCTTTACAGCAATAGAGAGTGGTGAACGGCCAGAATTTGTCACTATATTAATTTCGACACCTGATGCAACTAAAAGTTCAACAATATTTTCGTGTCCTACTTTACACGCTATATAAAGAGGGGTGGCACCTGTATTTCTAGGCTGGTTTATGTTTGCGCCTAGGCTAAGCAGACGTTCTACAACCTTGATATGCCCAAACTTACAAGCTACAAAAAGAGGCGTAACACCCTTCGTACTACCATGATTAATTTCGGCACCCGATGCAATTAAAGGCTCTATCATTTCTTCGTGTCCGAATTCACAAACTGCATGAAGAGGTGTGGCACCAGTATCTCTAGGCAGGTTTGGGTTTGCGCCTAGAGCAAGTAGACGTTCCACAATCTTAACACTTTCAAACTGAGAAGCCATAAACAAGGGCGTAACACCGTTCACTTTTTGGCGATTAATTTCGGCACCCGATGCAACTAAAAGTTCTATAATCTCTTTGTGTCCGCATTGGCAAGCTACGTGAAGAGGTATTGCGCCTAAATTTGTCGGTTGATTTGGATCTGCGCCTAGCGCAAGGAGAAGTTCTACAATTTTGATTTGTCCAAATTGCGAAGCTACAAATAGAGGCGTAACACCATCAGTTGTACCACCATTAATTTCGGCACCTGATGTTACTAAATCTTCCACAATCGCTTCGTGTCCGAATTCACAAGCTACGTGAAGAGGTGTTGCACCGGTATCTCTAGCCTGGTTTACGTTTGCGCCTAATGCAAGCAGACGTTCTGTGATTTTGCTTTGTCCAAACTCAGAAGCTATAAAAAGGGGGGTAATACCGTCCGTTCTGCCACGATTAATTTCAGCACCTGATGTTACTAAACGTTCCATATTCTCCAATCGTCCGAATTCACAAGCTACGTGAAGTGGTGTTGCGCTAGCATTTTTAGGCTGATTTGGGTCTGCGCCAAGGGCAAGTAAACAATCTAGAACCTTGACTGGTGCATATTGAGAAGCTACAAAAAGAGGTGCAACACCGTCCGTCCTGCCCCGATTAATTTCTGCACCCGATGCAACTAAAAGTTCGATAATCTCTACGTGTCCGAATTCGCACGCTACGTGAAGAGGTGTTGCGCCAGTGTCCCTAGGGTGGTTTGGATCTGCGTTTAACGCAAGTAAACGTTCCACAATTTTTGTATTTCCAAACTGCGAAGCAGTAAAAAGAGGCGTAGTACCGTCCACTTTCTCGTGCTCAATTTCAGCACCTGACTCAATTAGAAGTCCTGTAATTTCGTCGTGTCCGAATTCACATGCTACGTGAAGAGGTATTGCACCATTATCTCTAGGCTGATTTGGATTTGCGCCTAGCCCAAGCAGATATTCTACAACATTGCTATGTCCAAACTGTGAAGCTACAAAAAGAGGACAAACACCATCTCGTTTCTCGTGATGAAGTTCGGAACCCGCTGCAACTAAAAGTTCTGTAACTTCTTTGCGTCCGAATTCGCATGCTACGTGAAGAGGTAAGGCGCCATTGTGTCTAGGCTGATTTGGATTTGCGCCTAGCGCAAGTAGACGTTTTACAACATCCACATGTCCAAATTCGGAAGCAACAAAAAGAGGGGTAACACCATCTGTTCTAGCGCGATTAATTTCGGCACCCGCTGCAGCTAAAAAATCTACAATTTTGTAGTAACCTTGTTCACAAGCAAAGTAAAAAGGAGTAGCTCCGTCAGTGTCAGGAAAATTTATATTGGCACCCTGGTTCACTAAAAATCTAACAACTTTCTCAAATTGTCTAGCAGCTGCTAGGTGAAGGAGAGTCTCGTCCACGAAATTTCTGGTATCTAAAACCTTTTTATTTAGTTTTAATAGATTTGCATTTTCTCTATCACTACCACTTGATAATTCTAAATTTAGATGATCTATCACATCATCATATCCACATATAGCTGTATAATACAATATGTTAATTATATGCTCGACAGAAAGATCCAATAAACTTTGGTTTAATTGTTTTAAAATCTTTAATTCTATAAGAAGGCACTTACTTTTTTCCGCATACAACAACGGTGTCAATTTGAATAGTGTATCACATTGAGATAACTCACAGGCATTTAATAAATAATTTAAGATATTTAAATCTTCCGTCCTTTCGGCCACAATATTAGGACAATCAAAATCATCTACGATGTAAGCATCAGCAGTTGTTGCAACATCCAATCGAGGATGTCTCTGTCCCCAAGAAGAAGCTACATGTAAGACACTCCGATCACCAGCATCTGTAATTGTGCGAATTTGATGTTCATACTTCTCCAATAAATTTATGTTCTTGTACAATACTGCCACATGAGCTGGTGATTCTCTAGCCAACAGCAAATCGAAAAAAAAACGTACATTTACATATCTTGGTTCAAAAATCACATCTACAAAAATAGATGAAAGTCGCTGATTTTGGGAGAAATAAAGCGCTACGAAATATTCCGCAAAAGAGTTATGAATAAAATGTGCCGGCTTAGATATTATTTTTGTTAATAAACCAACCGAAATATATTCTTCTTTAGAGTCTTCGAAATTATTTTCATGTTCGATATTCAGTCTCTTTAAGAATTCTGCAGAAAATAATGTTCTTAGAGCTAAGTTTTGATGGTATTTGATAATTGCTGCTTCGAGTATTTTCACTGCTGATTCATATAAGGAATTTTTAAAATCACCACCCACGGTTTTCTCAAAGTAGACCTTCATCTTTTCTTCCACAAAATAGTGGTATAAATCAGTCAAAACAAATATATTACAAAGAAGTTTGAAATATTTGTTTATATCTTTTCGAAGCAAATTTGTGAGCATAAAGATCTGTAAAGGTATACCCAAGATTTCTGTATGTTCAACTAGTGCAAATGAGGACCGAACTGTATTTATAATTTGGTCAATCTCTTCGGTTGTGTCAACGTTTTCAAGACGCTTTTTAATATAAGTAATTTGCTCTTGTTCACTGAATTGACATAAATTTAAAGAAAGCACATTAAATTTATTCTCTAATAAATGTTTCAGTTGAAATCGACTTGTTATCCACTGGACGTGGTTTGATTTGGAAAGCTCAACAATCAAACTTGTAATCGTTTCAACAGATTCAGCGGGAATTTCGTCCAGGGCGTCCCAAACGTAATACACTTGGTTCTGTTTAATAAATACTTGCAAAAAATGTTTCGCTCCTTCATTCATGCATCTGTATTTCTCATTTAAAAGAAAATTTTGCAAAGTCTCTAAGTTGGCAGATTGATTATTACTAGTAAGATATTTGGAAAAAAGACACATATCTGTGGGGTTCATCATGATGGTCCAAATTTCTGGAGGAGAAGTGTTTTTTAAACTTTTCATTAATTCAGACTTTCCCATTCCGGGATTACTAACTATCAAATTTATATTATTCCCAAGTTTTGTCATTAACATCTCTTGTTCTGTTAAAAGGAAAGCAGTTATTTTATATTCTTCCAAACTGCTTACATTACCCTTACTCTGAATCCATTCAAAATTGTTGCCATCTATAAATCTCAAGTGATGGTAGTTTTTCAAGTCTTTATTTTTGTCGCAAATCGCTTCAAATTGCATTTTTTGGCACGTGTTTGTAGTAATGAAAACGCTGATTCTGGAAGTACCACTTACTGCTGTTTCACTCCGTCGAGTGCTTGTGTTGCTTTGATTTAGATAGTCTTCGAGATTATGAATACTGCAGTTCTTTAATTTTCGCTTCAATGAATCTATTTCTTGCACGCAATCTACGACAATTAAAGTGTTTTCATCATTCTTTTCAAAATACTTGAAAGTTATAACATTTCTCCATAAATACCTCTCGACGTATGGCTTTGGAAGATTTTCTTGCAGCCCTCCTACAGCATATGGTTCGTTCAACATTTCCACCAAATAGCTTGTTCTTATAGCATCAATAAAATCGGTACTAAATGCCTTTTTTAAGCTGACTTCTTCTTTTCCTTGAATAGATAAATTGAACGTTTCGAGAACACTGTCTCTGCATGATGTTTTTAAGTCTGATAAATTTCGAAAAACTGAACACTCGTAATTAGTAAATTTTTCATTAACATCGTCTCCAAGAACAATAAACTTAGCGTCTGGACACAACGCAATTACTTTATGAATGATTGCATCCTCCGTTACAATTATTGGACATGTATCGTTCAACCACAGCAATGTGCTTAATAACTTTAAATCTACATCGTCAATACTTTTAATATAAAACGGGCTTAAGTGATACATTTCTCGCGTTTTATTTAATTCTTTGGTATCTTTAACCCGAGTCACAGCATCCCCCCATAAGTCTTTAATTTTATGATAACTATTATTTTCAAACACCGTAACCGTGAAAGCAGAAATTGCCTTTCGTAAAATTTTCATATTCTTACTTACACTACTACCAAAAGACAACGGTTTAATTCGGGAAGACAAAAGCGTAAGGGCAATGGCACGTCGCATCCAATTTTTACACAGTTTATGTTTCTCGCCTTGCTGTTGACTCCACCTGGATATCATTTTCAAAAATGCATCACATTCGGTTTGATTTGCGAGAAATAATTTTTTAAACTTCTCCACTATTTTTGTTTCAAGAGTTTTAAGATTATCTTGATTAACAAACAAATAAAATTTCTCAAAAAAATGTTTGTACATTACAATTTCTGGGGAGTAATCGTATGTACAGTCATTTTCAACAACATGAAACTTATAACAATGATTTAATTCATCAGATATCTGAAGAATTTTATCTTTTGGTTGAAATGGAGACAACCCAATTTGAAAATCTTCACCGTCAATCCGAAATCGTGTATCTCCCTCAACGCTAAACTTAAGATTAGTATATAAAATAAAACTGTCTACGTGGCTGTTTATACTTTGAACAGAAGTGCAATATTTTTTTAAGCTAAAATCTCCTTTTCCTTGACTAAGTTGTTTAATAGATAATGTACCTCGATCGTTATGTTTAAGTTGTAAAGCAGAGACATTGCTACTCTTTGTTGATGTAATTTTTATAACAATATCATCAAAATCACCAAAATTGTCATCATTAGAGGATAAATAAAAATCTTCGATTTGGTTATCAAGGGACCAATTGATTCCGATGTTGGCGATGTTTAAATTTTCATAATCAATGCCTTTGTTGGTTGTACCTGATCTTTTTTTAAATGTCTGAAAAAATAAGAGGTGCCAATAATTTGAAGCAATTAAAGTTGAAAATAACAGAAGAATTTAGTGACATAAACAATAATGCAAGGATCTTGAGGCATGTGATCATTGATGGGGTTAAAAGAAAAGCTCTTTATGCTTACCACAAAGTGGGCAACATTTCCAACATTTACTATACTTTAAATTTATTTATTTAATAAAATTAATTAATCTTGTACAAATTTTCCTTGTAACTTTATATTAATTTTATTAAAAATCTTAATAAAAATTGTCCTTTTCAAGGACGACTCGATTAGAAATTATATTCGTCCACTATATTACACACAAACAAGATTATTACAATGTGTTATAAGTGTATCAATTGTTTCTTTATAATAACAAATACTCAATTAAGGCGGCTTAAAACTTATAGTGCCTAACGAGTTTATAAAAAGAATTCAAGAAACATAAACTTACGGCTAACTTTACGCACCGATGTAACATGATAAAGGCTATAATAATAGTTAGCACGGTCTTTTTCACTGTTTCTTAAAAAAGCTAACTTAACTTCGATAACACTGAAGCAGTGAGTATAGTCACTGACTGAAGTTAGTTTTGGATTTGAATTTGACTTGTGACCTTGAAATATTTTTTTCATTAGTATATGTGTTTCAAGAATGAAATTTTTATTAGCTACCTTCTTCAACGTAAAATTAGGAACACACAAATATAAATCTAACTTCAGCGACATTAACTTAGAAATTAGATGTTACGAACTATTCACTTACCTCCATGGTTCGGATAGCACTCAATAAAACTTAAAGCAACGAAATAGTATTAAAGGGGCCATCGATGATGCATTTTTTAGGTAATGAAAAACGAAATAACTCAGCATGTTACTGTTAGCGACGTATTATCAACATCGCAAGACCGCAACTCGTACAATGTGGGCTGTGCCGCTGTGCGTCAGAGATTACGAGGAAGTGAGACAGTGGACAGTACGCACAACAGCACATCAGTAGACTGCGCGTGGAGAGTCGCAGAAATCCGTCCTATGTCTACTTTCCCTTGTTTTAACAAATTTGAATAACACTATCACTACATAGTATAAAACAAATTCGCTTTCCGCTGTCTGTCCTTATGTATGCTTAGATCTTTAAAGCTACGCAACGGATTTTGATGCGGTTTTTTTTAATAGATAGAGTGATTCAAGAGGAAAGTTTGTATGTATAATAACATCAATTATATAGTAGAGAAATACTGTTAATTTTGAGGTTTCTAATGTGATGTCGTAAATAATTACATTTTTTCCGCTTACATTGCAAACGCAGGCCGAATCCTACGAGATTTATCAAAATAATGTACTTACTAAGTATTGTACACCTTGAAAAGGTCTACAGAAAAGTCCCCGATGGTATATGTCTATCTCTTATGTATAATCCACAATAACAACTTTTTGTCATTTACTCCGAATTTAATGCGTGCGAAGCCGCGGGCAAAAGCTAGTAGGTAATAAGTGGAAAACTTATTTATTAAAAGTATCCAATATGACATTCATGCAGAGTCGCCTTTGGTTATTTACAATTGGTTATTTTCATTTAAATCAACTGTTAGTGAAGTTAATTCGAGAATGGAACAGCACATCACTGGAAGCCTCAATAATTGTGGATCAAAATGTTTACAACGCAGTCGTAGTCACAAAAAAAACAGTACAGTTCTTGAGTTTTGCCCACGCCGATTTTAATTACCGATCATCGTAACAATAGCCATTACAATACGAGAAATAAAATTCGCAAATTTTAATAATATCTGCAGTGCCTTGAAGAAAGACAAACTTAAACGTCAACGAAATGAATCATTTTAAAATGTCCCTCCTTCTCATAAAACTTATAATAATATTAATAATAATACTAATAATAATAATAATAATTAAGTGTTCACTGTATCGTGTATTATAATTATGAATATGATTATGACATAAGTAATCACTCAAATTAACTGGCAATGTCATGATTTGCATTTTAGTGAAGATGTCTTTACAGTCAGCCCTGTAAGGTAAATTAGCCATTATTCTTACTGTTCTCAGTTGCAATTTAAAAATTCTGTGAAAAATGCTAGAGTGTCCCCACATTAATAAGCCAGGTTATGTGGGGCTGGAAGGGTGCAAAATATGCTGTATACAGTGTTTCCAGCGGAACCTTGTCCCTAAGATTTCTTAAGAGAAATGTAATTTTACATAGTTGGTTTGCCAGTACATCACCTTGAGCACCCATTGCAAAGCATTGTCAATCGTTATACCTAAAAATTTGTTAGAGGTTACAAAGTCATCGGGAATGTGTATTCTTTTCTTTAGGGAGAATAACATTCTTACAGTTTTTGATGTATTTACTGTTAATCTGTTAGCGACGAACCAACTTTCGGTCTTTGATTGTGCCGTAACCTGGTCTGTGAGTTCCTGTAAAAGATCCCTTCCGCTGCAAATCAAAGTCGTGTCATCTGCATATAGAATGCTCCTTCGTCGCTCGTGACTAAACTTTTTCTCGCGTGATTTATACGCTACATAACACACTTGTATAATAAAACACCATTAATTACACAGTAGAACAGTGTTTTTGTTACATATATTTTCTAAACATGGTCGGAATTTCGGAAAGATAATTTTGTGCTGAACAACTCTTAAAAGAGATAATATACCCATGTCGTGAAAAAAAAATTATTCAAATTTTTATTGTCGTCCGGTGGACAATTAAAAAAATGAAGTGAATTCGAATTTTACATATAATTAACAAATTGTTCCACAGATTTCTGTCGACAGATATTTAATTACGTCTACGATTAGATAACCTGACTAGAATATGTAGAAAAGCCTCGGGTATTCGGAAAGAATGGATACTTCGATCTTTCTCTTGAATCTTTCTTCGACTTTCTTGATTTCTCGATGAAAAGATTATCAGCAAAGAAATTCACTGATCACTAAGCTAACTGATGCCCAAGTAAATTTTTCCGTATCATTCAAATAGGATCCTTCATTCGAACTTCAGGCCCAATGAAAATTCCTAAATATAGAAAACGTACATAATATGAAAACTGAAATTCACTGTAATATTTTAGTTTTTACCTTGGTTTATGTTAGCAGCAGAAAGCTTAGGAAATATTGTTGTCAGATGTTGAAATGTTTTTTCTCTTGTATTTCACTTGCATAGGAAGCACATATGCTTGGTATATCCAGATTGGAAGCCAGTTACTAAAGCTACAATTTTTAAATCGTCTATCAAATTGCACTCAAACTTTTTGTCGTTAATACAGTTTAACAAGTGTTGAATACTCTCATATGTTTCGGCACTTTTTATGGAGTATGCAGTCGGCAGTACTAGATATTTATTCCCATTATGCAGTAGTACACCTTTAACTGGAACTACCTATGAACAATCTCCAAAAAAAAATTATTTTGACGACGTAGGCATAATGTCTTATTAGATAGTTATTCAACATAAAATAACCTTTCAGAATGCTTGTAACAAAAAGTGTTTCTAAAATTTCTATTAATTAAAAAATATAATATCGGTTTGCAAAACTCCCGCACTGTCAGTGTCAGATTTGGAAAACATTACCAGAGTATACTGAGTGGTGAGATGTGAAAAACCTGTACAATATGTTGCAAAATTGCAATCTAGTGACAAATTAGTAACTAAAAATGACTTGTCAAATAAAAATGTCAAAAGCACCTTAACTGAAGATTTTTATCAATTCAAGTAAAGAAAGAGTATGACACACGAACGACAACGAAAGCTTTTTTTGAATAATATATATTTTTGACCTTACTGTCCATTTCTACGCTTTTGGTGCTACAATTTGTTTGAATTACTGACACGTCCTTTAAACACAATGAACACTTCAGCAAATCAAAAAGTTAAAATAGTTAATAAACATTTGATTTTTCATTCATTAATTTTGAAAATTTGAAATTCAAGGCGGTAATCATATAAACTTAAAAATCTTTTAGGGGATTATTTCTCATACCAACAGAATGTCATTCTGACAGTGCGGGAGTTTTGCGAACGGATATTATATCTATAGCTTCCAGTTATTGTCTTTGCCATTTCTATTGAAACACCACATGTTGATTTTACTTAAAATTTAGCAATTGGTAACAGCTTTCGGTTGATTGCCAACGGCTTTTAATTCGAAAATTATCTGAATATGAACGTTGCCAAATTTACGATTAACAGATGGTGTTTCAATAGAAATGGCAAAGACATTAGTTTTATTTTATAAACTTTGACAGACTTAAAGGGGATGAATACTTATTATATTAACAATATTTTTGGAAAGTAACGAAAACACGTTAGGACGCGACGGACACTTAAAAACCCAATCAGGCGGTTGATGTATGTATAAGTGGTTGCATATACGTGAAGTTAAATCTGTGGCAAAGGTAATCAACATTGCTAACTCAAAAATTTAATCATTATCATTAAGAGTCAGCCGGTACGTAAAAATATATTAAAAACTGCTATGTACACAATTTGTAAGAATATTACAGTATTAAACTATGGTCTTATATTATCCAGTATCCACGACATGGACTCCTTAACGTTCGTATAAATCCCAGGCCAGTCTTCCAGGCCACACTGCTTCGGACCATACGACACTATATACCATCTTGAACGTACCGCTGCGACCCCCCTGTCGCAGCAATATATTGCAAAGGACCTCCACTGTCTCCAGAACAAGAATCCTTCCCTTCGTGCCCACCAGCACAAATCTGTTTCTTCGGATGTAGAGTCTGTTTCCCGTACGCCCTTCGACATGCACTTAGTCGAACCACTGGAACCGAAACTTTCTTCAAAATCATACTTTTATGACCTAAAAAGTTCTTAGTTTTATTTATATTCTACAAACTGATTTAAGTACAAACCTGATTCGGTGGTACCCCACCCGGTTACCGTCAAGTATTTTCCGACTAAGTTTGCTTTGAGTAGGTCACCGGTTGGTAAACAGATAGGTTTTACATTAGCTAGAACAAAAAAATGAAGGTTTTTTTTTTAATTTTGAGTTGAAAATTACCATTTTCGGTGTTTGCTGGAGCTAACAGTCGAACTAAAGCTATGTCGTTGATGTAAGTGGAAGGGTTATAATTTTTATGAATTATTATTTTGTCTATTATTATGTCTTGAACTGGAGGTTCATAGCTTTGAGGGTCGTAACACTCATGCTCTAGCGATATGTCGTACTCCCCCAGACGAATACCCAGCCTAAAGCACCAAGCATTATTTTAGTACTATTTGGTACTCACAACGACTTACACGGATTTATCATCTACACAATGGGCCGCCGTTAAACCATAATTTCTGGTGATGAGGCTCCCCCCGCACTTAAATTCGTTCTCGTCTTCTACAATAATCAACACAGTAGTTGTACTTTCTCAAGATTTGTAAAAGTACCGACCTGTTTTGTAGGCAGTGGCGGCTCGTCAGATGAGGCAAGTGAGGCGGCGCCTCACAGCATATATCTTAAGAACAGATTGACTTAATTTGTAATTAAAAAAGAACTTTCAATGCATTTTTAGTTACAAAGATATGTTGAAATGGCAAATCTGTAATGATTTTTGATTTTTAACGCTTTCTGCTGACATTTTCGGTTGAATACTGTACGATTTATGCCCCTAGTTCTTTAACTGAAGCGGTCAGAGCGTCGGTTCACTTGAACCAACGAAGCCCAATCACAGACACGGATTTCCATGGCTCAGCTCCTATACTCCTATACATGCGTTCGCTCGGAACTGAGGCGATATCTTCGGTGCTTCTCGGCCATTTTCGACGTACTCATTAAACCATTTTCCCACTTATTTTACCGAACGGAAGGGTTGCGGGGTGTGTGGGTAATTAGCATGAACGTGAGTAAAAGCCCACAAGTCTTTTAAATCAACTTGGTACGAAACATATAAATGGCTCTGCCGTAATATTCGTACGACGTCTCGGGGTATAACGATTTAAATATTTTCATCCGAAGTGCAAAGTTACATGAAAGTTCCAAACTACACATTAAAAATTTCATGGGCCTAAAACCTTTAGAAAGGAACACAACAACTATTCCCGAATCCCTCCAAGAAAGTGCTAGTTTAAACAAAATTTTGACTTATAAAAACATTGTTGATTAAATGTGTTATGGGTGTTATTATTAATATTATTATTATTATTAGGACCTACCACTGACCCGGAAATGACCGGTATTCGGGCAAGACTTCTATCATTACTAACTAGTAAAACCAAGTAATATGCATTAATCACATTAATTTGATTATTAATATTATTATTAATGTTATTATTGTCAAACTTCTATCATCGCCTCACCACATCAGACAGTCACGAGCCGCCACTGTTTGTAGGTGATTAAAGCCATCCGGGGAAACTCTCGAGGGGTAGCTGTGTCCCCGTTTGTAATTCTGCCCCCATGAAGGATGAACCCACACGTTGTCAACGGTAGCAAATGGAAATTCCGGTGGCTGCTGAGATTGCGGTTGTCTTCAGGACAACACACTTTGTAAGTTTGGTCCAGTTGTCCACATATGTTTGTTTTAACCTGGTGTAACACAGGCCGTGGTACTGGTTTTAAGTTTGCGTGTCCTATTAAGTTCATAAAGTAGGGGCAGTCGGTTATTAAGGTACATGTTCCTGTTCTGTGGGGCGGGCCACATGTCGGGTCTAAAAAATATTCATATTTTGATCTCTCCTATCAATATTCACTATAAAAGTACTACCTATTAGTATAGATCGTCCGATGAAAATCAAACACAAAAACGAAATCACAAATAGTAAAAACATCACAAGAAAGAGTTTCGTGTATAATTTATATTAGTCTTCAGAAAAACTTTCGATAAAGGGTTTTTGGAGAACTGGTACTGTTGTCGTGTTCCCGTCGTATGACCCCCACTGAGCGGGGATGGTCGTAAGAATTTTAGCTGATGTATGATTTTAAAGTACACTTTAAAGACATCAATAAACCACTTAGGACTATGGTAATAACGATTTTCAGACCATTAGGTCCACTATTAGGAAGAAAGGAGTTTCTAATGAAGCGGTGATAACCGGTATTAGGTCTTCCTGGAAAGACATTAGTTGGATTTGTTTGTCAGTACTATAAATGCTACCCTCACTTTGGATGTAGTTTGTAGTACATTCTTGCGTTCTGAAAGTCGTGTCATCATGATTTATCACAGAATTTTAGTTTTTATCCTCTGCATTTCATTATTTATAAATCAGTCACAAAGCAAAAATTGTGATAACCGTGCTGGTGATGAAGACGATACGTTGTAAGATTTCTTTTACTGGTATTTTATCAGATACTAATACTTTTTTTTATTTTAGAAAGAAGAGTGAATTCAGCAAGGACTCACATACAGTTGCTACTATTAGTGCTACAATAATCAAAGGTACGTACTTATTTCTATCTCGCAATCTTTATCAGTGAACACACAAGTTTTTAGAACAACTGGAGAAGCAACCGTGTGATGTTGGGTTTCACTGTATCCCTGTCGTGCATTGTGGACCCCTGATGTATTTAGTGAATCTCCAAAGACCGGTACCAAAGGAGCTGCTGAGATTTTTGAGATCACAAATTTGTGCAACAAACACGAAGTTTCCCAAAGTTTGTTGTAAAATGACCACACCATCTAGTTTAAAGGAGTTCTTTACAGTTACAACAGCCATGGAGAGATTATCAACAACAACAATGTCTCTAGAAGAAAAATCTGTCAGATTGAACAATTTTTTTAACCGATTTTATGACTTGATAATCTAACGTTTGTCTGTGTGAATTAAGTGTTTATAAATAACGAATTTTAATAAATAAAAGTATATTTCTGTGGTTAATTCAAAGCAGATATTTACTTATTTTCTAAATAAAATGATTTATTCAAACATATGGGATACTAAAGCCTGTGCTAAAGCCACAAATTACGGATAGACTGGACTCAAACATATAAGGCGTTTATGACTTCACACCAATTTGACTCCCATTATAATTCAATAGGCCGTCACAACCGGATGTCTTAAACCCTCTCACCGATACCTACCTGCAAAGACCTTTTCTGGTAAAAGCACAGGGCAAAACTGACTTTTGCATTTACCGACAACTGCGCCTTTCGATTTTTTATTTTAAGTAAAAACAAAGTAACTTTGTACTCAATCATTTTTTATTACGGCAAATTAGTTAGAATTTTGACATACACAACTACTACTGCTTATTTATTGATCGAAATAGTCACTGTCATCATCACTCGACTCTTCTAAATTAACAATTAACGGTTTTATCAACCGTGCCCTGTACTAGTCTTTTCCTGAATTTATTCTTCAAGAAGGCACTGTGTTTTGTAGCTTCTGCTACAAACCGCATTTCTATTTACAAATATATGTTTTCGGATCATCGGCAAAATTTTTTGCTACAATATTTCGAAAAGTATTTAAAAATAAATTGCTACAAAAATACTAATTAAATGGCCTATCATTATTAATTTTTATTTATTTGTCACTATTTAGTGTAAGACAACAATTTTTAAAAATTTTATCTATCTATGTATTTTTTATTAAAAAAATTAAGCTTGATAAACCTGTTTTTATAATTGGTAAATAAATTTAGTTGTGTTATTACACTTCTTTTCAATTTTTGGAGGATATGCAACTGCATATCTCTGTATATATTAATAAAGTTACAGCATATTTGCATAAATTTCATGCATATTACATGATCATATTTCTCAAAATTTTGCTGCATACTTTTCGCTCTCTAGTCATGTATTATTTTTAATATAACAGCAATATGAATGTACCCTCTGGATTTGAAACAAAGGACGGTGACATCGTCAAAATTATTTGATTTATCAAAAAACTTTGTGGACCAGTTTTCTACGATTGCGATCGTATTTATTAAAGATTTTATGTTTTTTGCTTTCATTATCTTAATCATATTTTCAAATGTGCAGAATAATGATTAAATAATTAAGGTACGGAAGAAACGTTAAAAACAAAATTACTCTTAGTCCGGTCCTTCGCGTCTCGGCTGTCCCAGGCACGTGGCATGGTTTACATTTACTAAGCTTTATGAAGGGTCGGCTGTAAAGTGCTTTAAACGCCAAAGCCATAAACGCCTTATAGGTTTGAGGAAACTATACCTGCTAATAAAATTTTACAAACCATAAATTATACTGGTACGAATGTCTGAATGGGACACCACGAAAGGCTCGTGGTCTTGCTGATTTGCCTATGACCAAGAATTTTTCTTTGTCTCCGGACATACTGGCGCAATGCAAAAGAGTCGCTGTTTCTTTAGAATGCTTCCCTCCTACACATTTTTCATACTTCAAAATTAGGGTTTTAGCCGGCAAAGCACGGAAAAATAATCCGGTTTCGTCGGTATTGTATGTCTTCTGGTTTATAGCATAATAATAAAGACGGAAGATTTTCATTAAATTGGTTGCCATCATCTGGATTTAAACTTTCCGCCTCCCCAGAAATACTCTTGAAACTTATGTCGTGCTTTTTAGCTTTTGCTTTTACAAAAGACCTTGATAGAGGTATCGATTTGCTTCAGGCTTGTTGGAGAACAGATGTCTTGTTGATTAATGTGTGCATACACTGATTATTCTTTTAGTTCTAGTTACTAAGTAATGTTATGTTAAATTGGTATTAATTAAACATGTTAACAGAAGGTAAGACACAACGGTTTTACTTAAAATAGTTTTGTTTCTCTAATCCTACAAATTTTCTGCTTAAAAACTTCACGGCTTTCACAAACCAGTTGTGACACATTTGATCAATTTTTAAACCTTCAACTTTCAAGAAACTCCTTTTTTGATCTACATTAATTCTTGGACGTTCTTTAACACTTCCAGTTTCATTTAAATCTTCGTAGCGTTTTTGAAGCCGTCGACTTAGAAATGGGTTCTCGCTCAGGGTGAATTTGATTGAAAAGTGTTACTACTTGAACAAAACTTTGTCTTTTGTCATCATAACCGATCGTGCCACTTAAAAAAAATCAAATTGACCTTGCATGTCCAAAACAAATGAAGCAAAAGTGGTACGTGGCATTTGACAGCGTAGCTTCGAATGCTTTCATTCCGTCTTGTGTTCGTTGTCTTTACAAAGTCGATTTACTGTGTTCACAACATTCAATTTTCCCTAATTACTATTTTTACAAATTTAAAGCAGAGCCCCTGGATCGTTGCTTATCATCTGTGTGACTGGTTCAGGAGGTACAAACAATCATAAAATACATTAACCAAAAAAATTATTATTTATAATTAGACATAATGACACAGTACAATAGCAGGTCATACATATATTGAGCTTGAACATACCTTACAACTAATTAGAAAGTATATAATTTATTATTTATTATATAGGTAATCGAATAACATAAACATAACACTCGTAGGAATGATTTAAATATACTCAAGTGTAACATGGGTTTCTAGAATGTCAACTGGTGGTTAAATTAATCCCTGCCCATTTTTTTCCTCGGACATTATAAAAGTATATTTTTTGTAAGTAGTTCTAGTTTCTTTTTTCATTTCAGAAAAATTGACTAAGAAAGAATAAAAACAAATGATTTTCTAATTTCAAAATTGTAACTAGGTGACTATAAAACAGTTTTGCCTTTTTACATCAACGTTCGAAAAAAAAATATAATGGATTACTTCGACTAAAACTAACATTGGCGTAGAAAAAGTTCTTTGTACAACATATCCTTTCTGTACTAGTAGTACCTAGTATCACATAATCGTTTAACTTAATTTATCTTAAATTATAGTAATAAATAATAAATTTCAATTCCTAAGTATATAAAATGCACCAAGCAAAAAGAATCCAGTTAAAATGTATTTAAAGAAAATAAAACATACAGGATCAGGATCGATATATCAAAGAATGCTAATGTTATGACATTTTCCCTTAAAGATTCAAGCCAGTCCAGTTAAAGATGATTTAATCATTCACTTCCAGTATCAAGAAACAAAACATTAACCTTGTTTCTCAAATTCTCAATAAGTTAACTCGTTGCAAAAATGAAGGCTAAAGCAGTTGATTTTCGTTTGCTCTACAAATCCTTTTGTATAACGTACATACTGTCTACTTGTAAATATTCCATCGATGGTAAAGTAACATTCTAAATTGAGATATCCCAGTTTTAAGTACTTACCATCACTGCATAATTTTATCATGAAACATTTTAATACTGGTTTCTTTGGATGGTACTTTTTTTAGCACAAAGTTCTTTATACAGCAAATTTCAAAAGTCAATACGTAAGTAACATTTTTTTCAACTTGTAAACTTGTAAACGACCTTCCTGTGAGCAGACATCTTGATGCAGACATGAGATGAAATAATTGTTGTCTTCATTTCAACGTGTAAAACATCAAAAACTCTAAAAAAATTATATGAATGAGTATACATTTGGTTTTTATGAAACTAGTAAGAAAAATGGTATTTTATAAAATGAAAATGAAAAATTTTCGGGCAAGACAAAACAAGAACTGTAAAAAAACATATTCGAGATATTATTGTTGAAGAAAAACACCTCCAACTGACCTTTTTTTGGGTTTTGGCTCACAAAGAACAGCTCCAGTTTCATTGAAATGACCGCTATTCATTTGACAGCGTTTAATTTAGAACTCACAGAATGCATTCTATATCTAAATTTAAAGTCAATACTACGGTTTTGTACAAAGAATAGTTCATGTTACGTTTGTCCAATTTTGACAGAATGCAAAATTATATAGTATTTTGTTTTAAGCATGGGTTTTGACATGAACTGTACCGTTGTTTTTTGTTTTGTAAACAGTTGCGGCAGAAAATATATTGGCCACATTGTATGGAGTTCTGCCAAAAATGATGAATAAGGAGTTAGAATAGAAGAACTAAAATCAATTACATGAGAATCAATAAGTGAAAAGAAAATAGGTGGAGGAGCAAATAAAAGATGCAGATAACTTTTAAAAGAGACTGAGACATTGCTAAGAAACATTGAATGTAATTCACATTATGAAAAACTGATAGAGAGGTCAAGTAAGATATCATATTGTCAAGTTTATATTTTAACTGAATGCGAGAAAACAACACAAACATAAGATAATATATTTATATCACTTACCTAATATATTTGCTTAGTAATTTTAGTAGCAGAAAAATCGCCCCAAGAAGTTCGTAGCCGAAAAATAGTGACCAAAATTGGCATCTAGTGATGATGTTTTAAATATATCTACTCTGATTTTGAACAATGTTTCTACTATTTACAACTTGCAAATTATTTTGAAGAATTTCAAATGATATGTATGTTTAGTGTAAGTATGGATCAGAAAAATTAATAATTGTCCATCTCTATTGACAATATTCAGTTTCAAGTCGTTAAAACTCGTTATTATGGGCATTATATATTACTAAGAAGAATAAATAAAATTTATTAAGTAAAAAATCAAACGTTAAATTTATTAAGTCAATAATAAAAACTAAGATTTATTTTTGATCAACAGATGCATTACAATTCGTTATAGCTGAATTACTCAATCCCCTCAAAATTTCAACAATTCTGTCATGCCCTTTCTTTACAGCAACAGAGAGTGGTGAACGGCCAGAATTTGTCACTATATTAATTTCGGCACCTGCTGCAACTAAAAGTTCAACAATATTTTCGTATCCTACTTTACAAGCGACATAAAGAGGGGTGGCGCCTGTATTTCTAGGCTGGTTTATGTTTGCGCCTAGGCTAAGCAGACGTTCAACAACCTTGATATGCCCAACTTTACAAGCTACAAAAAGAGGCGTAACACCCCTCATACTGCTATGATTAATTTCGGCACCCGATGCAACTAAAAGTTCTACAATCTCTACGTGTCCGAATTCGCAAGCTACGTGAAGAGGTGTTGCGCCAGTATCTCTAGGGTGGTTTGGATCTGCGTTTAACGCAAGTAAACGTTCCACAATTTTTGTATGTCCAAACTGCGAAGCAGTAAAAAGAGGCGTAATACCGTCCACTCTCTCGTGCTCAATTTCAGCACCTGATGCAATTAAAAGTTCTGTAATTTCGTAGTGCCCGAATTCGCATGCTACGTGAAGAGGTATTGCACCATCATCTCTAGGCTGGTTTGGATTGGCGCCGAGCCCAAGCAGACGTTCTACAACATCGCTGAGTCCAAATTGTGAAGCTATATAAAGAGCAGAAGCACCGTTTAATTTCTTGCGATTAATTTCGGAATCAGCTGCAACTAAAAATTCTGTAATTTCTTTCTGCCCGAATTCGCATACTACGTCAAGAGGTAAGGCGCAATTATCTCTAGGCGGATTTGGATCTGCGCCTAGCGCGATTAGACATTCTACAACATCCATTGAGCCAAATTCAGAAGCTACAAAAGGAGGGTTAACATCAATTGTTCTACCGGCACCCGCTCCAACTAAAAATTCTACAATTTTGTGGTAGCCTTCTTCACACGCTAAGTAAAGAGGCGTAGCTCCATCAGTGTCAGAACAATTTATATTGGCACCCTGGTTCACTAAAAATTTAACAACTTTCTCAAATTGTCTAGCTGATGCTAAGTGAAGGAGAGTCTTCTTCGCGATATTTCTGGCATCTAAAACCTTTTTATTTAGTTTTAATAGGTTTGCACTTTGTCCATCAGTAGCAGTTGATATTTCTAATTCTAGATGATCTATGACATCATCGTATCCACATATAGCTGTATAATATAATATATTAATTATATGCTTGACAGAAAGATCTAATAAATTTTGATTTAATTGTTTTAAGATTTTTAATTCAATGACAAGGCACTTACTTTTTTCGGCATACAATAACGGTGTCATTTTGAATAATGTATCACATTGAGATAACTCACACGCATTTAATAAATAATTTAAGATTTTTAAATCTTCCGCCTTTTCGGCCTTAACATTAGGACAACCCGAATCATTTATGATGTAAGCGTCGTCAGTTGTTATAACATCCAATCGAGGATGTCTCTGTCCCCAAGAAGAAGCTACATGTAAGACACTTCGATCACCAGCATCTGTAATTGTGCGAATTTGATGTTCATACTCCTCCAATAAATTTATGTTCTTGTACAAAACTGCCACATGAGCTGGTGATTCTCTGGCCAACAGCAAATCGAAAAAAAAACGTACATTTACATATCTTGGTTCAAAAATCACATCTACAAAAATAGATGAAAGCCGCTGATTTTGGGAGAAATAAAGCGCTACGAAATATTCGGCAAAAGAGTTATGAAAAAAATGTGCCCGCTTATATACTAATTTTGTTAACAAACCAACCGAAATGTATTCTTCTTTAGAATCTTCGAAATTATTTTCAACATCGATGGTCAGTCTCTTTAAGAATTTTGCAGAAAATAATGTTCTTAGAGCTAAGTTTTGATGGTATTTGATAATTGCTACTTCGAGTATTTTCACTGCTGATTCATATAAGGAATTTTTAAAATCACCACCGACGGTTTTCTCAAAGTAGACCTTCATCTTTTCTTCCACAAAATAGTGATATAAATCAGTCAAAACAAATATATTAGAAAGGAGTTGGAAATATTTATTTATATCTTGTTGAAGCAAATTTGTGAGCATAAAGATTTGTAAAGGTATACCCAAGATTTCTGTATGTTCAACTAGCGGAAATGAGGACCGAACTGTATTTATAATTTGGTCAATCTCTTCGGTTGTATCAACCTTTTCAAGACCCTTTTTAATGTAAGTAATTTGCTCTTGTTCACTGAATTGACATAAATTTAAAGAAAGCACATTGAACTTACTCTCTAACAAATGTTTCAGTTGAAATCGACTTGTTATCCACTGGACGTGGTTTGCTTTGGAAAGCTCAACAATCAAATTTGTAATCATTTCAACAGATTCAGCGGGAATTTCGTCCAGGGCATCCCAAAGGTAATACACTTGATTCTGTTTAATAAACACTTGCAAAAAATGTTTCGCTCCTTCATCCATGCATCTGTATTTTTCATATAAAAGAAAATTTTGCAAAGTCTCTAAGTTGGCAGATTGATTATTACTAGTAAGATATTTGGAAAAAAGACACATATCTGTGGGGTTCATCAAGATGATCCAAATTTCTGGAGGAGAAATGTTTTTTAAACTTTTCATTAATTCAGACTTTCCCATTCCGGGATTACTAACTATCAAATTTATATTGTTCTCAAGTTTTCTACACAACATCTCTTTTTCTGTTAAAATGAAATCAGTTATTTTATATTCTTCCAAACTGCTTACATTACCCTTACTTTGAATCCATTCAAAATTGTCGGCATCTATAAATCTCAAGTGATGGTAGTTTTTCAAGTCTTTATTTTTGTCGCAAATCGCTTCAAACTGCATCTTTTTGCACGTGTTTGTAGTAATGAAAACGCTGATTCTGGAAGTACCACTTACTGCTGTTACATTCTGTCGAGTGCTTGTGTTGCTTTCATTTAGGTAGTCTTCGAGATTATGAATACTGCAGTTTTTTAATTTTCGCTTGAATAAATCAATTTCTTGTACGCAGTCAACGACAATTAAAGTGTTTTCATCATTATTTTCAAAATATTTGAAATTTATAACATTTTTCCATAGATACCTCTCGATGTATGGCGTCGGAAGATTTTCTTGTAGCCCTCCTACAGCATATGGTTCGTTCAACATTTCTACCAAATAGCTTGTTCTTATAGCATCAATAAAATCAAGACTAAATGCATTTTTTAAGCTAACTTCTTCTTTTCCTTGAATGGACAAGTTAAAAGTTTCAAGAACACTATCTCTGGATGATGCCTTTAAGTCCGATAAATTTTGAAAAACTGAACAGTTGTAATTAGTAAATTTTTCATTAACATCGTCTCCAAGAACAATAAACTTAGCCTTTGGACACAACGTAACCACTTTGTGAATAACTGCATCCTCCGTTACAATTATTGGACATGTACCGTTCAACCACAGTAATGTGCTTAATAACTTTTTATCTACATCGTCAAGACTTTTAATATAAAACGGGCTTAAGTGATACATTTCTCGCATTTTATTTAATTCTTTGGTATCCTTAACCCGAGTCACAGCATCGCCCCACAAGTCTTTAATTTTATGATAACTATTATTTTCAAACACCGTAACCGTGAAAGCAGAAATTGCCTCTCGTAGAATTTTCATATTCTTATTTGCACCACTACCAAAAGACAACGGTTTAATTCGAGAAGACAAAAGCGTAAGTGCAATAGCACGTCGCATCCAATTTTTACACAGTTTATGTTTCTCGCCTTGCTGTTGACTCCACCTGGATATCATTTTCAAAAATGCATCACATTCGGTTTGATTTGCGAGAAATAATTTTTTAAACTTCTCGGCTATTTTTGTTTCAAGAGTTTTAAGATTATCTTGATTAACAAACAAAAAAAATTTCTGAAAAAAATTTTTGTACATTAAAATTTCTGGGGAGTAATCGTATGCATAGTCATCTTCAACAACATGAAACTTATAACAATGATTTAGTTTATCAGAGATCTGAAGGACTTTATCTTTTGGTTGAAACGGAGACAGCCGAATTTGAAAATCTTCACCGTCAAGCCAAAATCGTGTATCTTCCTTACCGCTAAACTTAATATTAGTATATAAAATAAAACTGTCTACGTGGCTGTTTATACTTTGAACAGAAGTGCAATATTTTTTTAAGCTAAAATCTCCTTTTCCTTGATTGAGTTGCTTAATAGATAATGTACTTCGATCGTTATGTTTAAGTTGTAAAGCAGAGACATTGCTACCCTTTGTTGATGTAATTTTTATAACAATATCATCAAAATCACCAAAATTGGCATCATTAGCGGATAAATAAAAGTCTTCGATTTGGTTATCAAGGACCAAATTGATTCCGATGTTGGCGATGTTTAAATTTTCGTAATCAATGCCTTTGTTGGTTGTACCTGATCGTTTTTTAAATGTCTGAAAAAATAACAGGAGCAGATTAACAATTTAAATTTCGATGGAAAAACTAAATAACAGTAAATATGTATTTTACTTTTATTATTTTTTAACATGATCTGCGGCATTATGATTGAATCAAAATTATGTCTAAATAGCCATTTTCATCACTAATTTTTGGTGGATTTTACACTACAACTTAACTACGATGAAATGGTTATTTTCAGCAGGACGGAGCTACCGCGCATTGGCTAGCACCACAATAGCAATCTTACAGGAATTTTTGGACAACCCGTTCGGTAGTCGAAATGCAGCGAATATATTGGCCACACGATCTCGGGATCTTACTTCTGAAAACTCTTTTTGGGCACAATTTAAAGAACTATGTATGGAAGACCTGTCAATAATTTGGTTGAGAATAACAGAAGAAATTAGTGACATAAATAATAATGGGTTAAAAGAAAAGTTCATTAAATTCATGCTTACAACAAACGACTCGATTAGAAGTTACATATATTCGCCTGCTATACCTATTAGAAACAAACAAGTTTATTACAAAGTGTTATATATCAATTGTTTCTTTATAACAACAAACGCTCAATTAAAGCGGCCTAAAACTAGTAACGAGTTTATGAAAAGAATTCTATAAACCCTATCGCTAACTTTACGCACCGATGTAAGGTGATAAAGGCTATACTAATAGTTAACATGGCCTTTTTCACTGTTTCGTAAAAAAAAAGTTAACTTAACTTCGATCACACTGAAGTTAACTTTGGATTTGAATTTGACTTGTGACCTTGAAATATTTTTTTCATTGGTATATGTGTTTCGAGAATGAATTTTTATTAGCTACCTTCTTCAACGTAAAATTAGGAATACACAAATATAAATCTAACTTCAGCGTCATTAGCTTAGAAAATTCGAGTTACGAACTAATCACTCACCTCCATGGTTCGAATAGCACTCAATAAGACTTAAAGCAACGAAATTATGTTAAAGCGGCCATCGATGATGCATTTTTTAGGTAATGAAAAAAGAAATAAGTCAGCATTTTTACTGTTAGCAACGTATTATCAACATCGCAAGGCCGCAACTCGTACAATGTGGGCTGTCCCGCTGTGCGTCATAGATTACGAGAAAATGAGACAGTGCGACAGTGGACAGTACACACAGCAGCACATTATTAGACTACGCGTAGAGAGTCGCAGAATTCCGTCCTTATATCCACAACAAATTTGAATGTAATGAAATAAGCTAATAAGTTAAATTAAAAAAAATGTACTCCTTTTTATGTGAACTAATAGTTATTTACACTACAAGGACGTACGTGATAGTTATCAGTGAAGGACGATGTTGGCAAAATTGTCAGAGATTTGTCAAGAACACATTCCGAGTTGTAGGTATATGTATAATAGTTTTTCCACTTCCGGCCGTAATTTTAAGTAGAAAACTTATTTATTAAAAATTTCCAATATGACATTCACGCAGAGTCGCCTTTGGTTATTTACTATTGGTTATTTTCGTTTGTATGTTTTTTAAATCAACTGTTAGTTAAGTTAGTTCGAGAATGGAAGTTCATCAAACAGCACATCACTGGAAGCCTCAATAATTGTGGGTCAAAATATTTACAACACAGTTGTAATCACAAAGAAAAAACAGTACAGTTCTAGAGTTTTGCCCAATGTCCACGCCGATTTTAATTACCGATCATCGTAACAATAGCTATTACAATACTCGAAAAATAAAATAGACAAATTTTAATAATCTGCAGTGTCTTGAAGAAAGACAAACTTAAACGTCAACGAAATTCATTATTTTAAAATTTTCCTCCTTATCGTAAAACTTAAAATGCTGTTTATATTATGTTCTTACAAATATAAATTTTTTTAAATTATTAATTAAAAAATATATATCTATAGCTTTCAGTTAGTTTTATTTTATAAACTTTTACAGACTTAAAGGGGATGCATACTTATTAACAATATTTTTGAAAAATAATAGAACATTAATTCACCAGAACGAAAACACGTTAGGACGGACACTTAAATATCCAATCAGGCGTTTGATGTATGTATAAGTGGTTGCATATACATGCAGTTATGTCACAGTATAGATATCAATCAGTAGGGACAACTTGTGTCGGTTAGGTGTGTAAGGGTAGGTATGTAATCCGTGGTTATGTTAAAACTATTTGTTGAAAGACAATACTACAATAGCTAAAATATAAGGCGTTAGATGTTCCAAAATTCTTAACCAAAAACTGCTATTTATGCAATTAAAGAGTTAGCTAGTAGTTGCAGCTTTTAACTTTAAATGTCAGGGTACAAATTAATCACAGAACTGCAGAGAGTGGTTGGAAGTAATTCAGTTACAAGTAATTCATTACTGTAATTCAATTCTGTTTCAAGTAATGAGTAATTGTAACGAATTACTTTTTTTGACTAATTCAGTCACTTTTACAATAACTACTTTTAAGCCAAATACTCAAAAATACTGTTTCGTTTTTTTCTACGAATCCTTTACCTGAGCTGCTGGGATTATTATAGCTAGTTGGTCCCCACAAAGAGACGATTAACCCAGTAGGGTCTTAAAATCTTAAAATCTTAAAACGAATATAGTACAGAATTTGTTAAGAAACCAGATAACCATAATATGCATAAGTTCTTCATCATTTTAAGGGAGAGCTAACGCATATTCCAGCATAGGGAAATACATATAAACTTCTACCCAAGTTTTTGCCAGAAGTATGCGTCAGATTGCAATAAACTTCACACCGTTGAAATGAGCGTAAAAAACCTGCTTTTCCGTTTTTTAAATTTTGTTATTAAAAAAACTACAACGCGTTAAAATTGTGATGAGTATGAGATTATCTGGTTTTCACTATTTATGGATCAATTTTAAATTTTCAAAAAGGTACATTTTAGTAGAATTTGTATTAAAAAATCCATTGTGCTTTACAGAAATAAACTATCTTAATAAATAATTGAGTAAACAGGGGCAGAATATTTAAAATTTGTGGTCAAACAAACTTTGGCCATTTTTCTGGTCCACTCAAATCTATCACAGTTAACCGATAGAGCCTGTCCTTTTAAACCCTTTCATCATCCATCAATAAAATTGTATGAGTGTCCACCCTCTAAGGTTTTCTAAATTTAATCTGAAAGTCGCAACGCCAAGTTAGAGGTGGATTTTTTACCATAAAATTTGTCTTTAACACTAGACATTAAAATATGATTTTCTAAAACCAACGAATAGGTACGAGTTATTTTGCACTGTGTATTATATTTATTAGTTCATTAATCGTTATATTTGTCTTGTCAACCGAAGGAGAAAATGTTTATTTACTGTTCAAATCATAGCGTATACGTAAGTACGTAACGTACGTTCATTTTGACAACTTCCGGTTCAATATGTATACGAGATGTGAAACAATTGCCCGTCAATTTAAACTTTATTGCATTAAAATAAAGAAATTACTGATATTTCAGTTTCTTATTAAACTAATAGCATCTTCAGGTTCAAAAAAATGGAGCACATAGGCATTAAAGACTGTAGGAATTATTAAATTTTACTTATCCAGAACGACTGAGAAAATATTAATTATAAAAGTTAGACTTATCTTAAATCAGTTAGGTACTATCACAGCAAACCCTGGAGTATCACTTTTGAGGAAAGTCTCAATGTAAAAAAAGATCTTTACATTAGAGCTTTGTTAAGTTAAGCATAAAAATTTTTACATGTAGATGACTGGAGATTCTTCTTTTTATCCAATCAGAATAAGTAATAAGAATAATGATAATAAAAACAGTTTGTTTTGTAACTTTTGAAGTCTCTTTGTTGCTTTATTTAGGTATAGTAAGTCTTTATTGTCTTGATAATCCAAAATCGCTTTGCTTTTGCTTTCTACTTATTTATTTTTAAGTTTTGTACAACTTTGGATAGTTTGTACAATACTAGTGGCGACGACTAGTGGTGCAATGACGTAACAATTGTGGAAGTTTTAATGTGATAAAAGACGTCATTATATAGAAATAAAAGATAATACTACAACTTTTGCTGAAAACTCGTATTGCTCAAACATGGAGATACTGAAACACTAATTCTACGTCAAAAATATGACAACGGAAACAAACACAGAATGGTATTTCAAACGAAAATTGAATTCAAATTATTCCAACTGTTTTGTTGCTCTATCATTTATAGACCGAGATATTTTATTTGTTGTTGTTACAGTACCCGTAGGAGATATCACATTTAACTTTAGAATAAACCAAAGAAGCAACAAATATTTAGAACCATGTTCTAATACTATTAAAAAGTAAAAGAGTAAACCACTAATTAAAAAATTTATTAACACGAATCAACCTTGAACGATACCCAACAAAACAGTTTTGAATTTCGTATAATTTGTTCATAAACGAGTATCCGGGTTACACAGTCTGTACCGCTGTAACCAGGCTCTTCCAGCCTCGTTTCGTCCAAGTTCTGGCTTGCACTGATAGCCTCCATTAAAATTGATCATGGAATAGTCGTCACAGTCCGTTACTCCATCATCATTACAATCCTAAAAAGCGAAACCACAATTAAAAAATTTTAACCAAAACAGTGGGAAATAATTCACGCCATACCCTTCCGTATTTCACAATGTAATTGGTGACGATCCTCTGAGCACAGTGGTATGAAATAGCACAGTCTTCATAAGCTGAAAAAAAGATTAATTAGATTACTAAAGAAAGGAAACGATAATGTTTGTTTTTCCCGAGCAGTTATGACGTTGAAGTAATGAATTATATATAATCTTTTGAGGCGGATGTTACATTCGTGAATGTGCGGTAAATCCGCACAATTATGTCTAGGGACCTATAAATCACGCAACGGACTGATCGAATTATGGTGTTAGAAGAAATGATCTAGGTATAGTGTTTTTTATGATCAGTAGAAAAAAAAGAATGAATTTTGCCACAATAAATGGTTTTATAAGTGAAACGTAGAAAATGTTTCCGAACTTATCAGCAGCCGTCGCGTGTCATAAAGTCAAGGAAGCGAAGCAGCTGATCTGAGTAATAGAATTTGTTTATATTTGCTTAAGTCATTTAAATCTGTTTTGAAGAAAATTCCAAAAATACTTGTGGGTAAAAAACGAATGTCAAAAAACTGGTTGCTTAACCACTGGAGAAATTTTATTTAATAGAATGTAAATATGATTCAATGTTTATCGATGTGGTGGCTACTTCATGTGTCACGAAGGTAAATATTGAATATGTTATTAGTGGTAATATCTGTGTTGTGAATGTTTATTCATTGCATCTTCTAATTAATTACGTATTTAAATTTTGTGCGACTTCTTCATTGCTAATCGATGTTTAAAAGTTTAAATAGCGATGTTCACAGAAGTCGAAGTAAACACGTGCGATTATAGCGAACAGATTTTTTACTTTTAATATAATATATATGTATTATAATGCCACAATGAACTGTCACATAGTCTTTGTATTTAATAACCTGAGTTACATAAAGTAAAAATAACAGAGGCCCTAATACTGATTCTTGTGTGACAGGCAGATTATCCGAGCCTACACCACTGACCCTTACTTTCTGATGTCGATTACTTGCATTATAATAATGTCATTGCTGAATTTAGTGTATTTTAATTTTTCCGTTAATTTATAGTGTTAAACTACACTAAACATTTCTTTATATGTACTTAAAATTGTTTCATATAGTAGTTGCGATGAGAGATTGGGATTTCTTGACAGTTGACATGTAAGTTGGCAACAACCTAACACTACAAAATGCGCTGAAATTCCTACGCTTTTTTTCTTAATATGTGTAGTCATCTTTCACAACAAGACGCTTAAAACATGTTTAAAGTGATAAATTTGTATAGGGAAATATCAATTTTGCAATTACGCTCCGCCCCTCGGTCTGACAACCAATGAAAAATTCATCATAATTGAGATCGAGACGGATGGGTGCGGCTTTTGGTTTTCTTTTTTAATTAATACATCTAGGGCCGGTTTATAGCGAATTAAATATTTAATCCTCGATTAATTTAGCACAGGATTAAAATGAGGAATTTCAGCTGTTTAAAACATGCACGTTGCCTATTAATTAATTAACTTTAATTTCGCTTTCTATAAACCGAGTCTTAGTTTTCTTTGTATCACACGATTACTTAAGAACAATTTCATATGGTAATTTCTGGTAGAAAAGTAAGGATTTTACAATTAATCTTCGCCCCTCGGTTTACGACGAATAAAATAAAATTATCAGAATTGAGATAAATAGGACGGGTGGGCGAGGCTTATATTTTGCCTTTTTTTAATATACATAGCCGTCTTTTCACAACAAGAAACTTAGAACATGGTTAAATGGTACATTTTTGCAAGGAAATATGGATTTTGCAATTATGGGTCGGAGTCTAATTACAAAATCGATATTTCTTTATACAAATTTTCCATGTTAAACATGTTTTAAATTTCATGTTGTGAAAATAAGTCTACACATATTGAAACAAAAAGGCAAAATATAAGCCCGCCCACCCGCCCTCTCTAAATTCTGATGATTTTTTATTCACCGTGAACCAAGGAGGCGGAGCTTAAGTGTAAAATACTTATTTCTTTACAAGAAATTAAAAACATGTTTTTAACTATCGTGTTTTTCAAAGAATACTATGTATATTAAGCAAAAAAGGCAAAATATAAACCCCGCCCACCCACCCTATCTCAATTGTGATGATTTTTTTTATACTTAGAAACTTAAAACACGTTTAAAATGGTAAATGTTTGTAAAAAAATACGGATTTTGCAATTAGGCTTCGGTGCCCCTAGGTCTTGCCAACGAATGAAAACTTCAATACTATGTATTTAGATTAGGGCGGGTATGGGTGGGGCTTAATCTTTGGCTTTAATTTTTTCTTAATATATCTACATAGTATTCTTTGAATAACACGATACTCAAAACATGATAATTTCTAGTAGAAGATAATAAGGATTTTGCAATTAAAATCCGCTCCTTTGGCTCTCGAAAAAAAAAAAAAGATCACAATTGAGATAGGGCGGGGCTTATATTTTGCCTTTTTTCTTAATATACGTAGTCATCTTTTCAGAACAAACAAGAACCTTAAAACATTTTGCAGTTAAGCTCCACCTTCTTGGTTCACGACGAAGAAAAAAAATCATACAATTGAGATAGGGCGGGTGGGCGGGGCTACATTTTACATTTTTCTTCTAAATATGTGTAGACTTATTATTTCGACAACAAGAAAAAAGTAGTCCTCCACTTTTTTTCTACAACCCCTTTAAATACGGCAAAAGTTGACCATCAAAGTTACTATCAACGCCAACTTGGCACCGGTTCTAGGAGATATTTCAAATAATTTTCAGGAGAATACAAAGGTATAATGATAATAGACATCGTTTTCTGTTATTAAAAGACATTTTTGTAGAAAAAAACAACTCGATGGAATTCTTTTTCGTATCGTAAAGTTATGGCTCCTAAACGAAACTCACTACAAAAATTCTCGAGTAACGTAAAACTTATTTTTCATAGCGCTTGAGATTTGATTCATTTTTAAATTTAAACTTTTCTTCGCGTAGATTTTTAGTCTTTCCTGTCACTCAATCTCTCACCGTACGTAGTATAGCAAGTTATTTTCTCATAAAAAGCTCCAGATTTGAATTACCATAAATTTTTCAAAAATTTTTAAGAGGGTAGATAATAACCATATAGATCCAAAATTCTTCAGATCTTCTGGATTACCTTTTTATAGACTGGAATCACTAACGACGTGTTCATACAAAGATACATTACGATTAAAGAATTTTTCACGTTTTTAATAAGTACCTACTTACTGTACTCAGGCCGTAGCCATCTCCGCTTTTTGAATTTTTCAAACTGTTGAAATAGTTTCTAGCTTGATTGTAAGTGAATGTCTTGAAGAAAAAATGCATATCTAATTTAGTAGCATTATCTTTCTGCATAAATTTGAAAGCATCAGATTGACAGGAAGGTAAGAATCAATTAAAGTTTATGCGATATTAGAAAAAACATATTTACATCATTGACATCGCTTGAGGTTTGGGATTATATTAAACATCTTTAATTCTGATTTCATTATCAATGGACCACACCGTTATGGAAAAATTTTGTTCTCGTATTAAATTTTCGTTTTACCTTTTTTATAGCATGATTATGCGAACGATCTTGATGTTTCCAGAATGTGATATTACAACGTTGAATCAACTGTGGTATCATTTCCTTCCAGTAAATTTACCCTTCGATGGCGTCGACAACACATTAACATACGTATCAAACGTAATAGAATAATTACTTTCACCAGATTAATTCCGAAAGACAAACGAAATATATTTTTTCTCCAGCCGTCTTAAAACATTTAATTACAATTTTAAACACTAAAAATAGACGTTTTTGTAAATAGGAAAAAAACTTGCGTTGCTAAGGCAACATTCATTTAAATCCTATGATTTAAAAGATTTGTAACTATATACAAACTATATTTTTTCGTCAATTTTGAAAATATTAAGTATTTTATCTTTAATATTTTATAATTTTATTAATAATTAAACACATTACATAATTTCTGAATTTTAAGATTGATATTAAATGTAAAATTAGAACAACTTTTAGAAAATTGAATTAACGATTTGCCGTCACCATTATCCCTTGTAATAGCAGTGTTAACAATGTTTGTCAATGTTGCTGCTATTTCATTATCAGTTACGTCTTTGGTTATATTTACTTCATTGCTCTTCGGTGGTTTTTGGGGAATCACTCTAACTGAAAAATTTTTCGCGCCACGTCTTCCTTGTGTTTTACTGATTCCTCTATGTACCTCTCCGCCACACTATTCGATTTCCACCCTCTGTGTTTCTTGAGAGATATAATGCCACCTCCACCATCTACAAGGAGAGTGGCAGACGTGCGACGTAAGCAATATCCGCTGTATTCATGGGGATTTTCCAGTTTTAAAAATTTTGCTACTTCTCGTGGAACATTGCTAATCTTGTGAATCCCAACTACTCGCTGAAGCTTTTAATTTAGATGTTTAACGAACAATCGACGTTCATGAAAATTTGTTTGTCAAAGTGCTATATATTTCTGGAATCGTTATTACAAGTAAGCCTGATTTAACATTTTCAATATTGTCTATTCTTAATTCCACCAATTCCTAACAGGGGCATGCGCCACTCACTGCGAAGATTACAACGACCTGAAGGACAACTTATAAAGTGCAATCATTTCATTAATTTAAGTTCTAAACTTACTTTCGTAAATAAATATTTTTAAACATCTGGACCATGGCTAAAAAAAAATTCTATTTGGTCATTTGTTAAAACTCTGGATTTCTTTGACTTGTAACCTTTCGCTTGTTTCATTAAAAACGCTCTTAGTTTTGAAAATTTTTCTATATCTATGCCATTTTTTATATGTATTTAAACTCGCCTTTAATTATTCGTGTGTTCGTACGCTGTACGGACGTGCTTTTTAATCTGTCTGTATTATAGTTATTGTAGTCATATTTTATATAATTTACAAGTCAAATCTGTGTGAATATGTCGGGGTGTAATTTGTGCAATAAAAAAACAAGAGCTACAGAGTGCGTAACCTGTGATATTTGTCGCAAACTCGTACATACGGAATGCGCTCGTCTTTCAGATATAGAAATTGAATGTCTTAAAT